AAAAAGAAAAAAGAAAAAAAGGATGGGCTGGGACCTTGGGTCTCCAGGGGGAGAGGGGGTGATCAGGCCAGGATGGGATATTGGGCTTAAGCAGACCAGCATGGGGGCCAGTTGGGGTAAGCAGGCCACCAGTGGGGGTGAGCAAGCCATCAGTGGGGATCAGTTGGAGGTGATCAGGACACTGGGGGGATGGGGGGAGGGGGTCAGTTTGGAATGAGCAGTCCAGCAGGGGGAGCATTTGGAGACAAGCAGGCAAGCAGTGGGGGGCAGGAGCCAGTAGTCCCAGATTGTGAGAGGAATATCTCTGACAGCCGATTTAGGCCCGATCCCTGTAAACTGGAAGTAGGACATCCTTTGAGGAGTCCCAGATTAGAGAGGATGCAGCAGACTAAGGAACAACCCCCTCCCCCAGTGCATAAATTTTGTGCACCGAGTCACTAGTACTCAATAAAACTCTTTCTCCTGGCGCAACCACAGTTACCTAGCTTCTCTCCTCCAAAGCAACCAATTTCTATCAGCTTTTTCTTATTCCATTCAGCATATTAGCAAGCATATATGTCATGTGTATACCCACACGCTGAGAGAGTATTCCAATCCCTAAAAGACATAGCAAAAAATATGCACATTTTTACACTTTGTTTTGCACTTAATATGTAGGATAACATTCAATATACAAAGAGCTTCCAAATTCTCTTTAAAGTTGAAAATATTATAAATATTGGTGTATTGAATTAGTACCACATTGATGAACCACATTTGGGTAGTTTCTAATTTTTGCCATCATAAACAGTACTGTTATAAATAACCTCATAGCACACCATACTGAATGTAGGCACACGTGATTAGAGTATATATTCTTAAAAATGGAATTGCTAGGTCAAAGGGCGGGTGCATTTGTAAACCAGAAAGATATTGTTAAAATGCCCTCCCTAGAGGTTGTATAAACTTATGCTCACACCCATTGTCATATATAAAACAGTGACTTTCCAACACTCTGAGTCATCAGATTTTTGACTGACTTTTGACCTCTGACAACTTAACAGATGAAAATATATCATAGAGTAATTTTAACTTGAAAAATCCATAAACATGTTCAACTAGGCTTTTTTACAATATGTTTAAGAGCATCTCTATGTCCATTTCTGAGAATGCCCTGTTCATTTCATTTAATCATTTGCTCACTAGGCTTCTGTTCTTTTACTTTGTTGATTTTGTTAGCTCCTTCTACATAGGATAATTAGCTTTTTGACTGAAATGAACCCAAATATTTTTCCCAGGTTTTTTGTTTGTTTGTTTGTTACTTATTGAATTTAGCCAAACAGATTTTTTTTTAATTTCATATAATTAAATCTATAAATCTTTTCTTTTAGGGTTTCTGCATTTAGCATTATAGTTAGCAAAAGTGTCTCTACTCCAAGATTATTATTTTTCATTTATTAATTTTAGAAAGAGAGAGAGAATTTATGTATTCATTGATTGATTCTTGTATGTGCCCTGACTGGGTATTGAATCCCCAACTTTGATGTGTTGTGAGGACACTCTAAACCAACTGAGTTACTTGACCAGAGCACAAGATTTTTTAAAAAAGTTTTCCTGTAGTTTCCCAGGTATTTGATTGGTTTCTCTCTTTAACATTTAAATTAGATATTTGATCCATCCAAATATGTTCTTGGTATAAGGTGTGAGGTATGGGTCCTACTAAATTTTGTCTAAACCTCCCACTTCTTCTACCCTGTTTCCCCCAAAATAAGACAGTGTCTTATATTAATTTTTGCTCCCAAAGATGCGCTAGGTCTTATTTTCAGGGGATGTCTTCTTTTTCCATGAAGAAGAATACGGTACACATTTATTGTTAAATGAAAATAAAGGAAATTTATTACCTGTATACGGTATGGTAGTACGGTAGTTGCCAACACAAACCAGACAAAGTGTGAATCCTACAGTATCAAGAATTTACTCATTTATTCAATGACAATCATGTCATCATCTTCTGGAACATCATCATAACAATCCAATTCCTGAATTTCCTGGTGAATTTCTTGTGACTCCATTTCTTTCAGAATCAGTGGACCAAATCTCTCATGTTTAGCAATAGCACTGTCTTAAAATTAGTACTTCTTGTCAAGTTAGCCTGCTCACAGTGCATTTGAAATGCAACTGTCAGTGATTTTCTCCCATGAATTCTTCACCCAAGTCACAACTTCTTGCAGTTTAGGTTTCACAAAGTTTCCAAACTGATTTCTCTCCATTCTATTTTCAATGTAGTCATTAATTTCCATGTGCAAATTGTCTTTGAATGGCTTGTTTATTGCAATATCAAGAGTCTGGAGATAGGCCTTATTTTAGGGGGGATGCCTTTTATTTTACTCAGAAGAAACCTGTAAGTAGGTCTTATTTTCGGAGGATGTCTTATTTTCGAGGAAACATGGTAGTACCTTTTCCTGAAAATCAATCCATCTTTTACTGATTTTAAAAGGCAACTTCTTTAAAGCATTTCTGGTTTCAGATACCTCATTCTCAATTACATGACTAAAGCTCCAGTGATGTTTCAACTGTAGACAATATCATTGGCTTGTCCATAAAAGATGAAATTTGGTTTACATACCCACTTCTCCTTCCTCCAGAGTTTGTAATTACATCATGTTTAGTTCCTCTATCATTACTTTTCCTACCTTAAATATTGACTTACATACTCTCTCTTATTCCAACAACTCTAGCCAGTATTAGACACTCCTCTCAGAAATCCTATATAATAAAAGCCTAATATGGTAAGTATCTGACCATTTGACTGTTAGACCAGTTGCTATGATGCACACTGACCACCAGGGTGCAGATGCTCCAACTGGTAGGTTAGCTTGCTGCTGGGGTCTGGAAGATTGGGGACTGGGCAAGATGGGACAGTCATGCCCTGGAGCCCTCCCAGTAACCTCCCCACCCCGATTGTGCATCAGTGGGCCCCTTGGCCTGGCCTGTGCCCTATCACAATCCGTGACCCCTTGGAGGAAGTCAGAGATCCAATTTCAGGCTGATCCCCATAGGCTAGACCCCATTGTGAACCCATGAATCCATGCACCAGGCCTCTACTACCGATATGATTAAGTGAATAAATAAATGAGACAATTTTCTTTTAGAAAAAAATCCAATTAATAAATGTAGAAAAATGAGGGAAATACTGTAGAAAAATACCATTAGAACACCACAGTAGTAATTGCTGTAGGCAAGACTCACTGGTGAGTGATAAAATTAGTTGGTGAGCGTTTAAGGAGGAACAGGACATTTGCAGCCACAAAGTATCTCCCCTAAAATATGTCTTAATACTGTGGTTTTAATACATGTCAACAATTCTTTGCTGTTCTTCTCAAGGAGGTGGGTTTAATCTTCCCAACCCTTCCTCCAACCCCAAGAGTGGGCTGCATTTAGTGACTCTCTTCCAAAGAATGGAGTATGGAAAGGGGAAAGTAGCGGTTCTTACAGTAGAGAAGCTTGATAGTTGGTCCACCTTATCCTAGTGATTAGGTTAACATCACTAGTAATAAGTCATGTTGCGATCAGGAACCCCCTAATACAACTTGAGGAGAAGGGCACTTTATCTGTGTGGTATACAGTACTTACCCAAAAATTCATAACCCCAGCCTAGTGTTAAGAAAACATTAAACTCAAATGGAGGGACATTGTACAAAATATCTGACCAATACTTTTCAAAAGTGCCAAGGTCATGAAACAGTTGAGAAACTTCCAGATGGGAGGAGACTGGAGAGACATGACAACTAAACTCTATGTGGTGTCCTGGGCTGAATCCAGAAACTGAATAAAGGCATTAGTGGAAAAACTGGTGAAATCCGAATGAAGTCTGTAATCTAGTTAATAGTAATGTTAGCCAATGTTAACTTCTTAGTTTAACCATTATACCACGGTTACATAAGATGCTCACTTGAAAGAAACTGGATGCAGGGCATGCAGAATCTCTCAATACTATCTTTACAACTCTTCTGTAAAATTATTTCCATATATAAAGGTTTAAAAAATAAGTCACAATCTATTTTTAAAATAAAATCTTATTATCACCAGGCTAAATTAACTATTGGATACTTTTAAACTAATATCTAAAAGTAAACAAAGTATAATTTTTTAGTTTCAGGGATCAACAAGCAATTAATTTGCAAGTGCACAGTGATAGCATCATTTTTCATTCCACTTTATACGTTATACTCTATGTAAATGTTTATAATGCGTCTTTGCATTCTGATGGCCTAAGTTTTTCCTTATAAATACAAATGAGAAGTGGAACATTTATTGTTATGAATTTTTCAATTCACAAAAGCAGTAATGTTAAAAGTAATTTTAAATGAAATGAAACTTAAAAAAAAAAGTCTGTGCCTTTGCGGTAAGTGTAATCCCATTATAAAACAATATGATATTCATAAATACAAATAAGACAGACCATTCCGCATTACCACTCCAATTATTGTGGCAGAGAGGCCTCCTCCTCTCCTTCCCTCAAAATATGTACTGATGGTCAAATATGTCCCAGGCATTGTGCTAAGCTCTGAGAAATACAGATAATCATACATCAATATCCATCTATCTATATGTTCAGCCACTTCTTACTCTGCTCCAGCTCCGGGAAGTTCCTGCAACTGCCAATCTGAGTCCTTTTTAAGTCTATAAGAGGTAGGAGTTATCATGTAAGTTTCCTCATTTGTAAAATGTCTGATAGTACTAAGGATGATTGTACTAAGCTCTGAGAAATACAGATCATCAGAGAGGGTGAGCAGCCTGCCCAGGGAGCTCAGCTAAGTGGGAGGTACAGCGTGGGAGGTGCAGCATGCATCTCAAACCACCGCCCTTGGCCCCAGACTCCACCCCGAGGCAGGGCGAGTCGCGCAGGTCTCCAGGCTTGCGAGCTCCTCTGGGGACACGGCGCCCGACCCCGCTCCAGCGGCGCAGCCCCGCCCGCCCCGCCCGGGCTGATCTCCTCCCGGAGGCTGCGCGGTGCGGGCGGGAGGCGGTGCTCCGGTCAGGCCGGGAAAGGGGACTGTGTCACCCCGCTCCAGAAAAAGGAAACTTGCGCCACCTCTGCTGGGGTGGCGCTCGCTTCTCCTCTGCGATGGGGCCCCTGCCGCGGACCGTGGAGCTGTTCTACGACGTGCTGTCCCCCTACTCCTGGCTAGGCTTCGAGGTGACGCCGGGGCCCGGGCGCCGAGGGCAGAGGGAAGGGCGGGCGCAGGACGCAGGGCCCGTGGTCTCCTGCAATGCCTGGCGCTGCCTCAAGAGTTTAGGACACGCAGACAGAGAGCCAGGGCCGAAGGTCACTTCGTGATCGTAAAACAGATGATACAGTCGCTGGCTCCAGGTCGAGTCCTTATATCCTAAGGCAGTGGTTTCCCACACCGGTTTGGAAAGGGGGCAACTCAGAAAAGTCAAGGAGAAAGCCTTGGCACCCCACCTCTTAGCCCTCTGGTGTCAATTTAGGGGGCTGGGAGGAGGATGGAAACCGTCCTTAGGAGCTAAGTAAGGTTCTGGGACAGATTTCTGGGAGTGAGAGAGTTCTGCCATTTCAAACCAAACAATGTAAGGGGTCCACCTAATCCCTACTTTTCGCTTAGAGCCTTTGGCTAACCAGTTGCCATGCACCTCCCTTGCCTTTCCCTCTGACATGTGATTCCTTCCATGTTGCACATGGGCTCGGACCTTCGCCTCTGCTCCTGCAGATCCTGTGCCGATATAAGAACATCTGGAACGTCCACCTGCAGTTGCGCCCGTCCTTGATTGCAGGGATCATGAAAAGCAGTGGTATAAAGGAAGCAGCACTTGGGGTTGGGATTTGAGGGAGGACTGATTTCCAAGGCCGGGCGGGGGGGGGGGGGGGGGCAGGGGCTGCCCAAAACCCTGGAGGGGTCCCCCAAGTCTGGGATTCTTAGATCTCTCACCAGCGGGTCCAAATTTCCACTTTTAGGGAACAAACCGCCAGCCCTGGTTCCTTCCAAGGGCAAATACTTGACAAATGACATAAAGCTCCTGGGACAGCACGTCCAGGTTCCCATCCGGATACCTAAGGACTTCTTCTCTGTGATCCTTGAAAAAGGTAAAGAGTGGGATACTGGCGGGGACAGCAAGTAGAAGGCAGCGAAGCTGGAGATTGTAGGCCCAAGAAGGAAGGACTAGGTGACTTAACTTAAATGAGACAAACCCTGGAAAAACTCAGGCTCAGAGTTGAACAAAGAATGTTAAGGGGACATAAGAGGAAAAAGAGCAGGACAATCAGTTATGAGAAACCTGGGTGAGAGGCTGAGGGCGAGTAAGCTCTAGGGATGTCAGAAGCAGGAAAGAGCAGGCCCACCATGCAGGCAGGGGCGGGGCGGGGGGGGTGTGTGTGTGTGGAATAAGCGAGGGGAGCTCTACCTCTGAGTGCCTCTGCCCCACAGGAAGTTTGTCAGCCATGCGCTTCCTCACCGCTGTGAACATGGAGCATCCTGAGATGCTGGAGAAAGTGTCCAGGGAACTGTGGATGCGGGTCTGGTCACGGGTGAGGGCAGGTTCTAGGAACCCATATGGGAGACTCTGGAGGACTTGGTGACCCTCCCCTAGGCCCATTTCCAGACACCTGCTTCTGCCCTACCCTATTGTTCACTGTCCTACTGTCCATCCCACCCCTCACCCCTCCACCCCTTCCTGCTGAGTGTTCTCCTCCCCAGGATGAAGACATCACGGAGCCCGGGAGTATCCTGGCAGTGAGTGTCCTGGCCCTGCCCCCCTCCATAGGGGATCTGAGAACAGTTGGGGGTGGAAGGAGAGGACATAGTTTTCCTTCTACATGGAAGAGGTCATTGTTATTTAGGATGAAAGGACATCTGTGTTTGAGAGGCCAAATTACTAAAAGTTTGGAACTAAGAGGACTCTCAAAAGTATATCTCAAGGTTGAAAGGGGAAGTGAAAATTCTACATTTGAATTTTGATGGAAGAAGTCAGTAGGAGAGCGAGGATAACTGCTCCCCACCCCACCTCCATAGGAAGGGAAGAAGTATTTGGCAAGTCTTGGCTCCAGACCACTCCCAACAGAAATCTCACCCACACATACAGAGTAGAAGTCAGGATACTTTAAAAATAGGCTTTAAGAAGACAAAAAGATAAGAGATCAACCAAAGAACTTGTAAGCATATAAGTATAACCAATGGACACAGACAATAGAGGGGGTGAAGGCAGGGGCTGGGCTTCAGGAACAGACTGGGAGAGGGCAAAAGAGGCAAAAGGGGACGTATGTACTTTCAACAATAAAGAATTAATAAAATTATTAAAAAGACAAGAAGAGATAACTGAGTCAAGCCAGAATTATAAATAAATAAATAAATAAATAAATAGCCTGAGGAAGAACAAATGGGAATAGCTCAAAACAATGAAATGTGTGCCACAGAGTACATTTTTCTTTGGGATTAAATCAGGAAATTCAAAACAGAATTTTCCCTTTAGCTAAGACATATTCAAATTTAATATCTAAAATGGAATATTACAAAAGTTAAACACACACAAAAATGGCCAATATATCCAGTGTTTTTATTCCTGCAAAGTGTATGCAGAGGCTTGCCTTTTCACTTAATATTTACAGTGTAATGCTTAGCTACTACACAGTGTTCCATTCAGTGGACTTGTTTTTTACTGAACCATTCCCCTAACATTGGGCATTTGGTCTGGGATCTAGACTTCTCATGCAGTGAGTCAAAGACAGTGTCACATCAGAATGCACGATTTCCTGTTCCACTCCGGGGGCCAATGAGGTCAGGTTTCAGTGGTCCTCGGATTTGGCTGTATATTAAAATTACCTGGAACACCTGGGCAGCGCCATCCAGAAATTCCAGTGTAATTGCTCAAGGGGATGGTCTGTGAATAGGGATTTTTAAAAGCTCCCCCAGGAGATTCTAATGTGCAGCCAAACCACTGATCCCAAACTACAATAAACCCCAAACTGAAGCCTTTATCATCCTCTGAAAGCCAAGCAGGTAGCTACAGTCACGTGCTGCTCAAGTCCCCAGGAAATTCCATGGGAATTAGAGCACAGTCTTTAACAAAACAACAAAACCATGAGCTCTTCAGGAATTCTGAGAAGTAGGAAGGCAAGAGTCCCGGATTCTAGTGTTGGTTCTGCTACTAACAAGGTCTTTAAAGTGGCCCTGGCCCCTGGCCTGGTACCACGTGGCCTTGTCATTGGTTACTGAAGAGGTCAGGAGCTGCCTCTAAGACACCCCCTGGTGTTCAGTTGATACAACTATAACTGCCATCTGCTTTTTCCACCAAACTCAGATTGATTGATTGATTGATTGATTTTATGGAAGAAAATAGCCCTTCTTGGCAAGAATAGATCTCCACTCGTGGGTGGGTAAAGGCCCTGCCAGGAAAACTTGGGGGCAGAAAGTAGAAAGACCCGAGTTTTCTCCTGAGATCCCCACTCCCACTGATGGAGACACAATTGTGCTCCCTGCCACATCCCCCCAGGCTGCAGAGAAGGCAGGCATGTCGACAGAAGGAGCCCGGGCACTTCTGGAAAAGATCTCAACGCCACAGGTGAAGAACCAGCTCAAGGAGACCACCGAGGCAGCCTGCAAATACGGGGTGAGCCACTCTTGATGTGTGCCCCCAACCCCTGTGCTGAACAGAGCACTCTCTGCAAGTCTCTGCTGGGTCCCTATGCTTCTGTTCAAAGCTGCTCCCTGCATGAGTCCTCCGTAGCTCTTACAGATGACGCTCCTCTCTCTTCCTGCCCCTGAGCCCAAGGAAAGGGAGAGCTAGATGGTGTTAGAAGATAAAGCATCTGAGAGTTAGGAAACTTCTTAGAGCTGTAGAGCCTCTTATCATAGAGCAAGCATGTCAAACTCACAGTCTGCGGGCTGCATGTGGCCCTGAGCAAATATTTTTGTGGCCCAGCCAATATAATGGTGTGAGCAGTTATTTACAATTATGACAGGAAATAAATCTCTTGTCAGATCCAGAATTACTGACATTCACCTTGGGTCAATTTTGAAAGTAATCACTGTGAACAAGCTTTCCTCCAAAGTAGGAAAAATAGCAGAAAAGAAATGTCAAGTATCAGGAAGAAAACATTAATTTTATCATTGCTCTTGTTTTTTTGTTTGTTTGTTGTTGTTGTTTTTGTATATATACCATACTTTTTAAAATAAACCTACATTTCTATGAAAATTGAAACTTTTTCGGAGACCGGTTTGGCTCAATGGATAGAGCGTCAGCTTGGGGACTGAAGGGACCTGGGTTCGATTCCGGTCAAGGGCATGTACCTTGGTTGCGGGCATATCCCCAGGAGAGGGTGTGCAAGAGGCAGCTGATCGATGACTCTCTCATCGATGTTTCTAACTCTCTATCTCTCTCCCTCCCTCTCTGTACAAAATCAATTTTATATATATATATATATATATATATATATATATATATATATATATATAAAGAAAAAAAAGAAAATTGAAGCTTTTGTTTTTTTTGTTTATTTGGCCCCTGTTAACCTTTGACATGCTTGTCATACATAGAAGCTTTTTGCTTCTATGTCCTCAAGCAAGTTCTGGTTGTCCTAACAACCATGCACTGTTACTGCTTTCTCTAGGCCTTTGGGCTTCCTGTCACTGTGGCCCACCTGGACGGCCAAACCCAAATGCTGTTTGGCTCTGACCGGATGGAGTTGCTAGCCTACCTGCTGGGTAAGTGACAAGTTCACACTGAGCTGCCCTTGACCCTAGCCCCCCCCCCCCCCCCCCCACTACCACACACACACACATACATACACACCCCCGCCATTATGTCAGTTGAGCAGGACAGATTCAGAGCAAAAAATGTTCCAGGTATGTCCAACAATGAAGCCTTCTGTAGACACAGTTGCTTAGGGTTGAATGGGGAGGGGCCACCTTCACCCTCATAGGAGAGAAGGAAGCCTCTGCCTTGAAGCCAAGCACAGCTCTTCCTGGGGCTGTGGAGTCAGCCTCTGACATGCGTGAGTTTCTCCACCCAGGAGAGAAGTGGATGGGCCCTGTGCCTTCAGCTGTGAGTGCCAGACTATAAGGATGCCCAGAAGAAGCAGAACCATTGGTGTAAGAAGCAGACCATCTGTTCACCCCTCCTGCACCGAGGGGCACTAGGACCCTGGTTTCCCCATGGGGGTGGTGGCCCTGGCTGTGGTGCCTTATTTGCTTCACTCTCATGGCTGCTCTGTGCCTCACAGGTGCTGTTTGAGAGCCCCATACTCTACCTCCCCACACAATAAACCTAATGCCATTGGATATACCATCTCCGAGTGTTTGTGTCCTTGCTGCTGCCATCACATCCTGTCTACTCAGGTGTTTGAGAAGAGCAGCTCTTCCTGCGTTCCCAGCTCCCTCTGCCCCCTTGTGTGGAAGGAGCAGGAAACAGTTCCCCTTTTTCTGCTGCAGAAACTCCCTGGGTCTCTCTGTCAGGGACAGCAAACTAAGCCACATGGATTTTGCAACTATCCAGTTTGGCACTTACCGCCTTTTGACCAGCCACAGAGTCTGAGATGGGGCTAGAACCTGAGGCCCAGTGGGAGAAGACTAGAGGGACCAGAGCTAGGCTGAGCTTGCGCCCAGATATTCAAACCAGGTCCAGCTACACTGACCAGCAGAACCAGGGCAAGGCAGTGCAGGGAGACAGGCTGGAGCTGCCTTGGCCTGAGGGGATGCTCATCCCTCATACCCCTTCCTCTGACCCACAGGCCAGATCCTGAGAAAACCCCAGGCCTCTCCCTGCCTGCTGCTCACACACAAACCTATAGCTTTGCCACTCCCCCAGTTATCATACTTATCCAAAGTCCCTGTCCTACCTGTGCCCACTGTGCAATAATCAGAATACCCTGTGTTCCAACAGTATTTGAACTTCTTTGAAAATATCCTTTATTGCCGAAACCGGTTTGGCTCAGTGGATAGAGCGTTGGTTTGCAGACTGAAAGGTCCCGGGTTTGATTCCAGTCAAGGGCATGTACTTTGGTTGTGGGCACATCTCCAGTAGGGGGTGTGCAAGAGGCAGCTGGTCGATGTTTCTCTCTCATCGATGTTTCTAGCTCTCTATCCCTCTCCCTTCATCTCTGTAAAAAATCAATAAAATATATTTTAAAAATATATCCTTTATTCAGCAGCTGAAACCACACTTGGAGGCCTGGTATGAACCAAGTGTACTATGATGGCTCAGCTCAAGGGGTTTTAGGAGCAAAAGCCATCTTCCAATCTCCCTTCCCTCTGGCTCTTTCTCATCGCACATCTATTTTCTCCATTTGTCCCCCATCACGTTTTGGCTTCCTCTCCTCTTCCCCTTTTCCATTATTCTAGCATATTCCAGGATTTCAGGATAGCCACCCCAGGCTTATTTATGAAGTGATGCCCGAAGTACATGACTAAATAAGCACTCTCTCCCTCAAAGCAGATTTCATGAGATTCTTGTCTCAGCATTATTTGTGATACCAAATAACTTATATATCTAATAGTAGGAGGATGCTTGAATAAATTATGTTATGTCCAAGATGTAATGTCTCATAGCCATCAAAAACTGTATCTCTGAAAAATTATGAAGAACATTGGAAATCTTGGGCTATGATATTGATAGGGAAAAAAAAGGATTGTATAGTTTATCTCAATTATGTCTTGATATATTACACTAGAGGCCAGGTGCATAAAATTCGTGCACTCGGGCAGCGGGAGGTGGGGACGTGGGGGATTCCCTCAGCCAGGCCTGCACCCTCTTGCAGTCCAGGAACCCTCACATTCCTGGTCCCCACTCTTCTTAGCACAATGTCTCACCTCTGATCCTAGCAGCACTTTGTACCTTGTTTGCAGCATTTGTCACTTTGTTCCTTGTCTTACAGTTAGTATATACATGTCTTTCCTCTTCTGCACATTAAGCCTTTTGAGAGTGAGACTCTTATGGGATCTATTGCATACACCTCACATTGTCACACCCAGCAAATGAACAATAAAAATGTATTGGTCATCGGTAAGTTCAACCTAAACGACATTTAGCAGCTGCTGCCTCTGCAAAGCAGTCACCACACTCAAGGCTGGGATTTTGCACTCACTAGTTCAGAGGCCCCAAGCAGACTACAAACTAAGACAAAGGGTTTCATTTGTATAAAATGGATTCATCACAAATCTATCAAGTCAAAAATTCCAGATAACACATTTCAGCCTTCACCTGCAGATCATGATAAATATGGTGGGGATCTGCAGTGCCCTCATAAACTGTACATTGTTACTAGAATAAAAAGTTCAAGATGTCCACATTGGGAGAAAGATGTAATAAAGATGCTTGGATTAGAAAATGTGCATACCCCTCAAATTCACAAGAGAACCCCTGCAGCAAATAGAAAATTGAAAGTGGCTAAACATTTAAGAAGAGTAAAGCCCCCGCCTTAGCTGGTTTGGCTCAGTGGATAGAGTGTCAGCTTATGGACTGAAGGGTCCCGGGATCAATTCTAACCAAGGGCAGGTACCTCATACCTTGGTTACAGGCTTGATCCCTGGCCCTGGTTGGCAACCAATCAATGTTTCTTCCTCTCTGTCTCTTCCTTCCACTCTCTCTAAAAATCAATGGGAAAATATCCTTGAGTGGGGATTAACAACAACATAAAAGAATGAAGCCCCTGAGGTGGCCACAAGACAAGGACTTCCAGTAGAGGAGGACATGCTCACCTGTGCAGTGACATCTAAGCCCTGTTAACTAGGAGACAAATAAGTCCTAATGCCAGAGCCATTGCAGATTTAAAAATTCAAATCATATATATATATAATCCAAGTTTATAAGATGGTAGAACTGAGATCTGAAACCCAGTTTGGCCATCTCTAAAATATATGTGACTAACCACAATCACAATACTTCTTTGTTTTCTCATATATAGGGACATATTCATGTGGGAACCTGTTACCACTACCTATAGACATCTCTAATAAACACATGCATTTTTGTCACTTGGTAATAACAAATGCTCAATTTCTCAAATTCAATATTCACTTATTGTGGCTTGGTGCTAAATACCTGAGTAAGAGGGACATCCTGAGCCCCAATATTTACTTAGTTTGTTCCCAGAGACCTTTATATAATATTAGAGACCCAATGCATGAAATTCTGCAAGGGGCTCAGCCCTCGCAGCCCTTCACAGCCTCACCTTCATCCGGAAGGTTATCTGGACAGTCGTTCTGCTGTCTGGTCTAATTAGCATATTAGCTCTTTATTATATAGGATGACAACTAGTTGGTGAGAGTAACTACATACTTGAAGATTTATGATTCTTTGGAAGTATTTCCAACCCAGAAATATTAGTGTTCTGACCTGCTTCATGTTAAATCACTTATCCACCTTCCCTACACGTTTGAGGAGCTGTAAGGCAACTAACAGAGAAAAACACTCTCAACCGAGTTAAGCGGTAAAGATTCTACATTTGATTTTAATGAAACAAGTTGTACTTTCTCTGAGCTGTAACATGAAAATGATCATCAGACTGCCCTCACGTGGTTGTTATTAAGGAGCAAATGAAAATCATGGATGTGGGCCAAATTGTTTGTTCACACATAATATATTACCACCAACTCCCTTTTAGAAAAGGTCACCTGCACATTGGGCTTCCAGAGCCATTCAGTTAAAAGTGTTGTTACCTTTCACAACCAGTCTTAATGAGCTCATAAATGATAAGCATCCTGATACAGAGCCTGTAATTTTAATTTCCCAATCTTGCCTTATAGTCAATATCTTATGTCATTTTCTGACATTCTGTTTTGCTGCCTTTGCAAAAGGCAATAGCATCTAACCATTTCTCCAGGGAAAATCAGAATAAAGATCTTAGAATATCACAGGTGTTTTGTTAAATTAACATTATGAGGGCAGCCAAAAAGAATGTTTAGAGTGGGTATACTAAGTGGGTAAGAGCCAGGTTTCTGGACTGGAACTGAGGGTTCAAGTCTTAACCCCACTTTTTCCTCAAGTGTCTGACTTCACCCATAAAATGCACATGATAACAGTACCTTATTACATTATGCATATTTTAAATTAGTTAATTTGCATAAAGAATTTAGCACAGTGAGCAGTACCCAAAATAATGCATACATGCTGGCCACAAGTATAAAGCAGACCCATATTCAGAAACACAAAATCACAGAAATATAGTCTTAAGAGAAGCATTCAGTGGTAGACTCACTGGAAGTCTGTCAATGATCTCCACTTCTCCCTTTCTCCCTGTCCCCGCACTAACCTTTTTTCAAAAAAATATGTTTATATTGATTTCAGAAAGGGAGATATTGGGGAGCAGAAGAGACTTGGTTGGAAAATTGTAAGGATGATATTCTGAGAAAGGGGAAGTGTGTGGAAGACCACCTTCCCTGTTTATTGGAATTCCGACTTAGGGGAGACAGTGGAATGTCGAAGGTGGCACTTCTAATTATTCCTCGACCTTTCCAATAAAGTCTGTGCAAGTGCAGACCACTGGGTGTTTACTGGAATCCCTATACTTAGTCCCTAGATGCTCTTGCTTAGAGGACAATGTAAACACATGTGTCCTCCCAATACTACTTACCTGCTGATTGCATCTAAAAGATAAACTTTATCTCAATCTGCTGTACAATAATGGGCTAACAAGGCAGGCAATTGTGGCTGCTGGCTTCTTCAGATGGGCCATCCCTTAGCCCTCTCCCCCATAGTGAAACTGTGTCGGAGTTATCTGTTCATCCGTCATTCCGGGGCTGCTGGTCAGCCCGGGCTTGGGGCGGGGGGGGGGGGGGGGGGGGGGGGGGAAGAGAGAAGAGAGAGAGGAGGGGGAGATAAGCATCAATGTGAGAATTATTGATTGGTTGCCTCCTGCATGCCCCCTACTGGGGATCGAGCCCACAACCCTGACATATACCCTGACTGGGAATCGAACGGTGACCTCCTGGTTCATAGGTCGATGCTCAACCACTGAGCCATGCTGGCTGGGTCCCTCACTTCCCTTTGCTATTATTATCCCCACAAATAAGGTGGGCACAGTGGTCAGCTGAGAGGGGTCAAACAACTTCTAGGAAGGTGGTTTGTAAAAAGTAGGCAAGTAGAAAATGGATGGGCAATTGAATTGATACATTGCTAAGGATGCTTAATTGATAAAGAAAAGAATAAGAGCTTTGGGAAGCAATTTGGCCATGAGTATTCTGGGCAATAAACACTTTGACATTGCTTATCTCAATAATGACGCTTCTTAGAATTCAACTGGAGGAAACAATAAAAAAGGGAGGGAAATTACATGTTACCAGATGTTGTGGATAAAAAAAAGGGAAAGTGACCTCACAGGGGGATCTAATCATAAATTCCTAACTGGGAAGGTCACACAGTGTGTAGTTGTGCCCTAGGCCTTTCACTTCTCTAGTGAAAGGTTTTTAAGCCTGCCCTGGGAGCATCTAGGTTAAACACAACTTTGAAATACCAGAAGTAATGCCCCTGGAAGACATAATCACCCTCAACAGAGCACATAAACTTATCCTGTAAGCCCATCCCTACCCACCTTGCTCTCTCCCACCTTCCTTATATTCTCTCCTTAATTTCCAATGCATAAAAGAAACTATAGCCGAAACCGGTTTGGCTCAGTGGATAGAGCGTCAGTCTGCGGACTGAAGTGTCCTGGGTTTGATTCCAGTCAAGGGCATGGACCTTGGTTGCGGGCACATCCCCAGTAGGAGACATGCAGGAGGCAGCTAATCGATGACTCTCTTTCATCGATGTTTCTAACTCTCTATCTCTCTCCTTTCCTCTCTGTGAAAAATCAATAAAATATATTTTAAAAAAAGAAAAAGAAAGAAAGAAAGAAAGAAAGAAAGAAAGAAAGAAAGAAAGAAAGAAACTACAACCCTGTCATTCTTCAGAGCATATTAGATCTTGCTTCCCAGCAATTTTCAGTTTTGGATCAAATAAATTCATAACAATTCTCTACAGGTTTAGACATTCTTACATCTACTCTTATTATACATAGCAAGGGCTGTTGGCCAATTTCCTTCTATTAGTATATTAACTGCAGACTGAAATACTTCTGATCCCAGCCACACTTTTCCCGTAGGAAAGCTGAACAGTAAGGAAAATGGTGGAAGCAAAATAACAGTCAGCTCTCCTCCCACTCTGCATTCCCAGTGTCGACAGAGACACACCTGATTTACACAACAGCCTTCCTGTTATGTCTCTTCCCTCTCCTCTCCATCCGTCTGGGACAGAGACTCATCATCTTGGGCATTCCACAACTGTACACACAGCCATACCATTCCAGCCCCGCCTCCCCGACACACACACACATACACACACAAACACACACTACTGCGACAGCCCAGGCTATGCCCCATGGCTGTCCTTTGGTTAGACTTGTACCCCGTTAGGTGATACTCCCCACCGTTTGTCCAGTGGTAACTCTCTGAAGGCATGGCACCCAACCTTGTCTATCCTCCTCTGAGTCTTAGAATAAGGTGTGCCTCCAGCCACCCTGCACCTCCCAGCATCTGCCTCACCCAGATTTACTGCCCGACCACAACTGAAAGAGTGGGTCCTGGGCCTCTACTGTGTTTAGTAAGCACCTGCTCTATGTCAGGACCTGAGTTAGTTGCTGGGATTTAGAGATGATTGAAAACTAATCACTCTCCATAAGAAGCTGGCAGTGGAAACGTGGAAACAGAAAATTACTATATAAACAGGTAAAGGCTGAGACAGGATGGAGTGCTGTGGTCACACAGAGGAGACAGTCTCCACAGCAGGCATCACCTTGGAGGTGGCTTTTGAAGAATCAAGAGTTAACCATGCCAAGAAGCAAACACACAAACTCGTCTTACAGGTCTGCAGAAAACAAGCAGCTCACAGAAACGGTACTGTGGCAGTGAAAGCAGAGCACGCCATTGCAGGCCCACAGCAGTGCGCACAGTCTGCTGGGCAAGGCATGATCTACAGAGATTAAAACAAACTGTGATCTCTGCTCCCAGGCACGATATATATTCCCTAAACATAAGACAAACTGCTCGGAATACACTGCGCATTGAGAAGGGATGAGGACAGGTGAATTTAACTCAGGTCCTAAGTACAAAGTTCACTGGGGTGGGGAGGAGAAGCACTCCCATTAAGGCACTGAACGGGGTGGATGGAATGAGAAAAAAATCAAGGCGAGGCCCCAAGAGGTCAGCGGGATGGAGAAAGGGAGGAAAATGAAGCCTGGGCTGGAACTCTGAGACTGGGGCAGGAAAGAGGGTGGGGCCAGTGGGCTCCACCTCCTCCCCGCCTCCCACTTCCCCCACAAGCTACTTTCTTTGGAGTCTGTTCCAGACTGGTGAGGTAGGAACTCCTAAGGAGGGTGACGGGTGACAGGTGACGGGAGGGTCATGGGATTGGGGCAGGGGTGTAAGGAAGGGGCCTGGCCCCTTTGCAGAGTCTGTGAGTCCTTGCTGTGCAGAGTTCAGGGAACTCCTGACATGGTTGCCTGCGAGTTGCCTCCTAGCTCCTGTTAACTGCAGGCAGGAAACTAGAAATGTGAGCTTACTGAGTTAGAGCCAGGAGAGGGTGGAGGACCCGGGTGGATGTGGTGTAGAGAGGTCAGAGGTTATCTGGCTCCTGCCCATGGCCCTAGGCCTCTGTAAGATTCTCACGTAGTAGCTGTGGCCCTGTGGCTAAGTTGTGTCTATGTGCATTTTCTACCTCCCACGGAGCATGGACTGACTGGAGGAAATGTGAAGGTGGGGTCAGACACCAGGTAAGTGGCACCCCCTACTCCCTACTCACCCCAACAGGGTCTTACTGAGGGCCCTGACTGCGAAGCTGGGGAATGGAGGTCCAGTGCAAACAGAAATAGAAAAAGGGCAGGGCCTGCCCCATCACCTGGGTTCCAGAGATGCCACTGAACCCCAAGGTCCCAGGGCCCACCCGGGACTGGATCCTGATGTGGAAAGATAGATCTGGGAGAATCCAGGGAAGAAGGAAAAAGGAAGGGGGCAGGGCCATGACACAGTAAACTGGCTTGATTGCTGAGAATCAGAACTCTTGGGCAGGGGGTCCTGGCTTATTCCACACATCCTGATACCCTGGGGCCCTGATCCAGTGTGAACCTATAGAGAATTATAGGCTGGAGAGGATACTGATGATCATCTATTTTGGCCATTTATTTAATTTGAGATTGAAGAGCCTGAAACCCCCAAAAGGTGTCTGATATGCTTACTTTGGAATCTGTCCCAGCCATGATGCCAGATGCTGGTTGAGACACGACAGCTGTGTATCTTTTTGCAGGAGCCTGGGGAGGGGCCATGTTGCCGAGCCAGTTGTGGGGGAGCCTGGAGAAGCCGCTTCTCTACCTGTGCTGTGCCTCCTTCTTCCTGGGGCTGGCTTTGCTGGGCCTACAGCCGAACATCCTCCCTGTTGCTTATTTCTTTCTGACCTTGGGCGGCTTCTTCATGTTTGCCTGCCTGCTGGCCTGTTTTCTGGAATGGGTGTTCCAATCAATGCAGCCGGACAGCCCAGGTCCCTCAGGCAATGCTCGGTGAGTCGAGAGGTGGGAAGGATTGAAGGAATATACCGTGCCAGTGATTTTCCATCTCATGGCACACATAAACTAATTACTAAAATTCTGCAGCACACACACACACACACAAAAATATATATATATATATATATATATATATATATATATATATATATATATATATAATTTTTTTTTTATTTTTTTTTTTTGCCGATCTGACAAATGTAATAGATGTAATCTTGACTCTTTCCCACCATACAGCTATTGTTGTGATGGCTACTGTCATTCTTTTAGACAGCCTAAGGGGGAAGGTCAGTGCCCTTGACTAAGTAGTCAGGTATTGCATGTTATAAATTCTTGGAGCACACTGGTTGAAAAATCGCTGCACTGTGCCCATTCTCCCTGTGTCTCTCTAGCCTCTCAGACATACGGGCACTGCTTTCCACCTCTATCTCTGGTATCAGTGAGAGGAGGGGTCAGAGGCTATGGAAGGGTCTTTTGTTGGTAGAGGATAGAAAAGGGCTCCTTTCAGTAATACACCAATGACCTTATTTCTCCTGTGTCAGGGACAATGAAGCCTTTGAGGTGCCACCCTATGAAGAGGCTGTGGTGTTGGAATCACAGTGCCGCCCCCAAGAATTGGATCAACCACCTCCCTACAGCAGTGTGGTAATCTCCCCAGGACTCGTGGAGGGACAGCCTGGCCATCCAGAGGGGCCCACGAGAGCCAGAGTGGAAAGGCGAGTGGGCTCAGAGGGGTCTATGGCCCCAGGAAGTGCTGGAAGAGCTCCTATCAGCCTCCGGCTTCGGGGACCACGAGTTGTGTCCACTGCTCCTGATCTGCAGAGCTTGGGCATGCTCCCCAAATTGGAGCCGCTCCCCAGATTGGAGCCTCTCACTCCACCGCCTGACTATGATGTCAGCTTCAGTCACCCTGATGATGACAACGTTTTTTATGAAGACAACTGGACACCCCCCTAAGAGACTGTCCCAGGATATATCATATCTCTGCACCAGACCCTCTTATTCATTTGACCACTTTTCCCAGTGCCTGCTGGGAACTGGATTATCACCAATGGGGATTTTAAAAATATATTTTATTGATTTTTCACAGAGAGGAAGGGAGAGAGATAGAGAGCTAGATACGTCGATGAGAGAGAAACATCGACCAGCTGCCTCCTGCACAACCCCTACTGGGGATGTGCCTGCAACCAATGTACATGCCCTTGACCGGAATCGAACCTGGGACCCTTCAGTCCGCAGACCGACGGTCTACCACTGAGCCAAACCAGTTTCGGCACCAATGGGGATTTTAACCCAGAGGGGAGTTGGGCTATGGTAAGCCCTTCTCAGTTGAGATGCAGGTGGTAGAGTTTGAATTTTTTAGGCGACATTCAGAAACCTAACCCATAATCGTTATTTTAAGAGTTAGATTGAGGGTGAGATGAGACTTTGATCCAGACAATCTGGAGAAGAAAGAAAAGCAACATTTGAGTGACAGTTACATTGCCTCTGCTCTGGGTGCTTTGCCTCTGTTAGATCACCTAGACTTCCCAGCCTCGTAAGGTAAAATCACCCTCGTTTGAAAAATGAGGATTCCAAGGGTCAGAGAAGTTTGATTATTTGCACAGGAGCACAGTGCTAGTAAACAGCATAAAAATAGTTTGAACTCTGATCTTCTGGTCCAAAAGCCTATGATGTTCTCAAAACAAGGTAGCCGGGCCATCTGCACATCTCTCTGTCTCAGTGAGGGATGGTAGACAGAGTGGGGGACCAGTTGTGACTGCAGACCGGGTGGGCTGAGAGTGATCAGGAATGTGCCCAGCCTCCTGGAGGCAGACTAGTCAAAGCTGTGATAACTAACCCCTGCTCCAGGGGGGAAGCAGTTCCGGCCCAAGGGCTAGAGAGCAGTGCCCAATGAGGGGTCCCCATCCTATTGGGATGCAGTGGAGTAACACTGCCCTGTGGTTAGGGTCTTCCCATTCTGAGAATGGGTGGAAAGGTGAACAAAGTGGGAGCTTCTTGGCAGAGGTGGCAGAGTATCTAAGGATGGATACCCTTGTGTCATCCAATGTGAAGGCTGGAATCCATGGCACCAACTCTCATCGCTTCAGCCTCACCCCTGCACTCTCACTGCTAGGGTTTTTTACATCAGCCCCGGCCCTGCTTCCTCACATCCCGACTCAACGCTAGATTGTTTGGAACAAGCATGTCCTGGCTTATTTGGCCCGTGTCAGACTCTGGAATCATGCGCTGGGAGTTGCTCAACCACGGATGACCTACCCTCCTCTTCAGTGCGCTCCCACACAGGCCTCCAGTCACTGAGCGAGAACCCGTCTGGCGCCTCCTAGCGTCCCCCGCTTCCTTACCGCTCCCCACCATTTCAATAAAGTACAAAGTCCGGCCACACCCGTCTCTGTCAAGTTCTTGCCATAGGCCAGGCGGGCGGAGTGGGCGGGGTAAGGGGGAAAAAAAAGGAGCCTTGATTTCCGCGGGAACCCGCGACCAATCGCATCCCCACGTACGGCGGGGCGGCTCCTCGCTTTAAGCCCGCCCCTTCCTTTTCCGCCCAGGGCGCGCGCTCACGCCATTGGACAGCGCGTTCACCGGGAGGCTCTGCGCCTGCGCGCGCAACCAGGGACGGGCGGGGCGGGGCGGCCTCGCCGAGGGGCGGGGCCAGGAGAGGCAGGGCGCAGGCGCGTTGTGGGCCGCCCGTCTGGAGAGGGATGCCAAGGGCTCGGAGGCTTTCGATTTGTTTGGTTCGTGGGCGGTGCGTGCACAGCCCGGGAAAAGCGAGAAATGGCGACGCCGATCGCGGGCTCCCGGCCCGCCCTCGCCCTAAACGGGCTGATGGCCGCTGACAGGGGACGCAGGTGAGTGCGGGAACATCCCAGGGGTCCTTAGTGGGGCCCAGGGAAGGGGATCGCGCGGCTCAAGCCTGTGGCCCTGGCGCCTCTCCCCACCGTGGACCCCTGCGGAGCCTCGTCCGAGCTCCCCGCCCGGAGTGGGAAGCCTGGCTGCGCCCCCCAGGAGCGCGCCGGCCTCTTTCCGGCCACGTCCTCCCTGCACAGCCTGGGTTCATCCAACCCCAGGCGGGGCGGGGGGGGGGGAGGTGGGCTTTGAACAAGGGAGCTCTTTCCATCCCTGCCAAATCTCTGCTTCTCTTAAAGACTCTCCATCTTTAAATCGTTCTGAGTCTTTCCCCTGTTATGCTTCTGAGGAACTCGACTCTATCCCCTTAACCGATGAGACATGCAGATCTCCTGATACCGCCTAATGTGCATTTGATTTGGATTGAATACATCATGACCCGTATTGCTTTGGGTACAATGACCAGATTTTCGAAGCAGTCAGCCCAGGCTTTGCAAGGGTGAGAGCACTTTGAAAGGACAAGGAGGTTCCCGAGGCTCCCCGTGTGTGTGTCTCCATCTCTGCCCCAGTTAGAGCATTTAATGGCAGACATCACACAGGATAACATGTAAGTGCCTCCTGGTCCAGACCCAGAAGATTAATTGAAGACTTCGGAACTGAAACTTGATGGAGGACACTGGATCAAGATTGAAGGAATCTCTTTGTCCTTTTGTCTATCTCTTCCTCCCCTTCCAGATGTGTCCTAAAGTTCTAGGATGGTGGTTACCTTTGGAAAGTCCACCTTTGAGATTCACGGCATAATATGGAATACAGAAAGGAGCAGGTGTGTGGAAAACAGATGATGCTGCCCTGGCCGCTTTCTCAGTGGCTAGAGCGTCGCCGCTCAGACGAAAGGGTGTGTTGTTTCTGGTCAAGGGCACTTACCTTGCTTGCTAGCTGGATCCCGCCCCCCCATCGGGACACGTGTGGGAAGCTACCAATGATATGTGTCTCTCACATCTATGTTTCTCTCTCTTTCTCTCTACCCCTCCTTTCCACTCTCGCTAAAAATCAGTGGGAAAATATACGTGAGTGAAGTTTATTAAAAAAAAAAAAAAAAAGCCAAAACCTGTTTGGCTCAGTGGATAGAGCGTTGGCCTGCGGACTGAAGGGTCCTGGGTTCGATTCAGGTCAAGGGCATGTACCTTGGTTGCCGGCACATCCCCAGTAGGGGGTGTGCAAGAGGCAGCTGATCGATGATTCTCTCTCATTGATGTTTCTGGCTTTCTATCCCTCTCTCTTCCTCTCTGTAAAAACTCAATAAAATATATTTTTTTTTTTTAAAAAGAAGAAGAAAGAAAGCAGATGATGCTTCAGATTAAACCCAAGGAAGTTTTTTATTGAAAATTCAAATATGGAACTTGAAAGGGTTAAGGACTGAGAATCGATTATTGAATTATGAGTATGGATGAGACAGACTAGGGACAGCTTCTTTCAGAGATTCTTACTATCAACATTTAAGGGTAGGCCAAAGGTCCTCCATTGGGATATGGTGGGCATAGAGAGGACCTGGAGAGAATGGTATCATGGGAGGAAAAATTTATTTTGTTTCTTTTAGTTTATTATTATTATTATTACTATTTTAGAGAGAGGAAAAGAGAGAGACAATCATTACATGAGAAGGAAACATCAATAGAGAAAAACATCGATGTGAGAGGAAAACATCAATAGGCTGCCTCCTGCATGTCTCCTACCGAGGATGAGCCCAAAATCTAGGCATGTGCCCTCACAGGGAATTAAACCAGCAAACTTTCAATGCCTGGGGCAGTGCCCAACCTACTGAGCCACACCGGCCAGGGCTGCTTTAGTTTTATCTCCATCAAAATTTAACAGCAATAGGCACATATTAAAACGAGTATGGCAAAGCCTTCTACAAATGGCTTTACTTTGAGGTTGGCCTCATTACACTTATTTTTACCTGAGTTTTATCTTTTTTATTGCTTTTTTTATGATCTAAAGTGATTATTAAATAGTTTTGATTTCTGTAGATTGTGTTGTAGCAGGTTTTTACTGAAAGTTTGGGGTAATAGGAGTCTTTCAAGAAACAAGAAGTTTAAGTGGAATTTAAAACATCACTACTGTTCTAAACCCAAATAGTAACATAGGTTGGCTGCTTCCAACCCTGGAAATGTGTTCCTGACCACTCCCTCTGCCTTGGGATCCCACATGCTATCTTCTTGGATCTCTCTCGATCCAAGACCATGCTTTTTTCTTCTGTAGCTACAAATGTCTCACCTAGACTTAAGCCAAGTACATTCTACAAATGCATGGAATTTCCCTGATTCTAAGAAGCACATTGTAGCATCTTTGAGATCAAGATGGATCTTTAAATAGGGTTTTAAATTATAAACTGAAGCGATTACCATATCCCTTTCTCACTGCCATCAGGCTCTTTCTACTATCATATATTTGGAAACTGACTAAGCAGGCTGGCGTGCTCTAGATTTACATAAACTAGGCACGTAGATAATACACAGTTAAATGGGATTCTTTTAATTCAGAAACAGAAACTGATCTCTTTCCAAATCAATAGCAAAACTTAAGGAATCCTTGAAATAAAGATATCCCTAGTAAACTAAATTACAAAAATAATTTAGCCTTTATGTGCTTTAACTCTTTAAGTGATTTCAAATTATGATGATTGTGTCCATCATTGGTATTTATCTACTATAAGTTCCTGTCATACTTTCTACTTATCCAGTCTTTACAGGATTGTGATAATTTCTAGTCACATTTTGTCACAGGAACTTAACGTTTGAAAAGCCATAGTTATAATTTGTATACTTAGACTAGATAGAGTGTGTTTGTATGTTGTCTCATTTACTTTCCATTAGAGCTGGCCGTTGGTTATCACTTTCAGCAGCCTAGATAAATAATTTGTGATGTGTTTTTTGAGATAATTGTTTTAATTGAAATTGGTCTGTTTGAGGAACATTCCTTCTCATGAATACATGTGTGCTTGTTGTATTTTTATAAGATAGCTTTTTCCCTCCCCTAAATGACCATTTATCTCAGACAATGCTCTCAGTTGAACATATTCCATAAAGAATTACATCATTTCCTTATGCTCAACATGTTATTGCTCAATACTTCCTTGATTTTAATGAGATTCGATAAAATTAACCTTGGTTATTGTAAGTTCTGTTCCTTTTGTTCTTCCTGCCCACACCTCTTCCACTCCACTCTTCTGGGCCATATCTTATGTATTGACAGCCTTTCTCTATGCCTTTTATCTGTAGGATATTGGGAGTGTGTGGCATGCATCCGGACCATCAGGAAGCTCTGAAAAAGAACCGAGTGCTCCTGGCCAAACAGCTGTTGCTGAGTGAACTGTTAGAACATCTCCTGGAACAAGACATCATCACCTTCGAAATGAGGGAGCACATTCAGGTATCTGGAGGCGAAAGAGAAAAACCAAGTAAATTGGTTGTAGAAGTAGGAACAGAGCACAATAAGTGTAAAAAGGGTGTGGTGCCCTATTAAGGAATTGAAAATGCCCTTCTACCCTAAAGCATTGAAGAGAAAAGGTATATAATTCAGGAATAATAGGAAGGGCTTCACCCATATTGTTTTTTCTGTGAAAGGAATTCTTGAGATGGACATTTTTAGGGAGCTCATCTGGAAAAAAGGAATTCTAGCTAGATATGTTTAGATTTCATGTTTTATTCTTGTATTGTAGGCCAAAGTGGGCAGTTTCAACCAGAATGTGGAACTCCTCAACTTGCTTCCCAAGAGGGGTCCTCGTGCTTTTGATGCCTTCTGTGAGGCCCTGAGGGAAACTAAGCAGGGTCACCTGGAGGATCTGTTACTCTCAACCCTCTCTGGTCTTCAGCAAGTACTCTCACCGGTATGGAGCCCTAGACATGCGGTGGGTTGAGAAGGGTTAGTTTGGTGGGTAAGGAATTTATGACACAGGGTGGGGAGACTAGATCTTTGTTTTATTGAGACTAGACCATCTCCCTGAGACCTTGCACGGGGCTTCTGATTTCTTACAGTTGAGCCGTGACCATGACTTGAATCTGTCTTTCCCGGTGTGTGAGTCCTATCCTCCTCACAAGCGGCTCCGCCTTTCTGTAGGTGAGAATTCATGGGATAAAATGGGTCCCACAAATTGACTTCCCTTTTCTTAACTGGTATCTGACTTTGCCCTGGAGTGATAACTTTTCATTCATATTGGGGACAGTTTCCTCGGTAAATTTGTTGGGACTAGCCGGGCAGTTTAGGTGGGATATTGGTTATCCTATTTCCCTTCCATCACAGATGATTTTTTTATGGTAATTCGCCCTTGGAGCAACTTTATAGGCAGGAAATTCCTGCATATGGTTGGCCTGTCTCGTCTATGAAGCTGAGGTATTGTAGAATGAGGAAAGACATCATCAGCCACTAGCCTGCTGATTGAGATGCTTTGTGATTAAACAAGGCTTTTATCATATATCCAATTCAGTTATTTGGTGACTTGAGAGCCCAATTCTATTTAGGCTAAGTAAACAGGTCTCTGACCTCATGGATCTTACAAATTTAGGGGAATGTGCAAGACCAAAACTTATTAAATCCCCGGTTCAAGGGGTGCCTGAAGTTACGAAGTACTAGGACTGATGCATAGGTTGCGTGCTAGCTTTTGGCTTTCTGTGCCACAGATACTGTGGAACACTCCCTGGACAACAGAGATGGCCCACCCTGCCTTCAGGTGAAGCCTTGTACTCCTGAATTCTATCGGACACACCACCAGCTGGTGAGTCTGGCAACATGGCACAAGGAAAGAGTTGGGAAATGAGGTGCCCTTTCTGGGCATGTGAACTTAGTTTGTGTATACATTCTCTCCCTGTTGATTAGTCAGAAAGTCTTGGCTGGTGGGCATATTTTGGACTTGACCTGGTGGGGTTCAGAAGAGTATGATGTCGGTGTTTTCTTGAAATGTGTCACCTAGTTGGGGAGGCGCAGTGTCTGTCCTTAGGAAGCTCTGGGTCTAATTGGCGTCCCCTCCCCAGGCCTATAGGTTGCAGTCTCGGCCGCGTGGCCTGGCACTGGTCCTGAGCAACGTGCACTTCACTGGAGAGAAGGACCTGGACTCCCGCTCCGGAGGGGATGTGGACCACAGAAATCTAGTCACCCTCTTCAAGCTCCTGGGCTATACTGTCCATGTTCTACTTGATCAGACTGCACAGGTACCCGGCGCAGCATTTGGGGCCAGAAACCCCTGCTGCTTCTCTGCTTGCTGGGCTGTCTTACTAGTTACTTTATTCCTTACCTTTTGGCTCACTCTTTCCTGCCTCTCACCTTGCAATCTAGTTTTTATTTTAAAAAAGAACTAGGGTCAGCCAGCTACTTCAGTGCCGATTTCTCATAAGGCCGTGCTCTCCCTGCTGAGTAGTAAAAGTCCACAGTTGGGTTCTTGTTTTTTCATGCTCAGCAAATTAATTCCCTGTCACTCAGGGAGTGAGGAGACACTGAGAGTCACCCAGCCAGCTCAGAAGGATATTTCTAAGCCAAGGCTACATGGGACATTTATTTCTTGGTTAATCATAACAGGAGTCTAGTTATTGTTGTAAAGATTTCTTTAACGGATAAAATTGTTGCAAACGAGAGTTCGATGGAATTGCCCTGGTAAATGTTGTTTTGTGGCAGTTTAATGAGTTAACATATAGGAAAATTCCTTGTGTTTAAGAGTTGGGTGGCCACAAGGCAGATCTTAGAGTAAATTACTTCTGGACTAGATGCCTGCACATCATAAGCATCATTATGAGTTATTCCTCATTAACCTCAGTTAACCAGCTACACGTCCAACTTAACTACCTTTGGCTATTTCTGATTTGAAATTGTAATAGCCAATTGGTGAATTAATAATATTCTTCACTTTTGATTCCAGAAGAGTAGTGCTTTCCTGAACTTGCTTTTTGGAATGTCATTGGTAAAATTAAAATTTCTGAGAGATTCACTTTGATCTTTTGAGGCACGGGTCTCTGTTTTGCCTTCAACATTGTCTGCGGTCTCTGTTTCTCTCTCTCGGCTGTCTTGCTTCTGTGAGGAAAATGATGTATTTGCTATACTTTGGTAAGGCCAGTTTCACCAGTGGGTTCTCAGGTGTTCTCCTTTGCATGCTGTTCTTGCCAGCTTTCCAGTAACAGCTCTTGCAGAGAAGTAAGGCCACCCGTGCTCCATGCCATGGCCGAGCAGCTGCTTTAGTCATCTAGTATTCAAGTAGGTCATCTGCTTTCCTGAGAGGTCTGTTGGGAATCAGCCATCATTCCTACAGAGGGAATCCTGTTAGAAAGTCTTAGCAAGAGGAATGCTTTCTATGCTTCCTTACAGGTTCTGCTCTGGTTGTTCCTTTTACTAGGAATTAATGATGTCCTGGTTTTCCATATTGTGTGCATTCGGTGGGAATCTTCCATGCATGATAGTGAAACATACAACTGTGAGTCACCAAGTCAGATGTGTACTGTTGTTTTCAGAGACAGTCAGAACAATGTGTGGATCTATGAGCACATTTCATAAACACCATTCCTGTTTATGTTAAACCTGATGCAGACTCCAGGTCCTACTGGATTCTCATTCTCTGGTTATGTTGTTCTGTAACTGCAATTGCGGTAACATCAAATTTTGAGTACCTTAGAATGGGCAGGCTGTGGGGTACCAGAGATTTAAAAGTATGGACCCTGAGTTCTGGGACCTCAGTTAGATGAGAAAGTCTTAACAGCAGCAAAAAAGGAAGCATGTCTCGTATATTTCCAAGGACCAAGCAAAATTTGAGACAGTTTCTTCTACAGTAGTTAAGAGGAAGAAACAATTGCCTGGGTAGATATCGTCTGAAGGATAAGTGGAGACTTGAACTGGCCTTGAAGGATAGAAGTTTCCAAGGAGAGAGAAGTGGTGAAAGGAGCCCAGGCAGGGAGAATAGCGTGTGGACAGGAAATGTATGTGTGATGTTAGGGACCTAGCAGGTGAACCAAATGCCTAGGCCCTAGGGCAAAAGAGTGCCAGAAATAAGATTGAAGATAAAGGGACCAGAATGAACAGGGCCTTGGATGTCTTCCCAAAGGAATTAGACATCCTTGTTTTGACATTAGAACATCGTTAGTAATTCTTGAGTAGAAAGTGATGCATTATTCACGTGATGATTCAGAAAGATTAATATGACACCATTGCAAAGAATGGAGTAGAGGCTAATGACAGGAAACCCATTCTGGAGTTAAAATCGTAATGTCTAGTGTGGCAATCACCAACCTTTTAGACCTCACGGACCACCAGTTGGTGACCGCTGGTCTAGTGGACCAAAAGGGAAAGAATATATGTGAAAACAGTGTAATGGCATGGTTGTACTTCCATTGCTTGGTGATTGAACGATTGTATATAAAGGGAGTTGGAAAACTTAAGTGAGGAATCGAGGGCCTCAAAGGACATCGGGACCAAAGATGTAAATTTTGGTATTACTTATGTAGGAAAGTAATGAGAAAGAGTTACAAGAGCAAAAGGCTTAGGGCTGACCCCTGGGAGATAGCCCTCCTTGTAGCCTAATCCTCAGCTCTAAAGATTCAGAGACCAGAGGAGGACATTGCAGAACCGGTTTCTGGCAGTGGCCAAACACTCAGATGCAGTATGATCAGGTAGGCGCAGTGGGGGAGAGAATTTGGTGCACTGCACGTCTGCATGAATACTTTCTTCCTGGAAGGACCTCACAAGCAACTCAACTGTTGTTATATAATTATTTGGCGAGCAAAGAAACAGAATCCAAAAATTAAGATCCCCTCTTTTTTGCCTTCTATTACAACTTTTTTACTTTCCGTTTAAAAATTGGAAATAGTTAGTAGTCTTAGGGAATCCTCTTTTTCTTGACAGTGCGGGAGCACTCACTGGTCTTTCGCTGCTTGTGTTGGTTTCATTTCTTTTTTGGCATCAAAGTATTCTCATTGCATCTCCCTCATGAGGCTGCTAGTTCTAGAATTACAATTTATCATGTATAAAGAAATAACCCGTTTCAAGTGGCAAATTTTCTTTTGCTATATGGTATTGGTTTTTAACTTGCAGTTGGGTCGAAGACTGCTTTGAGAGTGTAGGGACAAGCAGTGGGTCATTCCAGGAAAATGAAGCTATCCACAAAATGTTGCATATAATTTCAGATGGTTTGCAGATTATTTTCTTCTCCTGTATTCCCCATCCCCAGCCAAAAATAAAGGCAAAACTGCTCTTTAGAGAATTTTATGTAATTTTATTTGAAATAAAGCTGCAGATCATTTCCCCAAATGACTCATCTCCATTTATTGAAAGGTTTAGTCATGCCAATTCAGTTACAAAGTATGTGTTCTTACTTTGGACTTACTTGTCGTCTGTTTACTGACCTAATAATCTCGCTGAAGTTCAAAATGCTTGTCTTTTTATTCCCTTCCACAAAGAAACTTAACTTCAACTACTACTTGCTAAATTGTTACAGTCATCTCGAAAGGAGCATTCATACTTACGTATTCTCTTGGGGTTGGTATATATTCTTGAAACACGTCAATTTTGGATGTCTTTTATTACCTTAAGATTTCCAATATTACAATTGGCTTCTACTTGCCCAGAAAATATACATACTTTTCAACAGAGCCAATTTCTCCGTTTCCAGTTATGTTGCAGACTAACAAGTCTTGTATAATGAAGTCTCAATTATGTGCAACAGAAGTATAGTTGGCCTTGAACAACACAGGTTTAAACTGCACAGGTCCACTTACATGCAGACTATATATCCCCAGGTTTCTCATTCGCAGATTCAACCAACCTCAGATGGAACAGTATTTTCAACCCACTGTTGGAAATCTAAAGATGTGAAGGGCTGACTGTATGCCTTGTTCTGCGCCATTTTATTATAAGGGACTTGAGCATCTGAGATTTTGTTATCTATGGGGAGTCATGGAAGCAATCCCCCACAGATACTGAAAGACAACTAGTTAACTTTTTGGGGAGTCAGAAGTATATATGGATTTTTGACTTTGTGGGTGTCAAAGCACCCCTACCCACTGCATTGTTCCAGGGTCAACTGTATTGCAAACAAATAGATTGGTAGTTCTCAAACTTTGCATGTCAGATCACCTGAGGGCTTGTTAAAACAGTTGCTGGGGCCCAAAATTTTGCACTTCTCACAAATTCCCAGGTGATGCTGATGTTGCGCTTTAGGGACCACACTTTGAGAACCACTGCAACATATTACACAGGTGCGTGCTTTTTGTCGGGGGCTGTATATGGTGACTTTTCTGCCTGGATAGCATATTCATCTTCATTACAGTTCATTCAAATTCATAATGAAATAACTTATCTCTCTGCTGATCTCAGATAGAGACAGTCCAGGCATCTTGAGTTGTAGAGAGACATAGGTTTAACAATTGGTATCAGGTTTTATATTATGGTATACTTTCGGTTGATGGGCCAAATGCCTAAAGTAGAGAGGTACTTGTGTATGGTAACATAGTGCTAGATAGACAAGATTCTTTTTAAAATTTTTATTTTAACATTGATTTCAGAGAGGAAAGGAGAGGTAGGGATAGATAGAAACATCAATGATGAGAGAATCATTGATCAACTGCCTCCTGTACACCTCCTACTGGGGATCAAGCCCACAACCTGGGCATGTGCCCTGACCAGGAATAGACCAATACCTCTGGTTCATAGGTCAACATTCTACCACTGAGCCACAGCGGCCACAGGCAATAAAGCAAGATTCTTAAATTGGAATACAAGGTTGATTAGTAATAGGGGTGTTTTGGGGAGGTGGGAGATAATATTGTTACCCTTATAATTAGACATACACATAATAATAATAATGGCAGGCCTTTGCAGGATGTGCCAGACATAGCTGTAAGTCCTTTTTTTCCCTTACAGAATGGGCTTAGAGTCTTGAGGGACTTAAGAACTTGTACCAGTTTTGAATCCAGGGGTCAAACTTCGGTCTGTCTGTCTGATCCTGTGGCCTATGCATTTAATCATTCTAACCTGTCAGAATTTTCCAGATAGCATGCTCCTTCCTGAACAAGATGTTTTATACAGATATCATTACTGTCTCCGGGCAATTCAGATCTCAGATAGAAAGCATCACTGTTGTTCTCTAGATCATGGTCCTGTTAAGCCCTTTGTCACGGAGCAGTTTATTCCCTTGTGGCCCCGTGGGTGATACTCATTCTTTTGAGCAAATACTAATGTACAACAGTATTTGCTCAAAAGAAATCTGGTTGGTGATAGGGGTGGTGGTGGTAGATAAAGTTAACTAACTCTTGATTAGCTTCATTAGTGATGTGCTTTAATCCAGGAGTTCTTAGCATATCTCAGTCTGTGAATTTTGTGCCATTATATTCAGAATTCTTTGAAGTCATGCATTTTCTAGTGAATCCATGCTTTTTCTAGCCTCTCAATGGGTCTATGACTTTACTTATCATTGACCACATAAATCACTCTATCTTCTAATAACTTAAGGTTTCAGACACCATTGAAAAGCTTATATTGGCCGAAACCGGTTTGGCTCAGTGGATAGAGCATTGACCTGCAGACTGAAAGGTCCCAGGTTCGATTCCGGTCAAGGACATGTACCTTGGTTGCAGGCACATCCCCAGTAGGGGGTGTGCAAGAGGCAGCTGATCGATGATTCTCTCTCATTGATGTTTCTAACTCTATCCCTCTCTCTTCCTCTCTGTAAAAAATCAATAAAATATATTTTTAAAAAGCTTATATTGGTGCTGGCTATAGTGAACAACACTAACAGGTGTGTTTCTTTTAGGAAATGCAAGAGAAACTCCAGAATTTTGCCCAGTTGTCTGCTCACCGAGTCACTGACTCCTGCATTGTGGCCCTCCTCTCTCACGGCGTGGAGGGCGGCGTCTATGGTGTGGACGGCAAGGTGCTTCAGGTGCGTACAGTCCTGTGGGTGGTGTTGGATCACGTCTGTCACCTTCAGCCTGTGCTGGCTGCTGCTGTGTGTATAAGACGCAGAAGGTCCCACTGTCCACTTACCCTCCCTTCTCCCTTCTTCCTTTCCACCAGCTGCAGGAGGTGTTTCGGCTCTTTGACAATGCCAACTGCCCGAGCTTACAGAACAAGCCGAAAATGTTCTTCATCCAGGCCTGCCGAGGAGGTGAGTGCCCTGCCGGACGAGCACCGGGGTGGCGGCTCCTGGGCAGCCTCCCCCCAGCTCTCACTTTCCTGTTTGCTCCTCTCAGGTGCTATTGGATCCCTTGGGCACCTCCTTCTGTTCACTGCTGCCACCGCCTCTCTTGCTCTGTAAGTGTCCCCGATGCATGGGGTGTGCTGGGACCTGGGCAGCCCATGGCTCTCAGGTCGGTCAGCTCTCTGCATCGTCATGCCTGTTCTCAAGACTCTTTTCTGAGGACTCGGACTTTTTTCTATGCTTACCAGTAACCTGATGTGCTTTTTTTGTTACTTCTTCCAGTTAAGGATTTCCTGTCTCTTCTTCCTGTCCCTCTCACTTTATCCTTTCCTCTGTTTCTTCCTCCATCTCTTGTCCCCTTTTCCACTTTCTCCTTTTTCTCGACTTTTCACCTACCCTGCCATCCTTGCCTCCCTGCTTCATCCACCCTGTGCCATGCAGGACAGCAGGTACCAGGTCAGCCCCGGCTTCCTTCTCCTGAGCTGCTCCCCTCCCTCTTCTTTCTCGCATGCAGTTCTATACCAGGACTCGGACTAGGCTCAGCGGACATGCGGGCTTGCTTACTGGGAGGAAACCAGTAATAACAAAACACTAACTGCAATCAAATTCTGCCTCTACCACTGATGCCCCTCTGTCTTCGTTTCCTTGATATAAAGTGTGGAGAATCATCAGGCCTATATCATAGAGCTGTTATGAGGAGTAAATGGAATAGAGCATAGGAAGGGCCTGCTTAGCCCAGAGCCTGGCTCGTAGTAAATCCACCAACACTGCCAGCTGTTACAACACGATCAGTGCTTTTGAAGGGCTTATAGGTTGGTTTGAAGGTCACTTGGTCCAAATATTCAAATAATCATTTTTATCTGTTGTACGTTCAGCAGATGTAAATGACTAATAATGTTTTTATTCTCCTAATATCACCAAAGAATATATCATTTATTAAGGTCCTACAACATGACTAGGACTACACTAGGTAGTGTCACAAAAGCAAAGGAAAATGTGGGCTCTCCAAAGTGCCTGCTAATTACTTGGAAAATACAGCAATATACCTGAAGTAGTTTTGAGTTGTTAAAGGCCTGAAGTAAGCAGGGGTGAAATTAGTGAGATACCAAACATATATGAAGACGCAAGTTGTAAGGAGTAGGTCATTTTAGGCCAGCTTCGTTTGAAGAAATTCAGGGGATATGATGAGGCTTAATTGGGACCCAGAATGATAAGATTTACATAGATATGGAGTAGCATATAGAGTCAGGAGAAAGGGCCGGGGGGGAGGGGGGGGGAGGGGGTTGGTAATAATATGACAAGCACAGCAAGATTAAAAGGAGCCCCTCCCCCAAAAGAAATGATGTGCTGAGTCAGACAAATGCCCGGATGTAATTTAAAAACTGAGCGTCTGTAAGTAAATAGTGAGATGTGGCCACAGGAGGTAGAGCCAGCTACTTATAAACCTTTAGTCATGACTGAGATTTGGGGTTTCAGCAGATAATAGTATGAAGCTTTGGGAGCTTAAGTAAGAAATTATGTGATGATTTTTTTCCCTGGATGATCACCATGGCAGAAATCTGCACTAAGAAAAGAGTATGTGAGGCAGGAATTTAGGTTTTTATTCACTTGCTGTTTTCCTAGGCCCAGAGCATTGCCTGATTGATGTATGGTAGCACTTAATAAATAGTGAATGAATGGATAGAGACTCTAGCGATAATGTGGAAAACAAATATGGGGATATTGGAAAGAAAGAACTAGTAACGTTTATTAACATACCTGAGGCCTGAAGGTAGGAAAGGAGTTTCCTTTTTCTTGAGGGACACATTCAGCTTGGCCTAGTTCCTTCAGGAGGTATATCAACAGCAAAATAAAATGAAAGACATTCATGATCATTTTCTTCTATATTCAGAGATATACACACGCTGTGCATCTGGATAGGGAGAAATGGCTCTGAATCTGAATCTTCTCTATAATTAAATACTTAAACTTGAGCTCACCTGTCTTCTGTATTTAGTTAATATGGTCAATGTCTATAAAAAATATCACCCTCACCTGGCCAGTGTGGCTCAGTGGTTGAGCATATGAACCTAGAATTAGGGTTCAGTTCCTGGGTAGGGTACATGCCTTGGTTGCAGGCTAAGTCTCCAGTAGAGGGGGTATGCAGGAGGCAGCTAATTAGTGATTCTCTCTCATCGATGTCTCTATCTCTCTCCCCATCTTTTCCTCTGAAATCAATAAAAATAATAACTTTTTTTTTTTTTTTTTAATACCGCCTTCTCCGTAGTCTGTGAGGGTAGAGACTTTTTCTTCACTGTCTAGAGCTTAAAACAAAAACAGTGACTGGCACATGGCAGTTGCACAATAAATCTTCATTGGATCAATGAGTCTTGGTTTTCCCCTCCATTTCTTCAAGCTTCTCTTTCCTTCTAGGCTCTCTTGAATGTTGCTTGGATCAGGCAATGTTGTGAAAAAGCATACTTTTATCTTTTGTGTGATGAGTTGTGTGTCTTCTCTGTCTCTCTTTCCTACCAACACACCCCCTCACACCCCTAGAATGAAACAACATCAAGTAAGACTATGTCTGGGAATAGGTAAGGCCTCAGTCAAGAGGCGGGGCATGTGCTCAGGTTAGGTTGAGAAACTACTGCGAAAATTTTTGAATAGGTCCTTGAGTTATGTCGGAGATCCGTTCCTACAGTGCGAGGTAACACGATTTTCGCTGTAAGTCGGAACCCACCTACATAAGCACCTGCATCACTCATATGGAGCACATACACAGCAGTAATGAAGTGAAACAGTAAAAAAAAATTTAAAAGAAAGATAATTCCTTACATTTACTTGTGGTAAATGAACAACAAAAACATATGTACATATGTCAAAATGATGTAACTTTTTTTTTTATAATATAAATAAATGGGAGATGGTGACAAAACCACAAAACACTGTATGTTATCAGTATTCTATTGTGTTCGCATTAAAAAGCACCATGACTCAGATGCATTGTTCAGTGAACAAGTGAATCATGGACAGAGGCGGTTTTAGTTCTGTTTACCAGGGTATGTGACTCAGCACTTTCCTCGTCTTGCACAGAATAGACAGCTCAGACCATGTGTTTGGGCATCCCCCAGGGTAATGGATGCATGCCGGGAGAGGATCGGGAGCAATGGGTTTTTTTTGCATTTTAATTCATCAGCCCTAGGTTGGAGGCTGCAGCTGGAAATGGCTCTTCCTCTGCCAACGTTTCCCGGTCAAGGTTGTGAGGAACTTGGGCTTGTCTATGACGGGCCCAAGAAAGATGAGAGGAAATAACATCCTTGTCCACTCTGTCTGCCTTCCTACAGATGAAACAGATCGTGGGGTTGACCAGCAAGACGGAAAGGGTCCCACCCTGTCCCCTGAGTGTGAGGAGGGCGATGCTGGTAGACAGGAATTGCTGAAGATGCGGCTGCCCACTCGCTCGGACATGATATGTGGCTATGCCTGCCTCAGAGGTATTGTGAATTCTAGGACAATCCAAACGATTACACTCTCCTATAGACTTGCACTTTTTCATGTGCAGCTCTGATGGGGGCGGGTACAACGTGGCATGGACCCCTAGTTTGGGATGTCCAGCTACGCAAGGATATCTCATGACCAGCACACTGGTGACTTTGGTCCTGGTTGTAGGGACTGCCGCCATGCGTAACACCAAACGGGGTTCCTGGTACGTCGAGGCCCTCACTCAGATCTTCTCGGAGAGGGCTTGTGACATGCACGTGGCCGACATGCTTGTCAAAGTAAGTCGCTCAGCCTGGCTTTGCGAACCTTTTGCCCTCCGGGGTGTTGTCCCCTCCTCCTCTCTTTGCCCAGTCACTGCCGCAGTCTCCACCCTTCCTGTGAAAACACCAGATTCTCAGACTTTGGACCCTTGGTTTTTGCCTTTCCAGGTGAACGGGCTTATCAAGGAGCGTGAAGGCTATGCCCCCGGCACGGAGTTCCACCGGTGCAAGGAGATGTCGGAGTACTGTAGCACCCTGTGCCGGCACCTCTATCTGTTCCCCGGACACCCGCCCACGTGACGCCCCTGCCCGGCACCAGGCAACAGATGGTGTGCTGGGACTTCTGCAGGATCGCCGTTTCTGTCCTTCCCTCTCAGGGACTGGGAGCTTCAGGCTGGTTTCACAGACTGCCATCCTTGACATTGAGCCCGCCCGCAGGCTGGTTCCCCCTCTGTGAGGCTCTCTTCCTGGGCTGGCCCTGGCTGGACTGTTACCAGCAATGTTTGGCTGCCATAGAGGAGCTTGGTGAAAGGTGTGTGTAAGCACGGGGGCTTTATGGGGAAAGGCATGCAGGTCCCCTCAACGTGTGTGCTCACGTCCTGCCCGGGGCTTTTGTAGGTAGCATTGTGGTCAGTGCTTTTGTTATGTTAGTTAAGATGTCTCGGAGGTCATCTCCAGTCTTTCATATACTAGAGTGAGAGTCCTCGTTTAATGTAGGCATTTCCCATGTGGCTTTGGGAGGACAAACAGAACTGGAGACACACGCTGCTGCTGTGTGTATGGACCAGCCTGTGCGTTCCTTCCATGCAGGAAGGACAGTGCCACCTGTGGCTCCTCTGGACTCAAGGAACCTGAGCTGTCAGCAGAGGCTCAGGGTCGGATGCCTTGCATCTGGATCTCACTGATCTTTATGCAGGGACGTCCAGAAGGTCTTTTCTCTGAACTTTCCCTGGAATGAGCCTGGCAGTGCCCACAGGGGCAGGTGAGGGTGGGATGCTTCCTCATCCTCTAATCTGTCACCTGTGCTCCCTTTCTAGTTCTCTCCCTGCTTCTCCCCTGTTCGTGAGATCCTAATTATTGCTGCCTTCAAATCGGTCTAAAATACTGCTTAATTGGCTGCTGAAGGATGTGATGTAGTTCCTTGTTCCTGCTTTCTGTTTCTGTAAATCCCCTTGGATATTATATGGCCTATTTCCTTGTCCCCCTATGTCTCTCTGTTCCAGGGAGGCCTTTGCTAGATGGCTATCCGTGTTTGTTTACCCTCAGAGCCGTCCCTATCTGTGCTTACAGGAGACTTTCCTGTTCCTAAGGCCTCTCTGACTTCCATTCTTAGTGCTACAATCTAATATCTATATAACAGATTGGTTTTTAAATATAAATCTTGATCATGTCACTCCCCTGCTTGGAACCCTTTGGTTTCTCATTACGCCTCAAGTAAAATCCAACTCCTTACCGTGGCCTCCAAGCCCCGCCTTCCCCTTGAACCTTACTAAGTGCTGCTTTTTCTCTAAGCAGCAACCCAATGGCTTCCTCAGTTTCAAACATTCTGAGCTCTTTCCTGTCATGAAAAAAGCTCTCTGGGGGTCTACAGAGTGCCATTCCTCATCACTTGATTGGGTGGTTTATTCTTCAAATGTCAGCTTAAATCCCACTTTCTTGTGGAGGCTTTCTCAGGCCATTCTGTCTCTAAATGATCTTCTATGTTTATTCCTGTGCCTCTTTAATTCCTCATTGCACTTTTCGTAGCCTATGATATTTACTTGCTTCCCTTGTTCATTCTGTCTCTACTAGAAGCTCCATGAGGGCAAAACCTTTTTTGTTCATCAATATGTACCCAGTGCCTGGCATATGTTAGGGCTTCAGTAAATGTTGAAGGCAGCAATCCTAGCTAGAATCCTACCTTTTGACCATATACACAGTTTGATGTGTTTTCGTATGTTTTGTTTTATTCACTGGTATTATCCCCTGAAGACATGTCACATTGAGACAACTTCCTCTAACATCTCCCATGGGGCCTGGCACAGTGCTCGGCCTGTATCATAGTTCAGGTGCTCAATAAATGCTTGCTCTGTGAGCCAGGTGGTTCAGAGACCTCCAAGCCCTCCCTACCCCTGGGTCAGTATTGTACGGAAATATTTGGGTGATAAACCTTTCACTTCCCACTGCCACATTTTGCATTGCCATCAGGTGCCAAATAAATGCTTATATTTATTACTGATATGTGTCTTATGTCTCTGTGTCTGCAGACAATCTTATGATGCACGCATATTTTTCTTAGCCCCTTACAGCATCCCTCACTACCTCACAAGGCATACCCCTTCTTATTTTGCTGCCAATTTTTTTAAATTTTTAAGTTTTTCAATATATTTTTAAAATTTATTTCAGAGAGGAAAGGAGAAGAAAGAGAAGTATATAGATACATTAATGAGAATCATTGCTCAGCTGCCCCCTACACGCCCCCACCCCTTACTGGGGATTCAGCCCGCAACCCAGGCGTGTGCCCTGATTGGGATCTCCTGACTTCATAGCTCAACACTCAACTACTGAGCCACACTGACCGGGCTCTGCCAGTTTTTAAAATATATATATATATTTTTTTATTTCTGAGAGGAAGAGAGAAGGAGTGAAAGATAGAAAAATCATTGATGAGAAAATCATTGCTCAGTTGCCCCCTGCATGCCCCCTACTGGGGATTAACCCAGGCATGTGCCCTGACCAAGAATCAACCATTGAGCCAAAACGGCCTGGCCCTGCCAAAAAAATTTTTTTTTAGATGTCCAAGTTCACACCTAAGATAAGCACATCTTAGTTGTCATGACCACCAGCAGCTGCCCATAATATGGCCAGCACTGGCATTCACACAGAAGAGATGGAAGAGTCATTAGCAAGCAGTGTTGATTCTGAATTATTTCAAGTATGGGGTGAAGGCTGGACAAACAGACTGGGCTGGAACTGGAGGATGAGGCGTGAAGAATTCCTTAGCTCATGGTTCAATTTGGATTTCGGGTTTCCTAGGGTGAGCTTAGGTTGTAAGAGAATTCCGGAGCAGCCAGGGTAAGATGTAAGCAATGGGCTGTGTGTAATCGGATTCTCAGGGTGCAATGTGTATGAAGCGGACCTGGAGAGGCAAGTGCGCCAGTGCAGGCGGGCTATGGCGGCTCAGCAGGAGGGGGCATCCTGCAGGAGCAGGTGGTGGGAAGCAGCTGGGGGCGGAATGTAGAGGAGGAAGAGCAGAAAGAGACTGAGTGAAATGGAAGCATGTCAGGTGGAGGGAGGGGAAGTGGCTGAGAAGACCACTGGGGCAAAGGGCATGGGGTGTGGACTGAAGCTGGCTGGCTGTACTGCAATCACAACAGTGGGATATCCTCAAGGGAGGGAAGGATACAAAGTCTAGGAGAGGTTAAGAAAGTACTGGAAGAGTGGGGCTAACATTAGTCCCTGCTCTCTGGATAGGAAGAAGGCTTTTAGGAGGAGTGACACATTGGGATTACAGAGCAGCACCTGTCTCAGCCCGATTCCAGGTCCTCCCCAGCCCCGCCCTTGAATAAGGGTATCAGGTTGAAGTTCAGTCTATTCCCTTCCCCATGCTTACCTTTGCCAGGGGATTCTCTTCTAAAATTATCTCCCAGCTGGGGCTGCCCTCCAGCCCGTTTCCTCCAGTGGGGAGAGAACAGGAAGAAATGAAACATAGGGAAGGCCTCTCATCAGGGAAGTCATTAATAATCGCCACAACTGACAGTATGTCGCAGGCACTGCTTGGAGCCTTCCCATCCTCCACAGTCCCACGAGGTAGTCACTTTCCCATTTTACAGAAGAGGAAGTGAGGCTCAGAGACTTCAAATGTACAAAAAAGCAAGTAAACGGGACCTGAAGGGCATGGGCTTGGAATCAAGTAGATTTGAATGCTGGCTCAGTCTTTTAAGATGCCAGAGACCTTGGCTAGGGTACCTAATCTCACAGAACATCAGTCTCCCATATCTAAACATGAGAAAAATTATTTCTACCTTCCAAGGTTTCTATGAGGATTAAATGTGATGGTGTAGGGAAAATCACATGGTGTTAACGCATTAACTCTCACAAAATAAAGCTTCAGTTTAATAATGAGAGTTCACATTCAGTGCTTATCAGGGAGCAAACACTTTGGTAACTTATTTTTTAAAAAAATTCTCATCCATGGATATGTTTTTATTGATTTGAGAGAGAGAGAGAAACATTGATATGTGAGATAAACCGGTTGGTTGCCTCCCATATGCACCCTGACCAGGGATCAAACCTGAAACATAGCTATGTGCCCTGACCAGGAATTGGACCACCAACCTTTTGACCAACTGAGCAACCACAGTAGAACCACAATGGTAACTTTGCATACATTCTTTTATCTCCGTAACCCTCTAAGTCACTGCCTTTCTGAGGACACTGAAACTAGCATGTGAAATAAGGTCACCTTGTGTGTGGACACCTTTAACTGACGATTGCATCTGTGACTGTTTTCCTAGCATGAGATTTTCTCCCTCCTCACTTTAAGGGGCTCTAGATTTTTTCCCACCTGAGACTAATGATGACGTTATTATCCCATCTCAGCCCTAGTTAGGAAGAGAATAGGGGGAAAGTGTATCGTGCTTGAAAAACCAGAAGAGGGAGAAAGAGACCTGTCAGTCCAGTGCTATCGGGAGGGCTTAGTAGAATGCAAGGGAAGGAACCAAGGATTTTTAAAGGTCTGGGAGGCAAAGACCAATGAGTACAGGAGAAATTACTACTATTTTGTCACTTCTGACAACCTTCCTTCAAATAGCAATTCCATAAACCTATACTAGGTTTTAATCTTTTAGTATCATGGACCTTAAGAAAATCTACTTAAAACCTCAGAAGAATATATATCTTACACAGTATACATATCTTTTTTAAATGTTTTTATTGATTTTAGAGAGAGAAGGGAGAGGAAGAGAGAGATAGGAACACTGAGAGAAAAACATCAACACACCCCTATATGCCCCACTGGGGTTGAAGTCTCAAACCAGGCATGTGCCCTGACCAGCAATCAAACCAGCAACCTCCTAGTGCCATGGCCGGCAAACTGTAGCTCTAGAGCCACATGCGGCTCTTTGGCCCCTTGAGTATGGCTCTTCCACAAAATATCAAGGCCTGGGCGAGTCTATTTTGAAGAAGTGGCATTAGAAGAAGTTAAGTTTTAAAAAATTTGGCTCTCAAAAGAAATTTCAATCATTGTACTGTTGATTTTGGCTCTGTTGACTAATGAGTTTGCCGACCACTGGACTAGTGCATGGGTTGATGATCAACCACTGAGCAATACCAGCCGGGCCATTATACATATACTAGAGCATACATGCATGCCTATGAATTTGTTTCCAAATTAAGAGCTTTTCACAGAACTCTCTAGAAGTCCATCTTTAGCTGTCCAAATAAGAACCTAAGCACTGTACCTATGAGGAGGTGGGTGGGGGATGGGCAAGGTCTACATTTTATTCTCTTGCAGATGATAACCCATGAGACCTGAACATTTTATAACCTCAAACTCATGGGATTCCGCTCACATTCTGCACCAGCAGCTGTAGGTTTCTGTGGCCCTCCTCATTTCAGAATCTGGGTTCCAGCATTGCAGCAGGTGCTTCTGCTTGGCTTGGTCAACTGTGAGGGCTTCCCCAGTCCCACCAATCTCTGCCTCCAAATCTCAGAATCCATAACCAGACCCTGACTTTCTCTGGAATAGTGAAGAAATAGGAATTGTCTTAGATATTTGTTTGTTGGGATTATCAAGATCCTACAGAACTGGCTACCTTCAGGAGAGCCATGCTCCACAATGTGTTTTATTTGAGCTCTGTATTTTCTTTAAGACTATTCCTTTCACCTCCAACTCCTTAGAACACCTTCCTTATTTTCTGCCTGCAGATATTCAGTCCCTCAAATGGGCACGTGCTTACCTTTGTGGATGGATAAAATTATTTGCCTTCGAGCTCAGAAGATTTGTTAGAAAATGTATGTTTGATCGTATCCATCATCCCACGTGGCTTGGACAGATCCATTTAGCCTAGATCCAAGTTTACTTGTAGACCAGATGTGTAGTGTCCCTCCCTATCAGGCCTGAACTTGGACTGTCCTGGAACATGCCTCACTTGGTGATGGATCTTAAACTACAGTGGCTCATGTTCACAACTCTTCTTCTATAGTAAGGCATTCACAGGAGAAAGAATTTCCTAGGAAAATTGGCAAAGAAAAAAAAAAGTGATGCCAGATAGAATAGTTTGTCCTTGGCCAAAAATGATTTATTGACCTGAAAAAGGGAAGAATAGTAGAGTACTTCCCCATCATCATTTATGTTTGTGGGTTCTCATGATAAATAGTCCCTTCCCTCTTCTGCATCCCCTTACCCCTAGTCCACTTCTCCCTGTTATCTAACCCACTGGTTAGACAGGCGGGCACCCCTCAGTCCACACAGAAGCTGAGTGCCTCCCCATAAATCTATGATGCTTATGCACTGACACTTCTCAGTCTGGGAAGGTGTAGAAATGCCAGAAGCCAAGGTTATCAATCTGCTTCCCACAGCACCCCACACCCAGTGCGTGACGGATAAGGTGGGGTCAAGGGATGGCACCAAAGCATTATTAGTAGCCCCTGGCAGACAGAAGGGCAAACCTGGAGGAGAACACTGAACACCTGGAGGAGAGGTGGTCTGACAGATGAGGACTAAACAAGGAACAACTTGGCAGGGACAGATGGGAGAGAAGCATCAGTTACTCCCCCAGGTGAGTTACTCTCCAGTGTTTCCAGACCTTGAAATCACTCCGTCCATGTCCAGCACCACAGCCTGGTCTTCCACATGCTGGAGAAAAGAGGTGCGACACTGGATGGTGTAGCTCTAACACGCTCCGGACACACACAGGTTGGAGAGCACGCTGAGCAGTTTTCCATCCTGGTCCAGGCGATATTTATAGAGGGACCAGTGGCTAGGGGGTTGGCAGCCTCCTAGTGACCAAGGAGGGGGACAAAACTGCTGCCCTGCTGTGGGAATTCCCTGCAGGACTGTCCCTCAGGTTCTCATCCCAGCCCCCCCCCCCCCCCTGCTCTCACACCTGCTTCGACCCCAAGCAGATCAGATGTGGCAGGGGGGGGGGGGCGGGTCATGTGATGGAGAGATGGCTATAAATAGCTGGGGGTGGGCATGCTGCCCCAGACGCCTTGGGACAGGCAAGAGGACAGGCTTGAGGAGCTGTACTGGGGGTTGGACGGGGGCAAGCAGGCCAAGGCCTGGCAGCGGGGGAGGGAGCATGAAGCGATCTGAGTCCCAGCTGCGTGGGCGCGAACAAAGCTGGTGGGGTAGTGCCCCCCAGTACCAGTACATGCCCTTCGAACACTGCACCAGCTACGGGCTGCCCTTGGAGAATGGGGGCCTCCAGCACAGGCCCCAGAGGGATGCAGGCTCCCGTCCCAACGCCCACCCCACACAGGTAAAAGGGAGGGGTGGTGGGCTGTATGGACCGAGGGAAATTAGGGATTGGGTGAAAAGAAGGAGCAGTGTTACTTTTTTTCTTTTTAACTTAAGAAGTCCATGGCAGTGTATTCAAATATGACGATTCTGCCAAGGGCTGGACCTAGCTCAGTAGACACAAGTCCTTTTATGTGACCTTCCCCAGAAATCTCATGAATCCTATGGGGCCGGCAAAGCCACACATGTATGAGGAGATCATGCTTACATAAGCTACAGGAGTGACTGGCCGAGGAGTCCACGTCATTGCATGTGTGAGCTCTCTCATACTCTCACCCATATGCAGTATCCTCCTCTGCCCCCCCCCCCAAGCACACACATACACACACACACACACACACACACACACACACATTCTTGCTAACCAAGCCTAGATGCTACTCCCCCACCCCCATTTCAGATTGGATGCTTCCCTTCCCTCCCCAGCCCTCTCTGCTATGGTACTTACTTAGCCCTGAACCAGCCAGCCCTGACCTGGCTCTTTCAGTGTTCCCCAGTTCCAGTATAGAGCACCCTTCTTCCTCATCTCCACCACCTGGCAGCGGGGGAGGGAGCATGAAGCGATCTGAGTCCCAGCTGTGGGAGGGAGTGAGACAGCCTGTGGGAGGGCATGTACTGAGTGCCATGGGTAGGTAGTGTCTTCTTGCTGGGTCCTGGGTGGGGCATGGACAGAAACACCGCCTCCCTCATCACTAACCTCATTCCAGAAGACAGAACAGCCATGAGCAGGGGAAGCGGTGTGCCTGCCCACTACTCCAGCTCCGACTCCACTGCTCATATTGTGAAATCGGATCTCTTCCACTCCGGCTCTCCCAGAACCAGCAACATGGCCTGGCCTGACCCTGGCCCAAGGGGGGAGTTAGTGCAGTGGGGCAGGCCAGGCTACCTGGGGGTGAGAGTGGAGGGCTACCAGATCTGAAGGGCGCTCCACCGTCCTCTTCACATTTTGGGGGAGCATCTAATTACCCTGCTCTGACAAGAAGTGAGTTGACTTGCCTTCTCAGGACTCGTTCCTATTGGTGCATGCAGTCCAGGGAGTGAGGCGTGGGCTTCCTCTCAGTGTGGCCGGGCATCTCAGAGGCCTCCAGGATGGCTAGACACACCAAGGCACAGTGCAGCCAAGAGTCACCTGCTGGTCTGTCCTCATCCCATCATGTCAGGATTCCAGGAGAGAAGTCGGGGTTGGGGTGGGAGTCTGGGAATATTAGAGAGACAGGCTGAGTGACACAGAAAACGTTTAATGGACACAGATGAACAGTTCTAACTCTACTTAGAGTAGAAATTGGCCTCCTTGATGAAGGTTGCCATGGGCCAAGATGAGTACAGATGGAGAGAGGGACATGTATGAGTGGGGAGCTGAGGGCAGGAGGACCACAAGATGGCACTACCTGAGGCCCTCAACACCCAGGATTTTAAAGGGTTGTCTGTTTGTGTATTTCTGTGGGTCTATGTGTTTCCCTCTGTCTATTCCCTTTGAGTTTTCTGCAAGACAGACATTCCCATTCTCCTTCTGTCCAGATTTATGGCCATCACAAGGAGCAATTTTCAGACAAGGAGCATGGCATGGGGATGCCCAGGAAGATGGGCTCCAGTGCCACCATGGACAGCACAGATGAGGACCACTATTCTAAATGCCAAGGTGATGGGGACTGTAGAATAGAGTGATCTGGGATAGAGGAGGGGCGGGGCTTAGGAGAATCACTTGAACGTCCTGTTGTATATATCCACCCTCCCACTCCCCGCATACACCCCACAGCCCTCTGCCCAGTATTAAGGAGAGGCAGCTCTTGCCATTTCCTTCTTACTCACCTTGTTCCCCACTTTCCCTCCTGCTCTGCCCCAAGAAATGAGTTTTAGAAAGAAATTCAAGAATCCAGTAGGGAACTGAACTTTGGTGCCTTTGGAAGGGTCAGGGCAGCACCTGGCAGAGAAGTGAAGAGAAACTCGGCGATGAGACGTGAAATGAGACATCCCCTCCAGCGCTCAGTCATAGGTCTGAGCAGTGACTGGTTATTACTCTTCTTTACTCCTTTCTTTTACAGGTTGTATGTACCGCCTGGGACGTGTTGTGAGGAGGAAGTTAGGGGAAGACTGGATCTTTCTGGTGCTTCTGGGACTGCTTATGGCTCTGGTCAGCTGGGGCATGGATTATGTTAGTGCCAAAACCCTCCAGGGTAGGTTTCACCTGGCCCTGTCCCCTCGGCCTCTCCCCATACCTGACGGTGTCTAGAGTTTCCTCCGAGGATAAGCTGGGTGTGTTTTGGGAGAGGGGCACTGCACAGAGGAGATCAGACCCAGGACAAGACCAGACCAGGCCCAGATCTATTTCTCCTGCCCCTGCCACCTGCCACCAGCCAAGCTGTGGATGTCCCTCTAATACTCACCCCAGTTTTCCCAGAACTTTCCCTGGTTTGACACCAAACATTCTATTATAGGACCCAGAAGCACCTCAGTTCCTGGCAAGCCGGGCTGGCTTGTCAACCCAGTGGCCTCTAACATCGTGGCCGCAGTCCGAGCTCAATGTGGTTTGCAGCAAGGGCTCCACTAGTGGTGGGAACTGCAAGGGACAGGGCAATCCAGCAACTCAGGCCTCCCACTCACACGTCCAATGAGAATAGTACCGTCTCGCGAGATTCAGTGGGATAGTCCCGGTGAGATGAAAATGCTCCCAGCACGCTGACCTGTGAGGTGGATCTGAGGGGCCGGGGGAGCGGTGACCTCGGGTCCACAGGGGACTGAGCCCAGCGCGTGTCTCCGCAGTCTACAAGTGGACCTATTCCAACGTGCAGCCCAACCTGCCTCTGCAGTACCTGGTGTGGGTGTCCTTCCCACTTACCCTCATCCTCTTCAGCGCCCACTTCTGCCACCTCATCTCTCCCCAGGCTGTCGGTGAGAACTTCCACTTGGACCGTCCCACGTCCAGTCATCAGTATAATCGCACTGTCCTGCTAACCCTTCCTCCCCCTCCCTCCTTCACCCGGCCCTATTGACGGCCCTTACCTCTGCTTTGTCCCTGTCCTCTCCAGCACAGCCCTCTCCCTTCCCCACCCCCATCTCCATGTCCACTGTCTGGATGTTCCTCTCCCTTTGAACCTCCAGCTTGAACCTGCACGCAACCATTTTACAACCCTTTTAGGCTCTGGGATCCCTGAGATGAAAACAATACTTCGTGGGGTTATCCTGAAGGAATATCTCACCCTCAAGGCCTTCGTGGCCAAGGTGGTGGCCTTGACCGCCGGACTGGGCAGTGGTATTCCTGTGGGGAAGGAGGTAGGTGGCAGGCCCTGAGGCGAGAGCTGGGCAGATGGTGGCTCTGGGAACAGACATGGGCATGGGCATGGGGACAAGAGTCAGAGCCAAGGGAACAGGGGAATGGGGGGAAGTGGAGGGAATTGTGGAAAGGTCCTCCTCCTGGGGCAGAATAGCAGAAGCCTCAGAGCTGGGAGGGCCTCAGAGCAGTCTCCCAACCTGGGCTCTGTTGACATTTGGAGCTGGGTAATAGTGGTTCTGGGGATCATGATAGGATGTTTAACAGCATCCATGGCCTCTCCCCCCTCGGTACCAATAGCACCCCTTCTCCCCCCCCCTCCCCCACACCGTTGTGACAACCAAAATGTCTCCAGACATTGTCAAACGTCCCCTTGTGGGGGGTCTTTCCCCGTTGCAGACCACTGCCTTAGAGCCACTCCAGACCAATGCCTTTGTTTTAATATTTGAAAACGGGGACCTAGAGTGTGGCTGTGCTTTCTCCAAGGTTATGCTCATGGCATGCTTGTCCCGCTGCAGTCCATAGCCTATACCACAGTGCTTGCTGTGCCCTCGGCCTGGAACACTCTTCCCCCTGGCACACACGTGACTCACACCCTCATTTCAATAAGGCACTACTCACCGGTGACCATCCCTGAGCACCTTCTCTAGACACCCCTGATCCCACCTCATCTGTCCTGTCTCTCTCTGTCCCCTTGCCCTCCCTCAATTTCTTCCTGGGCCTTAGAAGTTTCTGAAATGATAAAATGCGGTATGTCACATCCCTTCCTCTCTGGGATGGAGCTCCATGAGGGCAGAACTCCTGCGTTACTCACGTCTGTGCTTCCAGCAGATAGTACGAGCCTGGAGCAATAAAAGTTAGTGCCTGGAATGCCACAAAGCCTCCCACCTGGACTCCTGCTCCTGACCTCCCCCTCGTCTCTCTCCCAGGGCCCTTTTGTCCACATTGCCAGCATCTGCGCCGCTGTCCTCAGCAAGTTTATGTCCGTGTTCTCCGGGGTGTATGAGGTAAGGGGGGGAAAGTCCAGTGAAGAGTGCCTGTGTGTGTTCAGGGTGTCAGGAGGGCTGCCTTCGCTCCGGGCTGGGCTGGATGCTAAAACGGGGCATGGCGCTCTACCATGCTCCCCTGATCTCCACACACACATACGCCGCCTGTCCTTGCCACCTGACACCTCTGTTCAGCCTATGCCTGTCCAGTAATGCCCCCCCTCTTCTTGCTCTGCACCCCTGCATTGGAGCCTGCACACGGCTCGCTCCTCTGTTAACCTGCAAGTCCACCCCTCTGCCCCGTGTCTGTTCCCCTCCCTGATTCCCTCCTGTGCTACCCTGTCCCTTCCTCACTCCACCCCATCTCTCTCACACTGCCCCTTACCTCAGCCCTCCGCCCTCCTTGTCCCACGCGCTTCTCTGTTGCAGACCGTGCCTGAGCAGCTTGACCTCGTGGTGTCGGCCTGCGCAGTGGGCGTGGGATGCTGCTTTGCAGCCCCTGTCGGAGGCAAGTCCCACTTCCTCCCCACCCGTTTCCTGAGCATGACTTGGAAGGGGGGGGTGGTCTGGGTGGCCGCCACAGCTTTGGGGTGGAAGGCGGTGCTCACTGAAGGGACTGGTGGGTAGGCCTTCAGCACCTGGTCTCCAGACACCCACACTTTTCTACCAAAGAACTGCATGCCCTTTTGAGGCTGACGGCTATATCATGCAGTTTGTCTGAAGTCCTTTCCTCTCTCTCTTGCTACTGACACTCCTCTCCCTGATTGTCCCCACCTCCTGCCTCACTCTGGTGATCATTGATTGGCTTACCTGCCCACCATATATTTACCTAACTTTTATTTCATTTTCTATGCTTGGCCTTGCACTATGAGGTCACTTCCTGTCTTGGCTTGGGAATTGCGGGGGCAATGGGACCACTATGATTCCTTGTGACTTAAGCCTTTCCTTTTGCCTTATTCCCCACCCTTGCTTGTTCTCCATTCCTCTCTGCCCCTCTTCCTCTCCCCTCCCTTTTCTCTCTTGGTCTGTCTCTCCCTAGTAGCAGCCATACTATTATACTGATATGCTGACGGTGGGCTGTGCTGTGGGAGTCGGCTGTTGCTTTGGGACCCCACTTGGAGGCAAGTGATTTACCCCTCCTACACCAGCCCACTTGTCTGACCTTGGCCCCCAAGCAGTTGTCAGCATCCCCACGTATGAGTACTACCAGTTAAAACCAGGGTATAACAAAAACAGCTAGCAGAAACCGGTTTGGCTCAGTGGTACAGCATTGGTCTGTGGACTGAAAGGTCCTGGGTTGAATTCCGATCAAGAGCATGTACCTTGGCTGCAGGCACATCCCCAGTAGGGGGTGTGCAAGAGGCAGCTGGTTGATATTTCTCTCTCATCGACTTTTCTGGCTCTCTATCTCTCTCCCTTCCTCTCTGTAAAAAATCAATAAAATATATATTTTTTTTAAAAAACAGCTAACTTCCAGTGAGCATTCACTAGTACCACGTGCAGGCAACACTCTAAGCACTTTATATGTATTCCTGCCAAAAGCTGCACAAGACTGAGATTAGAGAGGAGAGAACATGTTACTTTCCTTGTCCTGGATGACTAATAAGCAGGCATGGTCGGAGAAAGCAGTTGTATGTGTTTATTTACTCCTCAATGCTCGCTGTAACCAAACCCACAGAACAGGGATTATTTCGACCAGTCATTGGATTCATCGAGTGACAGAAAGGACACTGAGTTGACAACTGGACGAACAAAATTATAGGAATAGCATATGCTTCCTAAATGCACCAGCTGTTAGAGGTATCTTTTCAATTAAGAGAATGTGATCAATCCTTTTGTGGAGGAGGTAGCTAACGTGGCTTGGCCTGGGGATGATACATGGATAAGCGCTCAGAGTTAATGAAAATGTATCATGTTCCCTTGTCCTGACACTGTGCCAGTGTGCTCTGCGTAAGGAGGTGAGATCAACAAATGCTTCAGCTGGCAACCCTCTTGCCCTTCTGTTGTCAGTCCTTGACCTTAGAGTCACTCGTCCCTATCCATGAAGGGTAGTGTGCTGGAATTTCTACGCAAGTTAAATTTCTCACTTAATGTCTATACTCACTTTCACTTTTATTTACTCTTTCATCTCACACATCCAAAAGATGTAAGGAACACTTTTAGACAGGTAAAACCATGAAAAGAACCTGAATTTTCTGCATAAAATTGGAATTTCTGGAATGACGGAGGAAGGTTTGTATTGGCCTTGTGTAGAGATTGGGAAAGACCATAGGAAAGTTACAGAGAAAACATGTCCCTGAAGCCCGCATAAACAAGCAAAATGTGGCTCTTGACACAAGAAAATGTTAAGCATTGAAAAGTGAAGATGCCTTTTTAATTTTTTTTTTAATTAAATTGATTGAAGTGACATTGGTCAACATGAACATATAGGTTTCAGGTATGGGTTTGTATGTTATAAGATCTGTATGTTGCACTGTCTGCCCACCATCCAAAGTCAAACCTTCTTCTGTCACCATATATTGAGAGCTCCTTTACCCTTATCCCCTTCCCTCTGGCAACTATCCCAATTCTGTTTGTGTTAATGAGTTTCCCACCTAGGAGTGAAATCATGTAGTTCTTAGCTTTTTCTGACTGATTTAGTTCACTTAGCATAATGTTCTCAAGATCTATACATGTTGTTGCAAATGGCAATATTTCGTCGTTTTTTATGGCTGAGTAGTATTCCATTGTGTATGTGTACCACATCACCTTTACTCAGTCCTCTATTGTGGGACACTTGGTTGTTTGCATGTCTTGGCCACTGTAAATAATGCTGCAGTGAACATAGGGGTGCATATATCTTTATGAATACATCATTTTGAGGTTTCAGATCTATACACAGGAGAGGAATTGCTGGGTCATGTGGTAGCTCTATTCTCAATTTCTTGAGGAATCGCCAGACTGCTTTTCATAGTGGTTGTACCAGTCTACATTCCCACCAGCAGAGGGTTCCCTTTTTTCAACAATCTCTCCAAAGCTTGTTAATTCTCATTTTGTTGATAATGGCCTGAGGGGGTATCTCATTATAGTTTTGATTTGCATTTTCCTAATTGTCAGTGAGGTTGAACATCTTTTCATATAATTGGCTGTTCATATGTCTTCTTGGAAGAGGTGTATTTTCAGGTTCTCTGCCCATTTTTGATTGGGTTGTTTGTTTGTTTGGTATTGAGTTTTATGAGGTTTTTATATATATATTGGAAATTAAACCTTTGCAAATATCATCTCCCATCTGGTTGCCTGCCTTTTTGTTTTGTTGTCAGTTTCTTTTCCTATATAGAGCTTTTTAGTTGATATAGTCCTATGCATTTATTTTTTACTTTACTTGTGTTTAGGATCAAGTTCATAAAATATTCTCTATGACCAAGATCTATAAGTTTGGTACCTATACCTTCTTCTGTGTAACTTATTGTTTTGGGTCTTATATTTAGGTCGTTGGTCCACTTTGAATTATTTTTTTTGTACATGGGGGCAAACTGTAACCCAGTTTCATTTGTTTGCATGTGGCTTTCCAGTTTTCTCAGCACCATGAAGATGTCATTTTTAGAATGTTTGTACTAAGTGGCAAATATTACATGGACTTGCAGGCAACATTTCTTGACTGGTTTCATTTTATGAACATAGACTAACTCTGAAAGAAAAAATTACTATTAAGATCACTTATTCACTATCCAGTCAACTGTTAATTCCTTGCAGGCTTACACTGATTAAAGAAATAAACTTTAGCATTCTACCGAAATGACAAACATCTTTTTGTTTCCATTATGCATGATCTGCGCTGCCCTCTGGGCACTGTGCTAGACCCTGTGCTCTCAACAAGCTCACCTTGAAAGGGTAGACAGGCAGGCAAAGAGACCATCACTCACAGAAGTGTCTCCCTGGCAGTGCAATGGGAGCCTTCTGCTAAATTGCCAGAGTGGGGGTGGGGAGGTGGGGGCTTGTCAATAGAGCTTTATAAGAGATGGTGTTTGATCTGACACTTAGGGAAGACAGCTAGAAGAGGGTATTCTGGGCAGAAGAAACAACATGCAAACTCTGGGGGATATAATGATAGTCGAAGAGTATTGCTAGAAGATTCAGGGGAGGAATAACAGGAAATTAATCTGGGCAGGTAAATGGGGGCTAACTCATGAAGGTCTTTGTAGGCCTTGCACAAGAAAGTAGATTTTATGTATTCTCTAGGCTAGAATTTGTATATTGCACTGTCTGCCCACCGCTCAAAGTCAAACCTTCTTCTGTCACCAATATGTTTTTACAGAACACAGCATTCATTGTGTTAAGAGATGGAATGTGCAAAAGGGATTCTGAGGTCAAATAAGTTGGAAAATCCTGTGTTTTTTAAAATGGAAAGGTTACCAGAATGTTTGATATGCTGACATGCAAAATGTGGCTCAAGTTCAGCATTTCCCACAGAATCCTTTTTTTTAAAAAAAATTACATTTTAAAAACACTCTTGTTGAATAAAATAACATATGGCTTCGTTGTTACTAACCCCCACTCCCACCTCGCAACCACACAGAATTCATTTTGCAAGGACCTTCTCAAGGGCCTCATAGCATCTCATGGACCTGACTTTGGGAAATGCTGTCACAGTGAAGGGGAGCCCTTGAAGAACTTTGACTAAGGAAGTGCTATGGCCAGCTTTGCAGGCTGATCCCATCCCTTTGGCAGGTGTGTGCAGGATAGAACTGGCTTGTGGATTAACAGATTTAATCCAAGTTGAACAAGAAGACTACTGTCATTATCATGATGCCAGATGACAAGAGACTGAACGAGGCAGAGGCAGAAGAGACAGAGATGAGGATGATATATATGGGCAACAGAAAGTAAAATTGATGCAACCTGGTGATTGATTTTATGTGAGGATATGAAGGATAAGACAGAATAAGGAATCTAGGCTAACTCTCAAGTTCATAGTAAGGAAATTTGGGTGGCTAGTGGTAATGAACAAGCTAGGGAATATAGGAAGGAAACAGGTGTGGGAAGTTGATAATTTTTTTAAAAATATATTTTATTAATTTTTTACAGAGAGGAAGGGAGAGAGATAAAGAGTTAGAAACATCAACCAACTACCTCTTGCACACCCCCTACTGGGGATGTGCCTGCAACTCAGGTACATGCCCTTGACCGGAATCGAACCTGGGACCTTTCAGTCCGCAGACCGATGCTCTACCACTGAGCCAAACCGGTTTCGGCGGAAGTTGATAATTTTTACTTTGCATATGTGGAATTTAAAGTTTCTGTGGCATATCCAAGTGATATCAAATAGGCAGCTGGGTTGGTAAGTCTGAAGTTCACAAACTGGAATAAAACCATAGTTTTTATTCATCAGTAGCCTATAAGTACTGGTTGAATCTATGGGCATAAATGAACTTGAGAGACAAAGTGTATATATGAGTAACAAGAATAGGAGGCCAAGACTAAGGCCTTGGGTTGGATAGAGGCAAGGGAGGCAGAGGAGAAACCAGAAGAGCATCCAAGATGGGAGAAGAAAGTGATGTTACGGAACTTAAGAGATCAGAGCACTTCCAGAGGCTGTTTATGTTTTTACTGCCTTGTTTCCTAGCACATTTTCTGTTTGGCTCAGGCTAATATTAAAATTAGCTCTCATTCCTGAGTATAAAGTGACAGACGGTTAGGGGAAGTGTCCCAGAACTTCATCATGGGAAAGAAAAATCTAGCCTCGGATTTCAAGAAATGGTTGTAAAATATTCATAAGTTGGATAGTTTATACCCAGGCAAATCAAAGCTGACTGTGGTTCTGTTACTGGTAAAGGAGAGAGACTTTCTCCCTGATTCTCTACTGTGTTGAATCCTCCTTTTAGGGAAAGAAGGCAACTGCCTTGGTTGGTGTGATTTGAGGAGCAGGGGCAGAAGGGTGGTTGGCAAAGCTCAGTCTGCCCCAGATTCCCCATTCCCTCACTCAGTTTTCTGAAATTCCACCCATCCTATTCTCTTCTGTTCTCTTTCTTCCTTCTTTCTCTCTCATGACTTTTCTGCAGAAAAAAATTTAGCGACTCTTAAATCCTTGTAGGTACCTGACTTTGTGAATCTCACCCAACCCTACTTTCTAAGGGATGGAGAGAGCATGACCACCTGATCCTCATATGTTGTCCTCTCTGTGTCTTGTTGAACCACATCCCTGGCCTACACGATGCTGCTACCATGACTAGGTATATGGTTTAGAGCATGGACTCCAAAAGAAAAGGATTAAGCACAGACTCCAACAGGTCCACAGGGTGGGAGTGAGGGAGAGAGCCTTTCACACTTGCCTGCACCTAACCCTACATTCGTGCCCCTACAGGAGTACTGTTCAGCATCGAGGTCACTTCTACCTACTTTGCTGTGCACAACTACTGGCGAGGGTTCTTTGCAGCCACGTTCAGTGCCTTTGTTTTCCGTGTGCTGGCCGTGTGGAACAAGGATGCTGGTATGGGGCCCTGGGGTGGAGGCACCTGAATAGGGCGGCTTGTGATGGGGTGTGGAGGGAAGCTCCGTGAGGCAGTGCAGAAAAGGAATGGATGACTTTATTTGGGAAGTGGGGCCAAGACCCAAGGCTATAGGACAAGGAATAGGGGAATACTGGTTGTGCATAGAAAGAAAAAATTAAAAAGAAGAGTAGATGTTGGGCTTGGAGGAAGAAGGACTTGATCCCTAAATCAGATGATTTCTGGTTCCCTCTCAATGGGTTTTTGTGACACTCCCACCATAATCCTCTGCCTTTCCATCCTTTAGATACCATCACGGCTCTCTTCAGAACCAATTTCCGAATGGATTTCCCCTTTGACCTGCAGGAACTGCCAGCTTTTGCCGTCATTGGGTCAGTGGGGTCACCTCCTCAGGGAGTGGTGAGATGGGGGTGGCGTATTTTAGGATTAAAAGGGACCCAAGCTGGGAAGAAGGCGGGGCACGCATGGGAGAACATAAATTGTTGGGGAGAGGTGGGTAGAAAGGGAAGGCAGATGCCTGGTGTTTGGTCCCCATGGGTAGGACTGAGGGCTGGGGGATTCATTTCTGTATAATTTACACCCTCAGGATTTGCTGTGGGTTCCTGGGAGCTGTATTTGTGTATCTGCATCGCCAAGTCATGCTCGGTGTCCGAAAGCACAAGGCCCTCAGCCAGTTTCTTGCTAAGCAGTGAGTCACTGCCCTTACTCAGTCCTTCCCACTTACTTTCTGGTTTCTCCATGAGTTCCTCTTTTGAAATTTATGAGGAAGGTGTTAAATGCCTTTTGGTGGCTTGTGATAAAATACAAAAGCCCTGATACTATATATAGGAGGTAAGTGGTGTGATTTCCCCTTTAAAGATGATATTTTGGTGGAAAGATACTCTGTTTAAAGAACTGAGACTACAGGAGACCACAGGAAACTTCAGCTTGCCAGAATTCAATGTGGCATTCACTATGGGTTGACTGAATTCAGGGACCATTCATTCTGTTTCTTTTTCAGCCGCCTGCTGTATCCTGGAATTGTCACCTTTGTCATCGCCTCGTGCACCTTTCCACCAGGAATGGGACAATTCATGGCTGGAGAGGTCAGCTGCAAGGGAGTCTGAGGGTGGAGTCAGGTCACTGAGCTTATGATAGGGACTAAGCCAGGACTGGGCCACGTGGAAAAAGGGAAATAACACAGATGTCCCTCAGGCTTCTGAGCATAAGGACTTTTGGCCAAGGATAAAAATCTATCCATGAGAGAAGAGCAGAAGGGACCTTTGAAAAGTAAGACTGGAAGTCAGTTCCCTAAAAAGAGGAAGGACCGAACATCCCTGGAGAACTACCCCATTTCGCTTCCCCTCTTACAGTTGATGCCTCGTGAAGCAATTAGCACCCTGTTTGACAACAATACGTGGGTCAAACACGTGGGTGATCCTGAAAGCCTGGGCCGGTCAGCTGTGTGGATCCACCCACAGGTCAACGTTGTCATCATTGTTTTCCTCTTCTTTATCATGAAGGTACCTCTCCCTACACTCCTGACTCCCTAAGCTTCGTTGGTTTTCAACCTAGGAATCCAGGGTTTGCATAGGGTAGGAAAGGGTGAAACTGCATCTGGTGTTTGTCCAACTTAAAAAGAATTAGCTTAGAAACCATAGAACAAATTGCTCATTTTTGTAGGTGAACCTAGAACAATGATCTAGGTCCATGGTCGGCAAACTGTGGCTCTTTGGTCCCTTGAGTGTGCTCTTCCACTAAATATCACTGCCTGGGTGAGTCTATTTTGAAGAAGTGGCATTAGAAGAAGTTTAAGTTTAAAAAATTTGGCTCTCAAAAGTAATTTCAACTGTTGTACTGTTGATATTTGGCTCTGTTGACTAATAAATTTGCCGACCACAGATTCTAGGTTAATTGTTCCACTCGTGTCAACTTAGTGATGTTGTCAAAATTATTATAACCTGCCGAAACCGGTTTGGCTCAGTGGATAGAGCGTCGGTCTGCAGACTGAAAGGTCCCGGGTTTGATTCCAGTCAAGGGCATGTACGTTGGCTGCAGGCACATCCCCAGTGGGGGGTGTGCAGAATGCGACTGGTCAATGTTTCTCTCCCATCGACGTTTCTGGCTCTCTATCTCTCTCCCTTCCTCTCTGTAAAAAAAAAAAAAAAAATTATCATTACCTTTCCAAAGGTTCCACTCATTAAATTATTAAGATATCACAACAGTCAAATAAACAAGGGCAAGATAGATTTCAGCAAAATAGATAACTGTAAAAATCTCATGTAAATTAAGCAAGGCCCCCACATATTAGATAATTAGGCACTTCATTCTCCATGTATCCGATTATCCATTTCTAGCTGATTTACATGTCCATTTCCCCCGAGTTTAGTGGGTAATCTGTTTTCTAGTCTTGCAAAAGAGATAAAATATTTTAATCCATGTTATTAGTGACTATAAACAATTTTTATAACTTTTATTATTCTCAGTTAGGTAGTGAGGCTGTGAGTGTCTTGCCATTCTCAAACTTCTTTCTTCTAACTCCAGTTAGGAAACAAAAGCTGATCTCTTTTCACATCAATTCTTTTTCACATCTGCCTGGCAAGGATGATGTATTTATAGACTTCTCAATTATTATCTTATACAGAGATATTTTAATTTCCACCCCTGGTTGTGACATCTGTTACTATTACCAATTGCATATGTTTTCTTTTTTGATGATTGCCTTATTACTAATAGTATGTCTTGCCTGAATAATCCAGGCAAGACATATATATTAGGGCTCCGTATATTAGGGCTCTCATTTAAAAGTCTGTCCACACTGAACTTTCATGTTTTTGAATATTCTGCTTATTTATGATACTTTTTATGAATCTGTATTTCACCAGAATATGAGTCACTAAATAAATTTTATATTGTAATAGCTATAGTGGGTTCACTTAATCATTTATTCAATAAATGTTACATACCTTCTATGTGCCAAGTACTTGACTGCTGATCTTTGGCAAATCTTATGTTTATGATTGAAAAAAAATTTTTTTTTATGTTTTTTCTTTGTTTGTTGCTGCTCATTTGATGTACTTGTCAATGATTTAGAGATACCAGGCACTTTGACACACCAGGTTCCAACTTTGTAACTCACATTCTCAGGATTTGCTGTGGGTTTCTAGAAGTTGTGATTATGTCTGTTTTTCTCTATTTCACTTCACTTGGGTTAATTGAATCTATAGCTTCCACATTTTGCATATCTGCTTTATTAAATTTTGTTTCTTCCTTCAAAATATTTGATATTGTCATCATAAAGCAGTTCACAGTGTCTTGTTAAGGATTTTTTGGGGGGAGAAGAACTTTCTTTATAGACTTTTATCTTCTCTAATTTATAAATCTCAACTTCCTGTAATTGTTGTTGAATATACAAAACCATCTGCTATAACCAAGTCCAAGTTTTGATGGCATTTCAGAATTTATCATTCAATTATAATAATTGTGTTTTTCTGGTATTCCTATAGAACTATAAGGTAAAGTTGGGGACATGTGCACTTTTAAACTGTCAAGCTTTTGAAATATTTTAGAGAAACAAATAATGTATATTTTTCAGCATTTTCCCCACAGCTCACCTCCCCTCTCAGGATTCCCAAGTATATATCTGGAAACCTACCATTTCACCAATTAAAGTTTATTCTAAGAAATTTACTAGATGATATAGAAAAATTCAACTGTATGCCACTACTATTAATTTTTCACTGAGTTACATTTGAAAATATTTATATCATTAGTATATCAGGAAAAGGAATTCACACACTTTCTGGGCTATATTTCAAACCCAACAGTTTGCATTAGGCCTATTATTTTCTATCATATTTATAAACATAAAAGTCATCATGGCTATAAATCCATATTACTTAATTATCACTGTCCTATCATTGGACACATAAACATACCATTATTTTTTCCAGCGTGTGGGCAATCAGCTACAGAACAGAATGAAAATATAACAGTGACTAGAACTGTTTTCCCACAGTCTGATTTAAAATTCATGTGGTCTTCTGGCTCCATTAAGTGCAGGCTGATAAGTCTCCGTTCAGATCTTTTATAATGTTGAGGAAGGGAACCTCCATCTTCCTCAATCTTAAGACTTGGAAAATATCATTATGTTGTAAGTCAGGAGGTTTCACAATGAGTGTGAAATATAATTACAACTTCTCATTTCCCTTTCAATAAGTCTAACATGATTACCGAGTGTCACAGAGTTCTTAGCACAGCCTGAAGCTCCACAGAATTCTTTTTTGCCTGACCTTCAGATTGCTTCTTGTGAAGGGCCTAAATAAAGTAGAATCTGTGATCTTGGCTCTCTAATTTCCCATCTCCCCAGAATTTAAAATCTTGGGAGTTAATTGTATTCTACTCACTTGCATTGCATCCTGATCTTCCCTTTCATGTGCTAATAGCTCAGAATTTTGGCTAGTCTCATGTGCTATTCTTCATGCTATAGGAGTTGATACTCCTGTGTCCTCTGTGTTCTTCCTCACATCGTGGAGGCTAATCGAAAGTTCATCCTCTGAAATCAGACCTGCCAGCCACCTGTTATCTGTAGAATGTCCTGAGCCTACAAATCCCTATGGCTTTGCAAAATCCCTTATGTACTTATTCCAAAGATATGGTACAGAATAGTTCAAGGGGTCTCAAACTAGCATAGGTCAGAGGCACTTAAGAAGCGTAAACTGCAAGTTGCCTAGAACTCTGTCTCCAGAAAGTCAGAAATGGTAACCTCCATTATATCTGATCCCTTGTAGTTTAACCTCACATTCCCCGTGAACATTACTGTTGGGTATTTTAGCAAATATTAGCTGTCAGAGTGTTTTCTGTTTTGTATGAATACTATTTGACCAAGATCTCTTCTTTCTTTCTTTCCTTCCTTCCTACTGACCTACTCACCTACTTATCTACATCCTACCTACGTTTCCTGAGCGCTATGCCAGTACAGAGAGAAAGCAAAGATAACAATACACGCCAGGCCTTCTCAGTCTATATTCTCTTTGTGTATTCAACTTTTCCGTTTCAGCTGTTTAAAAACAGATATTCTAATGTGAAGAACAATGGATTTTGTCTCATTCCAGAGTTTCTGGGGTGAAACCTTCTCAGAGCCTTTGTCCCGTCCTCTTGAGGTCAGCTCTGGCTCAAGGGAATTCTTTCTAAGGTTCAGGAAATTGAGAAATTTACTTTTCATTAGTATACAATGCAGTTGGTGCAGTTTTTAAATTGTAAATATTTTGATCCTAGAAATCTGTTCTGATCTTTAGCAACTACCATCTTTCAACCAAGTTAGTTTGAGATCCTTTTTCCAAGATCGGCTTGCTTATTTTGAAGTATTATGTAAATCTATGTCTCATTAAAGTTCAAGCACTTCTCCTTTCCCATTCTATTTCTCAATTCTGTGTATTCTTTGCTACAAAATGCACATATTTCTTTTTCTAAAAATTTTCCCAGTTTCCATTGGCATACTACCTGACAAAGAGGGCCTTGACGAATCTTTCTATTACACTGGCTGACTCACCTGGCTTTCTCCAGGTGCCCTTCCTGTATGGCTAAGGTGGGATCAGATTTTTTTGATCCTTTGTTTAAAATAACTTGATGTCACAGGAAATGGCTCAGACAGGACAGTTGTTCCAGTTTCCCCTGAGGTTCACCATATAAATGGCTTTGTAAATAACTACATTAAAGCTCAATTAGTCACACAGTAAGTCACCAAGACTTTAAGGTGTCTGCCACTTCCAACTAGGGATCTTTTTCAGAAACAAAATTTGACTCAGAAAAATATCTTTCAGCTTCAAGAGTTCCGAGCTCTTCTATTGAGGTGACTGTTCAAATCAAAGAGGCGGCAGTGGGCTAGTGACAGAGAACCTCTGAGATCTCACTTCTTTTCTAGATTGCATAAAGGAAGGCAAACATAATCACTCCAAGTAGGAGGGTTTGGGGTTTACCATCTGTAGGAACTTTCTTATAGTGTTGTCATCTCTTAGCCTGAGAACTCCATATTTTTTTATTCTGGAGGAAGTGGAGCAGACAGGATAGCTCTCAGAAGGATGAGCCACCCCAGCATTTCCGTGGCTCTGAAAGCAGGAAGGAGGGGGAGGGGGTAGCAGGAAAGGGAGAAAGAAAGAGAGAGAGAGAGAGAGAGAGAGAGAGAGAGAGAGTGTGTGTGTGTGTGTGTGTGTGTGTGTGTGTGTGTGTTGGGTGGAGTTGAGAGGGTGTCCTGATGCCTCTTTTTACCCCAGTTCTGGATGTCCATCGTGGCCACCACTATGCCCATACCCTGCGGAGGCTTCATGCCTGTGTTTGTGCTAGGTGAGTTCTGATGGGGAGCCTGGGGTTATTCTGATAGCTACAATCTAGGGTACTGAAAAAATAAAGAAAGCCCTGGAATTCTGGGGACCTGTATTTGATCTTATTGCCCAAAGAGGGAATACAGAGGATAAGCAACTTGGATCTCTCAGCACTTTTCTTTTGTCTCTGGTCTAGGAGCTGCATTTGGAAGGCTGGTGGGAGAGATCGTGGCCATGATATTTCCTGATGGCATCTTATTTGATGGCATCATCTACAAGATCCTACCTGGGGGCTATGCAGTAATTGGTGAGACACATTTCACCCTCTTGAAACCAAATATTTGAGTCCCTCAACTGCCCACACTCCAACTCTCCCTGACATCTTCATTCCAGGCTATAAAATATGGTTTTCATTTAATGCTATTAATCCAACTTGTATTCAAATAATCAACCCTGGATTCTGACTCTCATTAACATTTATTCAATGTCTATGAGACTTAGTTTCTTCATGTGAAAGAGAGATTATGGGGATTAAATAAAGCAATAGGGATAAAAGCACCTAGAATTGTGTCTGAATGTTTGGTAAGGGCTTTTTTCTTTCTTTCTTTTTTTTTTTTTTTTTTTTTTTTTTTTTTTCCTTCTTCCAAAGAGTCATAGAAACAAGAATGCAGGTGACTGGCTCAATTACTTTCACCTTGCAGATAAGCCAGGATTGATGGGACTTAAAAGCACATGACTAAGCGCTAAGGAACATGGGCTCTGGACCCATCCCTGGCCTGTGTCACCTGGATGGTCATGGACAAGTTAGCTTCCTTTCTGAGCCATAGTTTCTTCAGAAGTGGCTTCTGAGATATTTTACACCCCTACCACTCTATGAGTCTCTTATGTTTTTCATTAAATCTATTAGCCCATCCAACCAAAACCTATGTCCAATACAATGACCAATACAAATCCCCATAATTACTACACCTCCTCCTTCCTTTTTCTTTTTACTAAAATCCCATAACAAGTAAGTCCATGCTCCCTTACATATAGGAGCACTAACCAGTTTTATTGCCAGATGGTGACCTTACTTTCCCATAAATTGTTGACTCAAAACCTGAGGTCCAAAATAGAATGCCATAACTGGGTTTTAAAATGGTCTGTTAAGAATGATACAAACTTCTGCCTGGCTGGTTTGACTAGTGGTTGAGTATTGACCCATGAACCAGGAAATCATGGTTCAATTCCTGGTCAGAACACATGCCTGGGTTGTGGGCTGGTGGGGAGCATGCAGGAGGCAACCAATCAATGATTCTTTCTCATCATTGATGTTTCTGTCTCTACCCCTTCCTCTCTCTGAAATTAATAATTTTAAAAATATATTGAAAAGAATGATATAAACTTTCAAAAACCAGGAATGGATAAAATAGCACTATCTTCATTTTAGGAAAAATGATGATTTTCTAACAGTCCAGCATTTTAACCCCTACACTCTTTTCCCCCCCTTATTTGTTGAGTGAGTGGCAATGTGTCAAAAAGTATTCTAGGCACTAGCAAACATATCAGAGAAGAGATTAGACAAAATTTCTACCTTTGTGAAGCTTCTACTATTGACAAATGGATATATTAGAGTGTTGGCACTGACCAATTCTGTGTCATTCTGGTCATATCCCCATGTGCCCTGCATGCCAAGAACTGCAGCTCTAATCCACCAGTACATTTCTGTGTCTCATTCTAGGAGCAGCAGCACTGACGGGTGCGGTGTCCCACACAGTCTCCACAGCTGTGATTTGCTTTGAACTAACGGGTCAGATTGCCCACATCCTTCCCATGATGGTGGCTGTTATCTTGGCCAACATGGTGGCTCAGAGCCTGCAGCCTTCCCTCTATGACAGCATCATCCAGGTCAAGAAGCTACCCTACTTGCCTGACCTTGGTTGGAACCAGCTCAGGTCAGGGGCACCAGCTGGAATTAGTTCAGCCTTGATGCGGTGGGGGTGGGAGATGCTGAGGTTGATATTGCAGATAGGGTCAATGTTTGCAAGCACTGCTTTTTACCTCTTTTGATATCCCCATATATTTAATAAATATTTTGAATGGTGAAATGTCAAACCTCAGAGGAGGAGCGGAAAGGCCAGCAAAGGGATGGACATATGGTGGGGCTAACCCCCCATGCTTTCTCCTTCTATAGCAAATTTACAATCTTTGTTGAAGACATCATGGTACGTGATGTGAAGTTTGTTTCAGCTTCTTGCACATATGGGGAGTTGCAAACCCTGCTTCAGACCACCACAATCAAGACTTTACCACTGGTTGATTCAAAAGGTCAGTGGGGAGGAAGGAAGACAACCCCTGAACTTGGGCTCCATAGAGGTCAGGGAGGAGGCATTGTGGTGTGGGGTTTGTTTGTAGAGGCCACTCAGTCTGCTACAGGAGACCCAGCCTATGCTCCTTAGGGAACATCATCCTGAGGAAGTTAAATACACCCGTAGCACAGGCACAACAACACAGTTAAAAACCAACCAAAGAAATACAGTCAATTCTCTTATACATGGTAGTTATGTTCTATAAGGTCACCATGGGCACTGAATTAGGGATACTACACTGAGCCATTGCTCCTAGAAGACATATAGGATTAGGTTCCTATAAGCCCCTGGTCACACCACTCTCTTCCACTAATCAATGTATAAACTTGTTTTGTGAATGTTCCTCTTTAAAAATACCTTATTGAGTACTAGTATATATTGTTGATTCATTCAGATTGAATTTACAGCCAGCAGAATGACAGCTCATGCCTCGACAAAGCTTACATAACTCACTTATTTTCTCCATAAAGCACATCATAGCCCTTATGCTTGAGGGCAATTTGAAACAGCAAAAGAAAAACACAAAATATGTGAAAAACGTGGCAGTAAATAGACCACGAAAAGAACACTTGTTTGCAGTATAAGGGCTGGGAGGGGGAAAGGTATAGCATCACTTTGTTCAACCTAAGCTAAGAATGTGTGCATGGGGCAACCTATATTTTTTGCTGCTCTGTGCACATCTGTGAATGACAGGAAGCATCATGAGTATTGATTTTGTGTTACAAATGGGTGAATTCACAAATAGGGAATCCATGACTAATGAGGCCCAGGCTTAAGTCTTACAGCCCCTTTTGTAGTTCTCTTTGCTACTTAGCTAAATACCCACTGTTCTTTAATGTCCAACTGGAAGAGGAGATAAAACTTTCATATGAAGGAGTGAACGATTTTAGTAAGCTGGGTCTTCAAACTTCTCTTCCTTCATTCACCATCCTTTCTGCCCACCATTGGCACTTAATCCTGCTCTGTGTTATTTCTTACTATGGTTTATATGTCTATATCTGATCTTCCTCATGAGATTGGGTATTCCTTGAGGGTGGAGACTATAACTTCCATTTCCATCAGACTACCTCCTTGTAGATATTTACTAACTATTGAATACTTGCCTGATGTTTGAATTAGTGTAACAGAAGAATTGTGGCAGGCCAGTTGGAGCCATTAAAATAGTTCTGATTTCAGATAATCAGAGTATTCAAATTGGTCAATTTAGGTCAGTTTTAATATTTTCCCAAACCCAAATACCTCTAAGTGGCTTGTATCCTGGGAGCTCTTCATTGGAGCAGTAGTTCAGCCTCTCTCATAATGACTAAGACTTAATGGTAAGATTTATCTCCATAACACTGCTGCAATTTTATGGCCTTAAAACTTAATGAGAATGTAATTACAGTCGCAGAATTTCGACATTTCCAGAAAAAGTAGGCTTGTTGTTTATATCCTAGAAGGACCCAGACTCTAAACAATTAAATAACCTTGTAGGCCTCTTTCAAAGTATATTCACATCTCAGCCTTACATGGATGCCCTCTAATGTTTCTTTCTTGGAGACAGGGTTGCTTAGTCTATTTTAATACCAAGTTCACCTATTTGCAAACACTAGCTATATCAAAATAAGCACAAGTGAGCACCAATTAGCACCAATTAGTCTACTATCAATTGGGTCTCTAAGTACTAGATTACGAAATCAAAAGGACTGAGTCAGGTCAACCATGCAAGATTTGTGAAATGAGTGTTTCGGGAGAGAAGGTGAAAACTGAAGAAGAGAAAACCGGAGGCGTGGGCGCTGGCTTTCTGTCCGTGCTGAGCGGGGTGGAGGTGCGGGGAGGGGACTGGTAATGAGCAGGCCCTCGGCTAAGCTTGGCTCGCCCCCAGAGTCAATGATCCTGCTGGGCTCCGTGGAGCGGTCGGAGCTACAGGCCCTGCTGCAGCGCCACCTGTGTCCTGAGCGGAGGCTGCGGGAAGCCCGGGACCTGGCCAGGAAGCTGTCAGAGCTGCCTTTTGACGGGAAGGCGCGGCAGGCTGGGGAGGGGCAACGGGGCTCCTCGCCCCAGGGCCGACCGGAGTCCTTCGCCTTCGTGGATGAGGATGAAGATGAAGATCTCTCTGGGAAATCCGAGGTGACTGGGCTGGGAAGGGCCCGGGGAGCAGGAAAGAGGGAGACAAAGGGAAAGTAGGAAGAGGGGATGGAGATGCTGGTCATTTAGAAAGTCAAAGAGAGCAGTGGCCCTCCGTCCATCCGAAGGACTGAAGGAGATAAGGTCGTGGATGATGGTCCGGATGAGAATTCAGAGGAATATAGGACTTCTGAAATGGGGAGGAAGAATGGAATTAGATGGATTTCTCAGGACACGTGCCGGTACAGGCAGGAAAGCAGTAGGCAGCCTCTTCTCTGGGGCTGAGGATTTTTACTGCTCCTTACAGCTACCTCCACTTCCTCCTCCTCAACCCATTCCTACTGTTCCACTGCCCCCTGAAGAGCCCAACGGACCCCTGCCAGGCCTCAAACAGCAGCCAGAAGCACCGGAGCCTGCAGGTGAAGATTCTCCCATCATGCTCACTCAGCCTAAGGGCTGCTACTCTGGGGAGGGGGAGGCTAGGGTGATGGGAGAGGGTTCCTATTCATTGAGTCTCCATATTGTTGACCCAAGGAGAGGGACAAGGGCTTACCAGTATTTAGGAGGGTAAAAGAGAGGGTGTCTATGGTTGGCGGCATAGTGTCAGGGGACCACTTGGGAGCCCCTGGCTATTTCCTCCCAGGAAGAGTAGAAATTGTTTCCATTTTCCTCTACTCCCCACTCTTCAGGTCGAAGGCGCTCCATCTTTCAGTCTCTGCTGTGCTGCTTGCTGGGCAAAACTCGCCCCACAAAGAAGGAAACAAGCCAGGTGAGAGTTGGATGGGGGTGGGGAAGGGAATGGGGTAGGGAATGACAGGGGAAAGGGAACTTGTCTGATCCTTAGATCAGGAGGGAAGGGGTCCCACCAAGGAGAACCTTCATCGTATGGGAGGAATGGTGAGTTGAAAGCGGGCATCTTTGGCCCTGGCCAGGGAGTCATGGCTATAATTCCATTAGGAAAGAATTTGGACCTATATCTTTCTTCTCTAGGATGCAACCGATTTAGTGGATAACATGTCACCTGAAGAGGTAAGTAAAGGAAGCAGCAACCTGGGGTGGACTGTTCTGTCAAATGAAGATATTGCTCATCTTTTTCTGTCTTCTTCTTTGTGTTGTTGTAAGAATAAAATGTGAGTCTAGGCGGGAAAGCATTTTAGAGGTTGGAAAGGAGGCATGACTATGGAGATGGTGATGGGCACATGGCACAGAGGTGGGAAGACCTGATAGTATTCTCAGAAGGACCACTGTCATTTGAAAAGAGGAATGTTTTGAGTCTCCATGCATCAATGGACCCATGATGCTAAGATGAACCTTAGATCTTGTAGGCAGTAGGGACATTCTGGACAGGCAGAGGCTCTGCAGGAATGCTGAGCACCAGGCACTAGCACTTACACATCCCAATGTGGAGAAACAGCACTGAGGCTATAAAAGTGAGGCCAGCACCTGGTAGAGGTTACTCTGCTGATCCACCAGGCCCCTGAGACAGTGGACAACTAGGGAATGCCAGGAAGCAGGACTAGGAAGAACCACAACTGAGGACAAGTATTCACAGTGCTGCCTCGTGGGACAAATGCCTATTTCCCAAGAAAGCTAGTTATCAAGTCTATGAGCAAGAAAGTTGAGCATGTTGAATGGCCTTGACCTGTCTCCATGGTTATGCCTCCTTTCCAACCACTGAGCAGTAAAAGAATGCAGTGCAGTGATTGGGAGCAGTACTAATGGGGACACACCCTAGAGGGTGTGCAGACACAACAAAGTCCATCAGCGGCCATCCATTTAGTAAATGAGAATGCATACTCAAGCTTTGTAGCTGACAAAACCATAATGCATATTATTTTAGAATAAACATCTTTGGACATCCGGAATAAATAAGTGCTGAAAATGAAAGGTACTGCAAGGTTAGAGGAAGGGGTAGGGAGTGACAAGAGAGAAAGGAAACCACTTTCTCCCCTTGCCACCCCTCAAAACACAGACACTTCTGATAAATGACTTATGGGAGAGTCAAACAGATGATCACAAAGGAAAAAGAAAAATCATTCCTCCGTCCATAAGCAGGAATCAGATGTGTCATATCTGCAATTAAAAAGTAGGGTGCTAAACCCAATAATAATGCTTTTTGTTGTTGTTAACACACCAAAGAGAGAATGCCAGCTATTTGATCAATGAGGCTACTTAAGAACTGCTGAAAATAAAGTGCTGCCAGGGACAAAAAGATGACAGGTATACCTTTTTAGTTTATATCTTTCCCAAGGGAGACTTTAAGCAGCTCCCAGCTCCCATGTGGCTTGTTGACATTTTGGAGGAATAAGATCCAATTGGAGTCAGAATTCAGGTTATTTTGAACATGGTTTTCAGACTAGATCAAGGTGACACCCTTGGCAATATTGAGATGATATCTATGGGAATATTGAAAGAATTCAATTATAGGTCTCCAGAAGCCCATGCTATACTTAATTCTGCTACACTGTTAGTACAGACAGTTAGAGCTCCTGTTTGCAACTGGGGCTTAGCTTTTTCAAGTTCAGACTCAAGAACAGACATCCTCCTCCCCTTGGACAAGAGCTGGGGGTATCTGGAACACTACCAGCAGTCAAGGTCAGAAGCCCAGCTTCACCTCTGTGCAGTTGGAATAATGCCCAGCACAGACAACGTGCTTGATACCGGTTCTGTTATTGTTGTTTCTTAAGGGAAGGCAGAAATGGAACTAGGGAAGGCCAGAAATGATCATGGAAAGGTCCAGGGTTGACAAGATGGCTGCCTGTTCTAAGTAAATCATCTCTATGACATACCTGCTAAGTGGTCACCATCTTGTGTTGTGAGAGCTGGTCAGTCCCTATGTGAACCTTCAGTAAGAGAAGAGGAGAGTTTCAGAAAATTTTAGATTTGCTTTTTATGAAAGCCGGAGCCATCCTGGATTCTTTAGAAGCTTGAGGATTTGAGCATCGTGTCTACATCAAGAGAGTTGGCCTTCCTGTTTTAATGCTTCTGTCATAAACAAAACAAACAAAAGAGATGGCTTTGCTCGAGTCCACTAAGCACCATGTGACCCAGCACAGCATTTCAAACCCAACAAATATGTGGCACCCTGCACTGTGTAAAAGGAAAATGTGCCAGTGTCTTCACAACAGGCACCCATCCATACCAGTAACATTCTCCAGGAGTTCGTGTCCAGTGGGCAGAAGTGAGACAAATGCCAATACAAGAGTGAGCACAGTCCCTGCCTTTTCCAAAAAGGAGAGAGCAGCAGAGTGCTGTGGGAATTGAAAAAGGGGCAAAACACATTAGCCTGGGAGTGGCAAGAGCACAGAGTGAGTGCAGGGTAGGCAGGTAAGGGAAACGCAGCGCAGAAGCCAGAAGACCTATGTGAGGAATGACAAGCAGTCAGGTTTCATGGGAGCATGGGGTATGACAAGAGGAAGGGAAAGACTGAAAAGATAGCTTGAAAATAACAGGAGTTTGGGGCACTTGGGTGGTGGTAGTGAAGGAGAGAATGGGGTGCTAGTGCCTGAGGCTGAAGGTTGATTTGGAGCCTGGCGTTGCATCCTGGGGGGGAAAAAAGGGAGGTGTTTCGTGATACGGAAGGTCTGTGCTATAATAGTTCGTTGCAAATTTCAGGATTCTCAGCTAGTAGGGCTGCTTGTGGTCCAAGCCTTGTACCTGAGATATGGGGTGACTACTCTGCTCTACCCCACAGATTGAGGCCTGGGAGCAGGAGCAGTTGAGCCAGCCTGTCTGCTTTGATTGCTGCTGTATTGACCAGTCCCCTTTCCAGCTGGTGGAACAGACGTCCCTGCACAAGGCTAGTCCTTGCCCACCGCTCAGGGCTGCTGGGAGGTGTGGAGCTCCCTGTGCACTGACCTGCTGCTTTTTCTGTGCAGATTCACACACTGTTCTCGCTCCTTGGTCTCCACCTTGCCTACGTGACCAGTATGGGGAAGCTCCGGGGTGTGCTGGCATTGGAAGAGGTAACAGCAATGTGTCCAATTGAGCAGCAGGAGGAATGGGCGGGCACAGGATGTGGGGGTGGGGGAGGGATTATTTTAAAACCCCCATTTCCCTCTCTATTTCTCATGCAGAGATTGGAGGAAGGAGAGAGGGCTCAGCAATCAAGGGGTACAGGTGGAGACGACTACAAAGACCTGAAGGGGACACAGTTCTTGATCTTAGATATAGATAGCCCCTGTGATCTTCCATAGCTGGCATGGGTTTGGGATTGGGGTTCAGGGCACAGGACATGGTTTCATAAGGGTGCTCTATGAGGAGGGCCAAGGGAAGAAGGAGGAGATAGGATGTGGCTGAAGGCGGCCTGAAGGTCACTAGGAAGGAGCCAAAGGACATCTGGGTTAGGGAGCTTGAGACTCACTGTTCCACAGGGGCCTGCTGTCTGCTGGCATTACCCCTTTCTCTTCCTTTTTTCTGTCTTCTTTGATCTTTCCACGTGGTCTTTCTTGACATTCTACCGCTTTTCCATTCCTTCTTCCTTTTATCGTATCTATTCTTCGCTTGTGTCTGTTCCACTCACATTGCCCCATCTTCTTTCTCTTCCCAATTCTGTAACCCTCTTCCCCTTTTCCTCTGCTTCCCAGCTGCAGAAGGCCATTGAGGGGCACACCAAGTCAGGAGTGCATCTCCGCCCTCCCCTGGCCAGCTTCCGGAGCACAACTTCAAATCGAATGACTCCTGCAGGCCCACTCCCTTCCTTGGAGGCCTGGAACCTGCCTGAGGATGGAACTGGGGCCACTGAGCCAAAGGATGTGGTCCCTACCTCCCCAGACACCCCTGAGCTGTCTCCCTCCCCAGAACCCCCACTTTGCCTGGCTCCAGCCAAAGCGGAAGGTGAGCTGGAAGAGCTGGAGCTGGTGGACAGTCCGGGGCTGGAAGAGGAGCTGGCTGACATCTTGCAGGGCCCCAGCCTGCGATCCACTGATGAGGAGGATGAGGATGAACTGATCATTTGACCATACCCCAGGACTGCCTCATCAGCCTGTCCGTCAGGAGGCCCAGACCTGAGGGTGGATTTGTGTGGGAGACTGTATGTCCTTAAGTTGCGGAGATCAGGCCAATATCCTGACCCTCCTGGGAATTTTAAAATGTGTCAATGATAGTCTTAGAGGAGGAGTAAGAATTTGGACAGTGACTAGCATTCAGACCATCCACAGCTCCTTCTCTCAAGTTCCCCACCCCATGATCTCCCCACTCTTTGAGATTTGCCTCCAGACTCTATCTGACTCTCACTCTCTGTCCCCAAGAAAGGCTATTACTCCGGCAGTGAAAGGCCAATCCCATTCCCCATTCCTTGCCCCTGATTTACACAGTGAAATGCGGATAAAAAGACTATCAGGGGAGAAGCCTGGAAGAGCAAATGTCACAAAAGGCTCTATGTGGGAGGGGCAGGCACCTTGAGCCAAATAGTCATGCTGCCCCATCAAACACCCTCCATCAGAAATCCTCCCTCACATCACAGCTTCCTTACCTCATCTCCAGGTCACTTCTTAGAAAAGTATAACCCCTTTCTTCCCACTGTGGTCATTGATCTGTCCTTCCCAAGGGTTAGCTCTGCCCTCCAACTGCTCTGGCTGGAACCTCTCCTTCCAAGAATCCTCCAGTTGGTCACTCAGACACCAGCCCTGAGATGAGTTCTCTGTGTTCTTCTTGAGGTGGAGAGTTGGGGTTTCAATGCCAAGATGGCAGACCTCTTCAGTGCTTCCACACTTGGGAGGTCAGAACCATATCCTCCCCAAATCGGCAACAGGGAGCCCGCCATGAGCCTGCCTTTTCTGCCAGTGGTCCCAGGGGCTCTGAGCATCCAAAAGCCCTTGCACCCACCCTCCAAGCTTTCCCCCTCCCCCCTTTATGCCCTTTTGTTGTGTCCCCTCTCCAATGTGACATTCTCCTCCTTCACCTCCCCTGGGCCCAGTCTCCTTCATCCCTCAAATAAGACACTCACAGTCAGAGGATGCCACCACATTCTGTTTAGTGCCATTGAACACAGCCTGGAACCCTCTCCAGCATCACATCCCTGCCCCCTTCCCAGGCCAAGAGAGAGAGTCCTGGGGAAGGGGCTGGCAATGGGCCTTGGAGCCCAATGCCCGTGTGTATATAATCTATAATATTTATATATATTTATATATATAATTCTCTCTGTAATATATGTCATAGAATCTCTCTTAGGCCTGGGGAAGAGGGGGGTCACATTAAGAAAACATGCTAAGACTACCACAAAAATGGATACTCCCCAGACCTGGAAGACGAGCATGGGCTGTGTAGGTGGGAACAGGGAAGAGATCATAAACACATTCACCAAGATCCCCTCCTTAACACAGGATAAGAAAGAAGGGGAGGAAGGGGGAGGCAGAAGGGGAGGGAGGAATGGGTTTCCCTTTAATAAAATGAAAGTGAAAATAAAAGTGCACCCCCACCAAAGAAAATCATTTAGCAAGAGCAGTTTCATTCACAATAATAATAATAAAAAAAACCAGCCCTGTTCTGGAACTGTTGTAAATCGTGCTGCACAGCCTTGAATCGCGGAGGAAAAGCAACCCTCCCTCACCCCCAACAGCCTCTTCCAGCACATGCCCCTCCCCTCCCCCCAAATAGGCTATAAGCAAACCCCATGCACCCTGCCCCCAGCACCAAAGAGGCAGTTCCTCCTTCCAGAAGAGTCCTAAGAGGGTCCAAGGCCAGCTCCCTGGGTCTTCTCCCTCTTCAAAGTGGTAGGGAAGCTCCTTGCAAATGCTGATCCCCAGCTGACCCCTGGTCTGCCTGCGCATGTGCCAGCTGCCAGCACCGGGGATGTGGAGCCCTGCTGGAGTCAAATAGGCTAGATTCCTCCACCATCCAGTCATCTTTCAGCAGGGACCAAAAGAAGGCTTCCTATGGTAGGGAGGGAGGAAAGAACACTGCTTTCCTCTACCTTCCCTAACTCCCTAGGGCCCTGAGCGAAAAGGAACTGTAATAAATGACCCCTCACTGGAGTGGATGTCCACTGTGGTCTGGGCAGCAGAGTAGGGGGCAGGAAGAGGATGAGACTAAGAGGAAAAGATGATTCATCCAGAGAGCAGGTTGCACAAGGTGAGGTAACAAGGACCCCCTGAAAGGAGGGAGCCTCGAGCATGCAAACCCCAAGACCTGTGACAGGAGTGCAGGGTGAGGCCACAATATTACTGCCCAAAGCTCCCAGACAAGAGGTCCTGGTGCCCCCGGAGTCAGGTCACATGATCAGACACCAGCCACAGCTTTAGATGAGGTAAATAACTCTTCACTCATCTGTGCTTACCAGGCCTACTCATGTTTCCTCCAAGTATCAACTTCCTCTCCCCTCCCCTGAAGACATGGGACCCCGGCCTTGGCTGCATTGCAGGACCACATGCCTATGAAAGTGTGAACTTGATGGGGGTCAGGGTCATAGATGGACACAAACTCATAACCTCCTCATTCCGAAGAAGTAGACACCTGGGGATGGGGCGGGGGGGGCTCCTTTGTGCCCAGGGTCTGTGAAAGTGACAGTGCCCCCTTCCTAGTAGAGGACAGAAGCAATAGGACCTCTGACAAAGTAGGACACAAGGCCTTGGAGCTGGAGTCTTAGAAGAGGAGACAGAAAGCAGGCAACGGCCATCTTAGCTTTTCCCTCTGCCAGGGGCTAGGGAATGGGGTCCCATGGAGTGTTCCTCAGCTGCCATGCCTTTGCTCCAGCCTGGCCCTGCTGTCAGGATCACTTACAGAAGTGTGGGGCTTTGTGTGCTGTTGACAGAAGTCCCCAACAAAATGGGAACTGGGTGTGGAAGGACTAGCCTGTTCAGGGGCTTCTGCCTCACTATAAACTCCTCCTAAAAGGAAGAAGACTGACTCCACTCTCCACAGGAAGCCTGGGAAGGGAGGCCGCCTGGGAGGAGCTGAAGAAGGAGAAAAAGAAGCCGAGTGCCCACACTGATTCTCAGCCAACAACACGCTGGGCAGGGGCCTGACAGCACCAGACTCCTCCCTCCACCCCACTCAACCTGAGTCCCCAAGAAGTTATAAAAATGTAGAAAAGGCAAAGAGAAAAGTGTAAACAGCTCCAGAGAATTTGGGGGTGGAGGGAAGGAGGCACAGCCTTCATGCTTCCCCCCCTGGCAGGACACCTGCATTCTGTCACCCCCTCTGGGCAGGCTGGAGCAAGGGATGGAAGAAGGCAGACAAAGGAAGCAAGAGCTGGAGCAGCCAGCCCACTGGGTCCTTTCCCAGACCCTTAGGACCCACCTTTCAGTCACAGGATATTCAAAATCCCAGAACAGGTGGCCATGTTTGCTGTTGGTCCCATCAATGACTCTCTGGTCTCTGGGTGGGCCTTACAGAAAGAATCCTGTTTGTGCCCTGTGCACCCCAGCTACCATGTCCACCTTCCCCATGACTCCTGATCTCAGAAGCCAAGCTACCCACTGAGCAGCCTCTCCATTCTCTAAGGAGACGTGGCTTCCCCTACACTCATTGAGTCACATCCAGCAGGTCTGTTCTTCACAGTAGGGTCGAGTTGGGACCACAGCCAGAGAAAACACAGAGTCGGAAAAAGCAAAAGTGACGCGAGAAAGGAGGCATTCAGACAGCCATTGTGAAGGCTCCTGAAGAAGTCAGGAGTGAAAAACAGAGATCTCGTTGATGGCTCCTGTCCCCAGGATACAAACTGGGCTTCATCATCACAGACCCAGAAGCCCACAGGCAAGCCAAGTTCACAGCCATCTCATTGCCTGGAGCTCAGTCTCTGGATCTGTGGTTTCTACAGCACAAGCCTGGATGGAATCCCATCCTGGCCCTTCATTTTCCTGGCGAGAACTGGCAGCTCCTGGGTTCCTCGTGGTCTTCTGCCCGGGTTTCAGCTGTACTGCTGGGGGAAGGGAGGGTATTGTTGTAGCCGGGCCCCTCAGGTGCGAGTGGAAGATAGGATATAGAGTGGGTAGAAGCTAGTTGTTGGCCTCACCCTCCTCCTCATCAAAGGACTGCACACCTGAGGATGTGACATCAGATACCTTCCGGCTGAGAGCAGTGGCCATCTCAGGGTCTTCTCGTGGGGAAAGTGATTCCAGGTCCCTACATCCCGCATCTTCTTCCTCCTCAGGGGCCAAGGGCCTCTTCTCCTCCTCTGCAGAGCCCCTTGCCAGGTCCACCCCACCCATCCCTGGAGCCCAGTCAGTGTCTCCCCCCAGGAAAGGTGGAGGCTCCTGAGCAGAGTATCCGGAAGCAGGTTGGGGAGGCCCCATTTCGTGTAAGCTTGGCTGTGAGTCATCAAATGCAGGGCCAAGATAAGATCCTGTGGCTGGAGAGGCAATGAGGGACTGGTCACTTGCTTCCCAGGCATCTGATGATCCCAGACAGTACATGCCCTGGGACACATAGGAGTGAGGCCATCCATCCATGGGGGCTTGAGTGAGGCCATCTGTAAAGAGAATCACAGAAGTCGGTGGAGGCATAGACTAACAAAGGCAGTAACATCAGCACAGACAATTGAGGGTGAGAAGTTGGGGAAGGAGGGGAATAGAAAGCTAGGATGAACAGAACGTCTTAGAAGCACAGAGATGTACAGAAGTAATATAGATAGCTGGGGAGGACTCTTAAGCCTCAGGGGTTGGATTCTGGAACCATCCCTTACCTTGACTTTCCATCAACTCTTGGTAGTTGTCACTGTAGTTGCAGCCCAATGGCTCCTGGGCAGAGTTGACACTCAAGTCCTCACCATCCATGGAAGACCAAGCCATGAGTGTGGCCTCAGAAATGGCAAACTGTTCCATGACTCCTGGGAGAAGAAATGTGGTTAGCATGAGGTATTTCTGAGAACCCTTAGACCACATGTGTCAAACACAAGGCCCGCGGGCCAAATCCGTCCCGCCAGGCCTTGCAATGTGGCCCGCACCGCGCTGTCATCACTGCACTCCGATGCGTTTCCATCACAATGACAGTTTATGACTGTTCAGTAAACCATTCGGCCCGCGATTTAGGCTGGATTTTAGATTTTGGCCCCTTCTCTGATTGAGTTCGACACTCCTACCTTAGACACATGCATGGGGAAGGGGACATTAGAGCAGCACTGTTCAATAGAAATACAATGCAAGCCACCTGCATGATTTGAAATTTTCTAAAGTAAAAGAAAAAGGTGAAATTAATTTTACTAACTATATCTTACTTAACCTAATATATATGAAAGATGACCATTTCAACATCTAACCCATATAAAAATTAGTGAGATATTTTACATTCTTTTATTCATAGAAAGTCTTTGAAATCCAGTTGATATTTTACACTTCCAGCATTGTCCACTCAGACTAGCCACATTTCAAGTTCTCAATAGCCACATTTGGCCAGTGGCTACTATATTGGATAGCACAGCCTTTATATGTGCCCTGAAGCAAAGCAATATCATGGGGGATTTCCCAAAAGGTCAGATTTAAGATTCCTAAGGGAAAGAGTTGGGGGTTTTCTGGTGAGATATCCTAAGGGATTGAAGTCTGGGATTTCCAAAAGTTTATTTTGTGGATTTTTTAGGAGTGGTAGCTGGTATGAGGCAGTCAAGGACAGAGGCATCTAGATATCTAGGAGGGGATGGAGTGGGGGAATGGTGCCTCAAGATTAACAGAAAATCCCCAAGAGAGCACCATGGACCACCAAGTTGATAGTTCAAGGAATTGGAAGAAGAAGGGAGAGAGGATAGAATAGTGAAGATGGATAGACTTGGGCGGGGAGGGGTCCCTATTCTAGCCAAAGCCATGCCTAAATTGAAGCCTACATTGCTAGCTGCTCTACACCATACCCTGCCCTTACATGTTTGCCTTCCCCCTCACTGATATTTCTTCCACCACACCCAATACAAAGATACCTCCCTTCTCTTCCAGATCTGTCCTTCTCCCTAGGGATCTTATTGAGACCTGCCACTAGGGCTCAGCCACCATTGTAGGTGCACTATAGGCTTGTCTCATACCTACATTATTTTCCAGGAGGGAAACTTCTGTAAGCCACTCTCTCCTCACCCATGTCCTCTTGACCTTCTAGTGGTTGTCACAAGTAATGAGTAACTTATGTGACTCCATGACTGCATTGTGCTGATGGGCTAAGGCTAGTAACGATCTCAAAGGCTTTCTTTCTTTTTCTTTAAGAAACAGGAGAATAGAGGGTTGTTTGTTTTTTTAAGCCAACAGCCCCTGCCATTTTTTTGCCCTGTACTGAGGAAGTCCAGGGGTTGGATTGTCCCACCATGTATGAGAGATGGCATCAGAACCCACAACCCCACATTAATTCTCCTCAACTTCTGAGATGATAATAAAAATAAGTTTGAGGGCACTTATCAGAATTAACAAGTCAAAGTACTTGAAATGAAGTCTAATGGTCATCCTACAGATAGAATCAATCTTGTCACAGGGTCGGGATGAAGGGTCAGTCTCTGGCCATCCCAAGATGTGCCTCTTGAGGGTTTGGGGGAACAAGTACCTGCAAGGAAACGTGCCTCCTTCTCGCCATCGCTGAGGTCGGAGTAGGCATCGGTATCCCGTCGCACAGCCTCGTGGCTGTGTTGTGGCTGAATGACTGGTGCCTTCCCCCAGCCTTGCCACTCAATCATGTGGGCCACCCGGCCTTGCCCCATGGCTGTGGGCTTCGTCACATGGTCCTTCATGCTTCTTGAAATCCCTAAGGGTATAGACATTCCCCCCATCCTCCAGAATATCACTCAATACCATAACAGGTCCTCCTCATTACCCCCACCCCACTCTCAGGGGACTCCATCCCATGGAGGATGAATCCCATATATGAGGGCAGCCTAAAGGATAGGAGAGGTTTGACAGAAAAGACACATAGGTCTGGGGTAGGAAGATGAAAGTCCCCATCAGGCTAGAAGGAGCAGGGAGACTGAGACCAGGAGCCTATAAGTATCTCCTGACTGGATGTAGGGAATCTCACCTGAGAATGATGACTTGGCCAGGGCTCCAATGCCATAGGCGTTAGAGTTTCGCTTAAGCTTCGGAAGAATGGAAGTGGTGTCCTCCATGGAGAGCTGGAATGGAGAATGTAGGAGGAGGGACAGAGGAATGAGAGGGCATGGGCGTGCTTTATACGTGGGGGTAAGTTCATGGTTTCCTGGATGATGGATCTGAGCTAGAGCAGGTGATTGGGAAAAACCATTAGACCCAGGAGTCCCAAGAAAGCATATCCTCCTACCACCCTTGAAAATGTGGGGTGTAGGTAGAGCATGGGAGGGCTTGCTGGAGTGAGGGAGCACTGTGTTATGGGAGAATAGAAGACCAGTTAGGTTGGGCTGGGGGGAGCTGCACTCACATTGATGCCATCCCAGGAGAAATCAGTTCGGGTTTGCTGTGAGGAGAGAGAAAAGGGAATGGGTATCCCAAACACTTCCAGGAATGCAAGGAACCCCACCCCTTTCCTCCGAGGAGCTTCCAGAAGGGTGTGAAGAAGGGAGCGCTTTCCTGAGATTAGCATAGGAAATTAGGGTGTTGTTGGTGTGGAACATTTGGCTTGTATTTTGAGGACTGTAGGAGAAATGTTCTCCCCAAGTGTCAGTTTGAAGGAGTGTTTGGAATGTTCACTTGGACTTTAAGAGTGGCTATCAAGGGTCAGGCTTTGTTAGGGAGGGTTCTGGGTCTTTCAGAGGTCCTCTGGTGAGGGGCAGCTGGGCACGGGCCTCACCTCCGTAGATGCCCGGTGAAGGCTGCTTCCCTGCAGCGAGCTGTTGCTGTCCATGTTGATTTGGTCCACATCCTTCAGTCCCTTCCAATCCACTGCGATCACCTCATTCCCTGAAGTGGCCAGAGGGTTAGTTGCTCCACCCTCACTCCCCCTTGCCCAACCCAAAAGCCCCTACTGGTCTCAGATGCTGAGGCCACACATTGAGGCTGCCCCTCTAGACCCTTCCTTACCTTAGCTACCACTTCTTCTTCCCATTGCCCATCCCTTTTACATCCCTACTCTACCCACATTTTTGATAGAAGAAATCATAACACTAAGCCAAAATATTCAGTTTAAACTCAACCAAGAATAGCAAACTCAGAAAAACTGGTGTATAGCCTCACTTATTGTTGTTTAAATGGAAGGAAGGGTCAGTGGTTGGGTTTTAGCAGGAAAACTGGAGTCCATCCTGTCCTGAGGTATCGTTGAGGGTTTCTATGCAGGAGTACACTGGGAGCTGCGCTTTTCACCTATTATGTTCCTACAATTAAGGGTGGGGCTTTTCTAAGGATTAGCTTCTCTATGTGCGGGCTTTATTATTTGTGAGGTGTTGGGAATGTAGGGGACCCTCCGTAGGAGTTGGTGAACTTGTCCCACAGGAAGGATTTGGAGAGGATAGAGGAGGGAGTTGGGTGTGTTCACCCCAAAACCGTGAGAGCAAAGAAAGCAAAGCGTGGGATGGAATAATGTTACCTGACTCTTGGGAGATAGGTGATGGGTTAAAGAGGAGTGGAGGGACCACCAGAGGAGCGAAGGGGACTTTTAAAAATAGGAACTAAAAGAAGACGAATTCAAGTCAAAAGAGAAGACAGGAGATGCTGGGAGGGGGTTGAGGGTTTGGGAGGAGAAGAATGGTAATGGCTAAAATGAGGCCAGAGCTCACAGTGAAGGGAGATTGAGGGCAGGGTGGTGCCTCCTGGAAGGCTTGGGGAAGAACCACTTGAATAGTTTTAAAGTCGGATGTCTGTGAACCATCTGACCTTATAGATCCTGGCTATACAGGAAGTGTTATGATTCTGAATTCCGGGTTAGGGGTCCACTCTTGAGAAGGGGTCAATTGAAGGGGGTCTCGGGGCTGAGGAGGTATTCAGCATGCAACAACATAGCTGATGCAAAAGGTATGGCTCCTGGTTAAGGGGTCCAAGAGAGGCAGGACCCCTCCAAAGTGTGCCGCTGTTCCTTGGGGGTACAGGGGAGTGGTGAGATGGGTCAGACCAGAGGCGGTGGCTTGGGGGGAAGAGGAAAGATGGACTTCTGAGTGGAGAGAGCCAGAATGGGGCAGACAGAGAACTATCTCCGAGGAGGGAGGTGGGGGAAGCAAAGTGGGAGAGAGGGGCGGGGAGAGGTGGCCTTTGTAAAAGAGGGAGAGCTGAGTCAGAGCGTGGGGGGCGAGGAGGGGGAGGGAGAGAACCCGGAGAAAAGGTGAAAGCAGAGGAGGGGGGGGGGGGTTATCCATGGAAATAAACCAGGTCTCAGAGAAATCAGGCTTCCGGAGGGTGAGTTTGTAATAATAATAATAATACAAATTATTCTCTCAGCCTGAGGTCACTGGGGCGTGTAGGCGGGAGAAATGGGGAGTTGAATGTGGAAAAAACTGGAGGGTTAGGAAGAGGTAAGTGGTGTGTGCAGGGGATGGGGGACCAGGGGGGGTAGTAGCAGGGCAAAGGTTGAGGGGGGGGGGTAAACAAATTAGGAGGCGCTTCCCCAAGTCAAAGGTAAATAAAGCGCCGGCCCCGCCCCCACCACCCACCCCCAGCTGACAGGTGCTGTCCAGTCCCGGGGATCCTCCCAGAGCCGGCCCCACCCAGCTGGCAGCTGGCTCCTGACCCCTCTGGATCCTTTCAGACCTCTACCTCCTCCCGGCGTCCACCCATGGCTCTGACGCCCCACCCTTCCAGAGCCGACCCGTCCCCTTTCCCTCCCTGCGAGGAACCCATTCCCTCCCCCGAGGCGCATCCCGCCCCCGCCCCAGAGGGAAAATGCACGTGAACAAAGCAAACCGTGGGAGGCACGAATGACATAAAAAGGCAACGGAGAGGGAAAGAGATGGGTGCAAAACACCCAAGCCAGATGGAGGCGGGGGTGCGGGGTGCAGGGGGCGGGGGTGCGTGCGGAGAAAGACGGGGGCTGAGGCTGCTGAGGATTCTTAGAAGAGAGAGGGCTGCTCCGCAAATGGAGACGGGGGCGCGAGGGCGCAGGAGAAGGTAGAGTGAGGCGGATGGCCTGGAGGCGGCGGGTGAGGGACTGGAGAGGAGGGGAGAGCGGCGGAAGAGAGAGCAGAGGCTGATGGAGAGATGATGGAGAGGGACCGCGCCTGGGGAGGTGATGGAAGGAAGCCGGAGGAGGGAGCCGGAGAGAAGAACGCCGCCGGGAGCCCAGAGGGATGCTAGCCCCGGAGGGTGGGGGGTGCGGAGCGGGGAGGAGAGGCGAGGAGGGAAAGTAAGGGAGCCAGGCCGAGCTGGGCGGCATGGATGGAGCGGGGTGCCCGGAGGGGCGCGGAGAGGGTGGGGGAGGGGCCGGGGGACTGGACCACCGGAGAGCTCGACCTACGCCCGCGCTCGCCCCGCCGCGGTACCCACCCACGGTCCGGGAGCCGATGCAGCCCATGGCGCGGGGCCTCCGGGGCCGGACCCTCGCCGACGCGGGGCGGGCGCGGGGGGAGTGCCGGGAGCCGCGCCGCCGCCCCAGCCTCTCTGCGGCGCCGCGGCTGTCTCCGCTCGGCTCCGCTCCCCCCGCCCCTCTCCATCCCTCCCCGCGGCAGCCGCTGCCGCCGCCGCCGCCGCCGCCTGGCTCCCCCGCCCCGGCTCTGCTCTGCTGGCGGCCGCGGAGGGGGTGGCCCCGGGATTGGCTGCGCCGGGCGCCTCCCCCAGCCCCGAACCCGCCGTGCGCTCCCGGGCACCCCGCAGCGCTCCCTCGGGGGCCGGGCTGTCGGCGGGCCTTGCGCTGCCCCCCTCCCCTCTTCCTGCCCCACTGGGGTTCCCACGGGTCCCGGCTGAGCTCCCACGGGGACCGGTGGAGTCCCAGAGAATGCCCGCTCGGGGTCCCAGGAACCGGGTAAAGCGCCCCGGTCCCACCGTTAGGTTCCGGTGGATTCATGTTCAGGGTCCGTCCGGGTTGGGGATGCTCAGAGAGAAAGTGGGGTGGGGAGGTGAGAATAAAGCCTGGATGAAGGGCCTTGGACGCCCAATTCAGCAAACACTTGCTTTCTGACTGGGGTGGCGTGATTGGATACAGTTTAGGATGCTCTCTGCGTTCCCTGGGCATGGGGCTTGCCCATCCAAACAGATCTCGAAATATTTGCAAGAGGGATCGTGTGTCAGACTTTCCTGGGCTCGGTGCTCGCCAGAAATTCGGGGATGGGTGTGGAGATGTGTGTATGGTGCAGATAATCTAACCCCAGGCCTGGTTGGGGATGGGGGGACGGAATGAAGCTAATTCAATCCCACCCGGAGTGAGAAAAAAAAAAAAAAGCCAGGACCGGAGGCTGGCTAGACGACAGTTTGAAATCCAGTTTAACTTTTCTGAGCCGTGGTCTTCTCTGACAAATGGATGTCAGAAAGCAGCCAAAATCAAGAGAGGAAGGATTACCCTCTGGCTAGTGGGGTGGGTCGGGTAAGAACAAGAGATTGAAATCTAAGAGGCAAGGGTCAAGTGGGCAGATATTTATTTGCAGCAGGCAAGAAGTGGAGTCCAGAGAAATCACTTGAGAAGGGCGAGAGACTTGTCTAAGCAGTGCCCAGAGAACCCAAAGTGCAAAAAGGCAGAGTTTTAGCACCAAGGACCTAACCTGGGGTCTATTTGCTCCCCACCTTCTTTCATGGCCCTCCTCAGGTTGAAAAGGGAGTAGGGCAGTGGGCTAGGGGTCCATGGTATGGACATGTAACAGGGCGAGAGACCAAGTCTTATGAATGTAACTTTTAACCTTTAGTTTACTGGCGGAGAGCTAAGCTTTAGGGTGATAACTGTTAGTGGCACCCCCACCGGAGAGATATGGGAGATGATGCTAATAATCTAATCTCAGATCTGGGAAATGGGATTATAGAGAGAAAACTAATCTTTGATTTTTGTGCATGAAGAAATTAGCCAAATCTGCCTTAGCTGGTTTGGCTCAGTGGATAGAGCATTGGCCTGTGGGTTTGATTTCGGCCAAGGGCACATGTGGGCTCGATCCCTAGTAAGGGGCATGCAGGAGGCAGCCAATCGTTGATTCTCTCTCATCATTGATGTTTCTGTCTCTCTCCCTCTCCCTTCCTCTCTGACATACACACACACACATACACACACACACACACACACACACACACACACAAAGTTAGTCAAATCTACATTTATAAAACCAGGGGAGAGAAGACAGAATAATTTGTTGTAGATCTGCTTAGATGTTAGTTGTCTAGTATAATTTGTGGTAGGATCTGCTACCCTCTTTTGACAGTGGAGAGAATTAGAAAGTATTTCCCCATGTGTACTATTGCTGGTTATGCAAAAAAAAAAAAAAAAAAAAAAAAAAAAAAAAAAAAAGTATCAGAATTCTGCCTTCTTGGAATATATTGTCTAGCTGCAAAGGAAAGATGGTAAAAAATAAATAAATTAAATTAACAGTCTCTGTTACTACAACAGCACCACCCAAACCCTTATGGTTGGAGCAGAGAAAGCACTGCCTGGGAGTTTCCATGTCTAGGGTAATGGGCCAAATGGCCAGTTCTGCTCAAGCCTTCCCACCTCACATTGCTCCCCCCTTGTGGGGCTCTGATTCCACTGTTTCTCTGGTCCAAACATCCGATGTAAACCCCTCCCACAATCCCCTGTGGCTGCATTTATCCAAATGATTTAAATTAAGGTCAACACAAGGGTCTCGGGTCTGAGGCCTCAGTCCCACCCTGCATTCTGTCTTACGGTATATTTTTGCACCATAGAAAAGTAGAATATCATAGGCACAATCTTGGCCAGCTTTCTTTCTGCTTCTTGTGTAGGATCCTTTATTTCTCCCCATTTGGAGATATTCTTCCAGTCTCCTTGCCATTTTCTGAGTCAAGGTCAAAGATTTCAGTTCTGACATGAACAGGAATAACCTTTCCACAGGACAATTTGACAGTCGCGATGAAAAAAAAATCTTTAAAATATGCATCATTGTTGTTGTGACTAAGTTTGACACAGCTGTTCCATTTATAGAAATATTCTAAGGGAGTAAAAATAATGTGGGCAAAGATTTCATCTACAGCATCCATCAGAGCACTAATTGCATAATAAGGAAAGATTGTACACAAGCCACATTAAACCTGGGGATTAATTAAATAAATTATGGTACATGTCTATAATAGAATTCTATGGGGCCATTAATAGTATTTTATAACTGTATTTGTTGACAGAAACTTATTCATGGTGTACTGTGACATGTTTACTTTAAAAGCATGTTATAAGAATTATAGTATATCAATTTTTTGTTTAAAAACCACGCACACATACACACACACACAAACACACACACACACACATTCTAGCAGAAAGAAGGATGAAGCAGATGCCAGTAGGTTGCACATTTGGTGTCAAGAAGATGGGGTTCCTGTCTGATGGTATCTATTTTCTTTGAGAAGTAGGAGGTGAGATCATCTAAGAGTCTGGGACTAGGGAACATAGAGAATAAAATAATAGTAAATAATATGCCAATATCACTTAACAGCTGGCAAAGAGTTCTCAGTCTTTTCTTACAACAACACAATAAGTAAGTCATTATCTTTGCATTACAGTTGATAAAACCTGGGTTTGAGGCCAGTTAACTTTCCTTACCCCCCCCACCCCCAAATTACCCAGCTGGAGACAGAAGAAGCTAGAACTTCAACTCAGCCCCTCAAATGGAAAGTTCATCCAGCTGTAGGAAGAAGCCTTATTTATGTGTTTGTTCATTTGTTTTTAAATATTAGTGTGATTTGGTTTAGAAAATTTTATTTGATACACATTCTTTCACTCTTGCCTTTCTTGCCATAAGCTGAAGAGAGGGATAACTCTATCTACATTCTTAAATTTTGAAATGGAAAAGTGATGGCTTTTCCTCAGGATGACTTCTAGCCCCGCTATAGGTCTTTGGTGCTGTCATAAAGTACTGATGACAGAAGGTTCTCAGTTCCTACTTGTCAAAGTCTAGGCACTGTATCAGAATCTATGTGTCTGGGGTGACAGGGGGGTGGCTCAGGCTGCTCCCAAGTTCAGTCAGCTTGGGGGCAGCTCTTCGGAGTTCAAGGAGGCCCTACTTGCATAAGCAGCCAGAAATCGGTATGCTGATACTGGAGAACCTTGGGAAAGGTTTGGAAGCATTCTAGTACATGGAATCTAGCAGATATCTAGGACTGGGCAGAAATCAGAAGCATCTGAGAGCAAGTAGTGATGGAAGTCTGTATTCCTTTAGTGGAATACTTTCCTTAACAGTCAGTAAACAAGAAGACAAAGAATGGAGCTTGGGGGTTGGGTTGTTAACACGTGGGGTCAGCCCAAGAGCCAAGTCATGGATGGGCGGGGTGTTGGTAGTGTGTAAATTGTATTTCCACAGAGGAAGTAACCACAGAATCTGTGCAGGTCTATGGAGTTCGCTTCCTCATTCTGTCCCCCACCCCCACCTTTAGCTGGATCCCCCCAGTAATCAATAGAAGAGGGTCCTAGCCATTGTGCTGAGGCAGGGCCTTTCCTGGGCACAGCAAGTTTGCTGAGGAAGAAAGGACATCTCAGGACAGCTAGTTGTAAAGGAAGACACGTTCCAGAGCAGAAATTCTCTGGTTCCAGGGTTGGTGATGAGGACAAAAAGACCTTATTTGACCCATCTCAGATCTGTTGGGCTCCGTGGAAGATAACCATTTCTAGACCAACATAGGTCAATGCTCATTTGACTTTTAGATGAGGTTTGAAACTTTGCAAAATATTAAAAATCTAAAGTGAGCTCATTGCAATGTGTAGAGAGATAAAGAAGCTTGGCAGCATGGGGCAATAGTGGCGATCCCTCTCGTCCACCCAACCCCTGCGGAGCAGTCCCCAGAAACACACAGGCAGGTCAGCATCCCTGAATGCATACTTCCCAGGATCCTGTGGCTCCATTCAGCAGAGGAGAGTGCCCAAATAAATGTTTGCCGGTGGCTCTAATAGAGTCTATTGTTTAGATTTTTAAGGGAATGCACTTGTCTTTTCTTTGAAAAGCAGGTCTGTGGGCAAGCCTGGAAGAGAGTCACTTCAGATTTTGGGGCTCCACCCAAACATCTGATACAGAAGTCCAGGCCAGGGGTTCTGGGCTAATGGGATCCCACATCCTTCTCAGAGAAGGGGACAGTTGGGTCCGCAGGGCCTGGAACAATGTCCTTGTCAGGCCTCAAAGCATAGTCAGGGCCTTGCGGTGCCATCATCAGGTCACAGCCAGCAGCAGACCAGGCAGGATGCCAGGACCAAGGAAGCAGGCCCTGGCAACCATGAGTCGGAGGCCAGGTAAGCAATAAAAACGGAGTTCATCAATCCCAGAGAGCAGGATCATCAGAGGTCAAGCGAGTACTCAGCACTCACAAATCCCAGAGCCACGGATGGAGAAAGGGAAGAATCAAATATGTAATATCAGGCAATTGCTTCTTCCAGACTCAATGACCCTGTCAATTTTGTACTCGCCAGGAGACCAGTGACAATATGGACTTGGAAGGCTTGTCCCTGAGCATCCAGATAGCTGCCTGGCTAGTGTTTATGAACTCAGGGTTAAGGAGCAGCTGATGTCACATCATGGTTCTGGAATCTTCTTTTTTTTTAAAAAAAAAAACAAAACTATTTTTTTTTAATTGATTTCAGAGAGGAAGAAAGAGATGGAAACATCAATAGTGAGAAAGAATCATTGATAGGCTGCTCTCTGCATGCCTCCCACTGGGGATTGAGCTTGCAACCCAGGCATGTGCTCCTCACCAGAATCAAACCCAGGACTCCAGTCTGTAGAGTGACATTCTATCCACTGAGCCATACCAGCTAGGGCTCTGGAGTCTTTTACCTCCCATCTTTATGCCCAGTTCCTCCAAGAGAGAAACCCTGCCTCGTGCTTATAAGCCATCCTCCCCTGGTCCTGCTTCGGCATCACAGCCTGGTGGCTGATACTCGGTTCCTACCTGCCAGACTTACCTGTTACCAGCTGCTAGCTTACAGCCTACCTCTCAAATTCTTGAATATACCCCAATGTTGGGATCCCCATCCCTGTGTCTTTCCTCTCTAGGATTCCTCTTACAAATGCCTTCTTGGATGAGCATCTGTTTTTGCTGCAAAGTCTTTTCTGCTTTCCTGCAACTGGTCCTATCCGAAGTAGTGTTCAATGCATACTGGGTGGGTGGAGCTCCAGGTTTCAGCCCTTGCCAGTCTGCTATCATTCAACAAGCCAACCAAGTCCAGCGAGGACAGCAGAGGCATTTTCCTGACACTGAAAAGGTAAAGAGTACACAGGGCACTACGAATGGATCACCGAGTATTAGAACTGGAGGAAAACTTAGAAGCTGAGACTATTGCTGTGCTTTCACAGACAAGGAACATTATTCCTCTCTCAGATTTTTACAGTGGCACAGCTAGAAAATGGCTTTACTGAAACCCAAATTCAGGTCTTCTCTTTTCTAGCATTCTTTCCCCTACCCTAGGAGGCTTCCCTAAATCTATGTTGGGTTATTTGTCTGAGTTTTATTATAATAATAAATCCTGTTGAAATATGCTAATAACCAAGCATGTCAAACTCTCAGGCATGTCAAACTCTCATTTATTTAAATGAGGCATGCAGGTTTGGCAAGCTTGAGATGAATCAGTTCCTTTTGGATAAAATGAGGCAAAAAGAACTTTGTTCTAAGTGGGTACATTGCATGCTAGGTGTTGTCACAGCAATAAAATGAACAAGAAAGGACCATTATTCTAACTGTTCATTTGCTCTTTGTGTTTAAGGATGGGTGAATGTGTAATGCTAATCATTATGTACCGTATATGTTCAGGTCATTCTTTGGTGAAGGTATTTTCAAGGTGATAAGCTGGCAGGGACAAAACTTTTATGCTTCTGGGTGCTGGTCAATCAACCATTCGGAGGGCTTTTGGCTCACTGAGTCTATCATGATTGTTCTGCCAGTGGACAGCGGACCTACCCAGATGGCAAAGCCCCAAAGAAACTGGAAATTTTGACCTTCAGGTGGTGTGTATGTGCTGCTCTCAAGAAATAAAACCCATTTTAGCTTTGCTGGTGTGGTTCAATGGTTGAGCATTGATCCAGGAAACAAGGTCACAGGTTCGATTCCCTGTCAGGGCACATGTCTGGGTTGCAGACTCAATCCTCAGTAGGGGGTGTGCAGGAGGCAGCTGATCCATGATTCTCTCTCATCATTGATGGTTCTATCTCTCATCATTGATGGCTTATCAGTCACCTTAAGAAGCCTGACAAGTTTAAAAATGCAGACAATCAAAAATTCAGATATATTACCAAAACCAGTTTGGCTCAGTGGATAGAGCGTCGGCCTGCAGACTGGAAGGTCCAGGGTTCAATTCTGGTCAAGGGCATGTACCTTGGTTGCGGGCACATCCCCAGTAGGGGGTGTGCAGGAGGCAGCTGATCAGTGATTCTCTCTCATCAATGTTTCTAACTCTCTATCCCTCTCTCTTCTTCTCTGTGAAAAATAAATAAAATATATTTTTTTAAAAATTCAGATATATATCATGTGATGCTACAGGTAGCAGAGTTGAATTTTATACTGATGAGGGAAAGCTGTGTTGAGGGAGGGGGTGCAAGCAATTTCTGCATTCTCCGATGGGGGCTAGAATTTAACATTTGATCTTTCAAAATACTGATTGCATGTTGCAATGATAACATTTTTAATATGGTGGGTTCATGTATATTATTAAAATTAATGGCACCTAGCCAAAGCTGGTTAGGTGCAGTGGATGGAGTGTTGGCCTGCGGACTGAAGGGTCCCAGGTTCAATTCTGGTCAAAGTCATGTGCCTTGGTTGCAGGCACATCCCCGGTGGGGGTTGTGCAGGAGGCATATGGTTGATGTTTCTCTCTCATCGATGTTTCTATCTCTCTCCCTTCCTCTCTCTAAAAAAGTCAATAAGAATATATAAAATAAAATTAATGGCACCTATTTCTTTTTCAGTTTCTTTTAAAATTACAAAAGTGGCTTACATCATATCTCCTTTGTCAACGTGGGTTTAGGGCATCATTGTGAGGATAGTGGTTGAAGTCAAGCAAAATCATGGGAAGTGAGAAGTTCAAGGAACAGAGAGGTAGGGGGAGGGGAGAAAAGACCATCTATATGGTATTGATGATCTAGGCACACAAAGTTCTGAAAATGAGGATGGATGACCCAGGGCAATTATTGGTGACCCATGGACAGGCAGCAGCTGGTATAGTTTGATGATGGGATGCTCAAAGCTGGAGATTTTAGGGAGGAGAGGAGACTAGCGTGGAAATAGTAACACAGATTAAAAAGGGTATCTGTTCCACCTCCAGGGCTGTGGGAGGAAAATGTACTGCCACTTGAGAAGACTATGAGGGAGGTATGTCTTCAGAGGTAATCCAGGTGAGAGCAGCAGAAAAGAGAGGCTGGAGGAAGACGAACGGATGTTTGCTGACAGTGTTCTCTGCAGAGAACACCCTGCACTGGTTTCAGGAATTGGACAAGATGTGGCGGGAGCTGGAAACCTGAGGCTTCTTAAGGTGACTGACACATGGGGTTAGAGGGCTTCATGCAATCAGTGCAGGCAGAGCAAATGGAGGCAAGATGGTGAGTGCAGGAAGATTGCAGGAAAGAAGTGTCCTTGCTTCGCTCCTGTTGGGAGGAGACAAGGGGCCTGGGATTTCCTTATTCCGAGAGTCCCGCCTCCCTCTTCTACCTGTCCATCAAATGCTGTAAACCATTAATGCCCATCTTGGCTCTTTTAACTTCCCATGCAATATTGGATAGGTGATATTTCCCCCCTAGCCAATAACAGATTCAAATTCATACTCCATGGCAGATAACTCACACATGCAGATCTTCAGCCCAGATCTTCTCCGCTCCAAACCCAGATATTTCACTATCCACCATACACTCTCTCATTCTTGGCATATTCAAAACAAAACACGGTCTTACTCCCAAACCTGCACCCTCTCAGCCTAGAACACTGTACTCGGGGTAGGTACCAGCTGGGAGCTGGGCTGAGTGCCTGCTGTCTCCCCTACATCCCAACTCCCACTCCAAATTTAACCCATCACTAGATTCTGTTGATGATTTCATGTCCTAAACAGCCCTCAAATCTATCCACTTTTATCCATGTCCATCACCTTCCCCTTCTTCCCCCTTGCATCTAAAGCTCTACAACAGCTTCTTAATAGGTCTGTCTGCATCTGAACTCAACCCTACCGTTATTCTCCATATTGCCCCTATGGTGAGACTTTTCAAAATTCCCAAGTATTTTCATGCCACCCTTTTCAACCTAAAATTCTGCTGGCTCCCCTCTGCTCTCAGGACAAAGTCAGGACTTTTACACATGGTCAGCATCTCTGCACCACCCCCTCCCCAACTCTCCGGCAGCCTGGGCTGGCATCTCCCTCTCAGTCACCCAGGCTATGCTTGCCTTCCTTTTTGCTTACATGTGATTATGGCTGTGCTCACAGCCAGCACATGGCTTTGCACATGCTGTTCTCTCTGCATGGAATGCTTTCCTCTTCCACTTTGCCCAGTTAATGCCTATGTATCTTTCTGATCCCTTCCTTGAGCTCCACAACCAGGTCCCATCCCAACATGCACTTCATCACATGCGTTGTGTACCTTTTCCTGAAGTGCTTGTAACAGAGGCGGCTTTACATTTGTTCATGATTAATATTTATGTCCCTTCGTAGGCTCCTCAAGGTCATAGACCCTCCCTGAGGGCTGGGACCATGTCTGTTTTTGCTCAATATTATATCCCTAGCACCAGAAAAAGTGTCCTGCACATAGTAGGAACTCAATAAATGCTTAGTGAATAAACAAATGATGCAAGCTGACTCAAAAGCCACTTAACTTCACAGAACTCAGGACCTCCCTTGATCTAGTATGAGAGTTCAATGATTCTGGGATCAGCTGCACTCAGTAAATGTGCACAGGCCCTGGCTGTGTGGCAGGAGCTGTGCTAGGCCTCCTGTGCTCTGCTACTACTGAGCACACAACGGTAACTCTGTTGGAACCGGGTAGGTGGCTCTGTGGCATTAAACTCCTCTGGTAGCATCCTATAAAGGCCTGTCTCCCAGCTGCTCAAACATGTTGACAAGTTAAGTAGAAAGACGTGTGGTCTTCCGGGTAGATCCTCATCACTCTTTCTGAGACCTGGTGCCCATTTGCCACATCCATCACATCTCTGGGTGGCAGGAAGGGGTGCCTGAGTTCTGAGCACCCACTTCCTGTGCAAGGTGATTCTCATTAAAAGGAGTGGAAGTGGCAGGAGCCACTAGAGAAACATACTTCTAATCTCAAGCAGCTGTGTTATCTAAAGATCTTTACCACCACCACCCTCCCTCCTTGAAATGTTTACTTCCCCTAGTGACTCGGCTATTTTCAGTGACAAACACCGGAGCTTCTAGGCCAGGCGCTCTCTAATTTTGGCTTCCCCTGGGTTCAGGAGAAGGAAGGCAAAAGGTAGCAGATGCTCTGCTAGTGCCTGCCTCGGTGCCAGCAACCTGCCTGTGCTGCTGCTGGTGCCCTGGGTCTCTGTTCCTGTCTGCCCTTCCCCGCTCCCTCAGCTGCTGACTCTCCGCCATGTGACCATCTGCCTCGCTCTGCCCCCCCCACAGCCACCACACATTGCTACCTTGCTGACACTTGCATTGCCTTTGGGTGCCCATCTGGCCAGACCTTGGGAGGTGTGGACCCCTCCCTTCTGCTGCTCCTCTGATGCCCCATGCAGGCTCTGCGCACTGCTGCCTGGACCTGGTGGGACAATAATAATGATTTCTAAATGGCGAGAAGGCCACCAGCTGTGGTCATTGGTGTAGTCACACCGAGCCAGCACTATTAGGTGGGTGGAAGGTTTTTTTTCTAATCTTAAAATCTTACCATATTAAAATACCCATGTAAGTGTTTTTTGACTCTAGATGGAGGTTTCTCGAAGGCATATTGATTATACCCAGAGCACCTAAAATATGAAGTTATTGGCAAATCCTGGTTGAACTGAGGCTGGGGAGTGGAGTGGAAAAAAGGCACAGAACATGATGTGCAGAACATGATGTCAGCTCACCTGGAAGAAAGGAGGAAAAAGGGGCCATTTGTGGTTGTCAGTCCATCCCTTTCCTCGGAGCTGGAGTGGGGTGGGGCGGGGTGGCCCAGGGGCAGAGCAGGAAGCTGTTCTTCCTCAGCTTTGCCACCAAGATTCCAACAACGTCTCTCGCTGTATGGTTCACCCTACCCCACTCCCTTCCCACCGACCCCTCCACTGTCTGTAGCCCCACCCCTGAGAGCCTTTTGTCCTGACAAGCAATGCAAGTGAGGAGTCAATTTGGGAGAAAGTGGAAAAGAAAACACTCTGATATTAGGAAAAAGAGATGGCTCTGTCATTTTTCTTTCTTTTCCATTTTTTAAATGACAAAAGTTTACATGTTCATGGGGAAAAGTCAACAGTTATAAATAAAAGCTTTCTGCTTTCTCCAATTCTATACCCTAACACCAACCACTTTTATTTATTTATTATTTTAAAAAATACATTTTTATTGATTTTAGGGAGGAAGAGGGAGAGAGACAGAAACATCAATGATGAGAGAGAATCATTGATTGGCTGCCTCTTGTAGACCCCACACTGGTGATCAAGCCCACAACCTGGTCATGTGCCCTTGACTGGAATCGAACCTGCAACCCTTCAGTCCACAGGCTGATGCTCTATCCACTGAGTCAAACCAGCTATGGCCACTTTTATTTATTTTTTAAATTTATGTTTGTTAATCCTCAACTGAGGATATTTTTTTCCATTGCTTTTCAGAGAGGGTGGGGAGGAGAGAAACATGTACCTGAGAGAGACATATGGATTGGTTGCCTCCTACACATGCCCCTACCAGGGTGGTGTATCCAATCTGCAACCCAGGTACATGCCCTTGACCAGGAATTGAACCGTTGACCCTTAGGTGTGTGGGTTGATGCTCTAACCATTGAACACACCAGCCATGGCACCAACCACTTTCAACAATACTTGGAGAAGTCTTCTGGAAAAGTTCTATTATACAAAACTCTCCCCCGCTCCCCCCTCTATCTTTTCTCTATATATAAACACACACATAAAGAGACAGACAGACAGAACTTGATGTTGTCATGTGACAGAAAAGAAAATGGTGGTTGAAGGACTTACAGTGGGGAATGGACTTGAAGCTGACCTGAAGAGGTTGTTGATGTACCAGACTCGGGCTCCTGAAGGGAAGACGGGAGGACTGTAAGGATGTGAGTGGGGAGCAGGGGTGTCTTCAATAAAATATTTGCATTACAAAAATTTTCTTCTTCAGTTTCAGGGGTGAAAAATGCAATGGCTAATTGGCCTCAAATTCCTTAACTGAAGAATGGGATCATAATGTACATTCCTTACAGGTTTGCTGTGAGGATTAAATGGGGGCTTTTGCTTACAGTGTTTAGTATTGTGCCCAGCACCATAATAGCACTCACTGTGATGAAGCTGAACACATTATTGCTGATGTTGTTATGGTGGTTGCTGTTGCTAGAGTGCCTAGCATAGTGCCTGGTACAAAACTGACCCTCTGGCCATCTGCAGCCCTTATACAGAAAGATCCTGATCGCATCTCTCTTCACTTCAGAAAATTCTTTTTTTTTTTTTCCCCCCCCACTGCCCTTGTTCCTTCCTTCCTTTTTTTTTTTGTTTTTTTGGTTTTTTTTCTTCCTTGGCTGCTTCTAACTGCTTACTTTATGTTGTAGGGCCCTGAAGAAAACTTTCTTGTACCTGGTGGACATAAATTCTCAGGTAGCAAAGGTTCCTGCACATTTTTGTACTTCCTCTTCTTGCCCGGCCCAAGCTGTTGGAAATGATTAGGTGGAAACATCTGTGCAGTTGCTCTCTTTTACACATTCTACCTGAGATCAATTAGAATTGTTTACTCAAGAAAAATTCCTAAGAATCATTAGGGCCACTCCCTGATTACCAGGTGCCTTTTAACGGGCATTGACCCTGCAGCTCTGCTGGAGACATCCTGGCCTAGCAAACCTGTTCTGGGATACTCGGTATGTTTCTACTTGTACTTAGAATGGCTGGCTGGAAACTCAGCTTTGATATTCTGCATCCCAAATGCTTTTACAGCTAAGCCCGCCTACTCACTCTTCTACTCTTCTATTCTTGATTTATAAATAGGGTCAGCTGCCTAACAATTAAACATACTATGTTTTTGCACATTCCTTAAGGAGACATTGAGACTGTAAATGGCTTCTCCTCTTGTGACACTATCTGGAAACCATCTTCCTAACTTCTTCCCAACAAGTGGGTATATTTTGAAGGATTGGCAAGGAGACTTTTGGTCTGGAAAGCCCAAGACACCGTTTCCGATCTACACAGAAATCCAGCATCAAATCTCTAGCCTGTTTTCATAAGGACAAGCCCAGGACCAGCTGAAACCTGCACGATGGGCTTTATATCATGCGTGGCCACACATGCTTACGGCAGTGTGAAACACCCGTGACCAAGACAGTGAGACACCAGAGAAAAGATAGGTCACTGAGTTCTGAGAAGGAGATGAAGATGTAGTGTTAGGCATAATTAAGTATTTGATAAGGTTGAAGGAAGAAGCAGGCATTGCATACCCTGAGGCCCAGGAGAGATTGGGTTGGCAACTCAGAAGAGAACATACGAATAACGCTCTTAGGTTAACTGTCAGAATTTCCATTCTGGGCAGAAGTGGGACTTGAATAATAATATCAAGTATTATATAACACTTCAGATATTGAATTTCATTTACTTCTCCATTTAATGCAATAAAGTAAGTAGATTAAATATCACCACTCTTCTACGGACGGAGAAAATGAAGCGGAGAGAATGAAGAGAGTTGCCACTTAGTTTGGACACTCAGGGTAGTCGCTGCACCCTGACCTCACTCTGCATTCCTGTCTCCAGTGATGCTTCCTCTGACACCAGGGTGTAGGGGAGTGAGCTCTGCTGACATTAGAGTCCTCAAGACAACGGTTCCAGCCTAGACTTTCCTTGGGGCTGAGTGGGTGTGACCCCGGGCCCCTCTCTTAAGCTCCCAGCCTGATTTCTGGTGAATGTCAGTGGTGGCTCTGGATGATCTCTCCAGCAGAGCCCAGATGCTCCTTGACAGTAGGCTGTAGCCGATTTGAAGGGCCAAGGAACTGGAAACAGAGTAGGGCATGCACAAGGGAACTGCCTTAGAAGGCAGAGAAAAGGCAGCGCCCGAGGGTGATATATTGGATTTTTACAGGCTGGGAGGCCAAATGACTCCGTAGTTTGTAAGTAGTGAGTGTGCAAGAATTCAAGCGGCGGATTGGTTCATTTCAGTGTTCAATGAGCCCAGGTCTGTCTTTTTTTCTCGTTAGCCTGGGGCTCAGTCCAAAGCAGAGGAATCTGGTCGGACCAGTGGGGGGCTCCACCGAGCGCAGTCTCCGTGTCTCCCGAGGGCCACCAGGCTGCCCAAAGGCTCCTCGAGGGGTCCCTGCGGGCGCTGAAAAACTGTGGAGACGTTTCGTCCGCGTCCACGCTCATCCTCCCTAGTCCGTTGGCCGCCCCCCGCCTCTGCCTCCGCTTCCCCCGACCCCCATTCCCGGGGTCTTTGGTCCCCGCCTCTTTCCCGAAAATCTTAACAGAGAGATAGATCTGCGGGCGGGGACACGGGGGTTGCAAATTCCTAGAAGCCTCAAGGGGCTGCACCATGAGGTGCGTGTACACACACACACACACACACACACACACACACACACACACGTACGCGCGCACGCCCACCCACCCAAGTCCCCAAAGGGCGTGGGAAGAGAGAACGCCCACTCACCCTCTCCGTCCACCCTGGAGCCCAGTTTTATCTTAGTCTTGCCAATCCGGGCGATCGGGGGGTGGGGGAGGGAAAGGGGTAGGATTTGAGGTGCAGGGTTGGCAACTGTGCGGGGAGGTGGCGGGCGCAGGTAGCGGGGCCGGGAGAGGAGGGCGCTGGGTCGGCGTGGAGCGCAGAGGGGCTGCGGCTGCGGCACCCACTGACCTCGCCGCGGGCGCACCCCGGAGCGGGGCCGGTGAGTCAGATCGCGGGCACCGCGGGCCTGGCCTGGAGGGGGGCAAGTCAGGAAATGACATCAGAGACTTGTGCGCGGGGCAGTGGGGGGGCCCTCGGCGGGCCGGGCGGCGGGGGCGGGGGCCGGGGCGGGAGGACCTTGACGGAGGCTGTGGCCCAGGGGCCAGACGGGGGCCCCTTCCTGGGGGAGTTTCCTGCCGCGTCGGCCCTCCCGCTCTCCCCGCCCCCCTCTCGGGGCCGCTCCTTGTACGGTCTGGGCGCCGCGCTCTCCCCGCCCCTCTCTCCGCCCCCTGCTCCGCGGCCCTCCCCCGCCGGGACGGAGGCGGCGGCTCGGGGACCCGGGGCGCAGAGTCTGCGGACCCGGCGCGCAGGCGGCCAGCGAGACGCGGCGTGCGCGCTCCGGCCCGCGGGGAGCAGCCGGGAGCCGGGAGCCGCGCGGGGAGGGCGCGGGGAGCCGGCCCACGGGGGGTGTCCTCCGCCTCCGCCTCCGCCTCCGCCAGGCTCGGCGCCGCATCACCCGGCCCCCCACGCCCCGCAGCAGCCCGGCCTGGCCATGGCGGCCCCCCGCCCGTCTCCCGCGATCTCCGTCTCGGTCTCGGCGCCGGCTTTTTACGCGCCGCAGAAGAAGTTCGCCCCGGTGGTGGCCCCGAAGCCCAAAGTGAACCCTTTCCGGCCCGGGGACGGCGAGCCGGTGCCGGCGGCCGGGGCCCAGCGCGCTCAGATGGGCCGGGTGGGCGAGATCCCGCCTCCGCCCCCGGAAGGTATGCGGCCGGGCTGGGGGCTGGGGCTGGGGGGGCTGGACTCGGGCGGGCGCCGGCGGCGGACAGTGGCTTAAGGGTTGGGGGGGTGTTTGGAAATGTTGCAGCGGAGGGGGGCTGGGCGCAGCCACCCTGTCCCGAGCAGATGTTCTTACCTCATCGCGGAGCTCGTGGCCGGGAGCCAGGGCTCCTGGGACAGGTCCAAGTCCCCGCCTGGGGGTGGGAGGTGAGAATGCGGGGCGCGAATCTTGCCTCCGGGTCCGTTTTCCGAAGTGTAACGGGAGCTGCACCCCTCCT